TGATGGACAGATACTGGCCTACGCTCGAGGGTAGCTATGACCTCTTTCAGAAACAGGCTGTTGGTACACACTATGACTGGCTCTCGAAGTCTATGGAGGGTTTGATGGGAAACGCCCGAGCTGCGCGACAAAAGGTGGTTGGCTCAGACTCGCCAGGGCATGAAGCGCCCAATCCTCAAATCGGTATGGACATGGCGCCTCTCGAGGGCTCAACCCTGTCGGATACTTTGCCAGCTGTACCTGACGCGACTTTGGCAGAGGAGGAGATTGCTCAACTACAAGACCAGGAGATCACCGCGTGGGCGCAGTATGGGGACTTTACCGACCGCTTCTATCAGACGGATGCGATCTTTGACTGCGGGCTAACCCACCCGTGGTAGCTCACGACAGTTGGCCGTATGAAATAGCTGAATCAAGGGACTTAGCTTAATCATGGATTCTAGGCCTTGTACCACTGTAATTACTCGCCCATACAGAGATGGTAACAAGCGCAACATGGTCTTCGTAGCTGTCTCTTCTAGCTGCCAGTGCCCATCCAAGCGACTCTCACTCGGGTCTATATCCATCTCGGCTCGGAATGAAACCCGCAACACCCTGGCCATAACCCTCCCATCCGTCGAATTCAGTCACATATTTGATGGCCGCCTTGAGGTAAATGTCGTCCTTGCGACCAAAGGTCTCCTCGAAGACCTTCGGGGCCCGCACCACTTTGAAGAAATGGGCATCCAGAGCCCACTTGTGCGCCAATGCGGTATCAAGGACCCAGTTCCAGTCGCGGCCGTCTAACTCGACGGCTTCTATCCAGTCGAGGGAGAAGCGGGGCCGCAACTGGCAGATGTAGGTCATGATTCCGAAGAGCGCATACTGTTTCAAGATGGAGACGCGGCGGTCCGTGGGGAAGTAATGCCACAACACTCGCAACGCGTGGGCAACAGTCATGATGTGAACATTGAAAAAGTCAAACGAGTCCCGTGGGTTGCTCAGGGCCAGCACGACGGCCAGGTCACAGCATTCTTCGAACTGGGCTAGGAGGTCGGTGACTTCCCAAGCATTCCAGTGTTCCAGAACGACGGCAAGATTTTGCTCCTGGCAAAGGTCGTCGAGGTTGGCGATTCCAGGCTCGTCTAGTAGGCCATCCAGTCGTGGATCCTGTCGCACCTTCTCAAAGATCTCGGCCAGGGAGGTAGTTTTATACGTCGATGTGTCAGGAGGCGCCTGGTCAAGGACAGTATGTAGCGGATTGTACTCCGTGCACCCCTGACTGAGGGCTTGCGTCGCTACCTCTTTGCTGCGGAACTCGTACGCGTAGGCGAGATGGATAAACGGATGGCCCACTGTTTCGCTCCCTGGTCAGCCTCGCTTGTGGTCCCTGGTCGAGAATGAATCACATACAGCCTCCAGTACAGCCGTTCACAAGCGGTGCCGCGCCGGAGTAGAGATACTCTTCAAGCACCTTTCCCCAGTCTCCCTGTTTTTCCTTCACCTCATTATCAAAGAAGTCCTGGTATGCCACGGTGTACCTAGTCGGATTGTGAGTAACTTGTCCCTCCTTATAGGGATGACAATAACGCACTCTTTACGAGTCAGGAATTCCCTCCAATTTTCCTTGGAAATGGCCTCGCCTCGGATGAACCCTCGGGAGATAGGGACCAACTGGGTAATTTCATGTTCATATGTCCTGGTCAATTGGTCGCTGTTGGCGCCCAGAGCATACGCTGAGCCAAGAAGCTTAAGAACAACAGTCAACGGACGAAACCTCATAATCATTTTTAGGGCAAACAGCATACATGCGGCAAGTGACTGTGCAGGATCAGCTCCGGGTCACGCAGCGGTGCAACTGTAACATGGCCTTGCTCAAGGAGGCTTCGCAGCTTCTGGGTTCGCTCATCGGGGAACTTGGTCACGTCGTAAACGGGGACTGGTTGGAGGTTTCTCAATCCGGACGCGGGGGGTAGTCTGATCGATTTCTGGGCGTGGACGCTCGTGCTGGAAGACATTGCTGAGAATCTGGACACCACTTGAATTAAGCTAGCTATATGGTAGAATGGACCGCTTAGTCTCAAAGAGATTGCTCAATATGCCGTCTAGGTAGTACCGTCCTTTAGCAGTTGATGGCGGAGTATATATACCTTCGTTCGCCCTGGTTAGGTCGTCCTCCTCGTCAACTCAACCGGCCCATATGCTGCAGCCAGGATATCTGGACCATACCAAGCACTTAGTCCAGTGCGCCAGTCTCTGATGTTCATCCTCTGTTCGGAGGTGCGTCGGACGAAATCATCTCGGGCTTTGGAACACTCACTAAGTCCGAGCCTGTGGGGCGGCAAGATATGTCATGATATTCCACATATTCCACAGACGCGACTCTCTGCTCCAATTGGAGAATGGCCTCTAGTGTGCCGGTATCCTCCTTGGAACAGATAGGCCGTACTAGGCAAATGATGTTTCCGGTCGGTGATGATGCCTACTCTGCAATCAGGAAAAGAAAGGTACCACAAGCATAGACAGGTATGGGTTAAACACCGTTGCAATAATGGATATACCTCGGACGGACAGACACATTTTCTCGACCTATTAGTCTAGTGTATTCCGTTCTACTTTCTTCTGTAGGCCTTTAGGATCATTTGGCTACCATCACTCTATCCAGCAAACGACTACTTCAGACGACGCCACCGCCGTTGGCTCTCAGAACCTGGCCTGAGATCCAAGCGCTATCCTTCCTCCACAGCAAACTAACCGCTGCAGCAATTTCCTCCGGCTCCGCGATTCGGTTGAACGGGTTACGACTCGCAATCATTTGTGCCCGAGCTTCGTCCATGGCCTTGTGGAAGGATTCGGTGCTCGTTGCGCCTGGGGAAACGGCATTGACCCGGATTCCCGTGCTCGCTAGGTCCCGCGCCAGGACCTTGACCATCTGGTTCATCGCTCCCTTGGTCGATACGTAAAGAAGGAATTGTGGTGGCACCGAAGAGTCATCGGTAAGATCGGTCGAGATAAAGATGATCGTGCTGCCAGGCTTCATGTAAGGCAAGGCTTTCTGCGAGGAGTGGTGTCAGCGTCGGTCCCTGGAATCTAGACTGGGGCGGTTGCACCAACCTTGGCGAGGAAACAAGGCCCTTTGACATTTACAGCAAAGGCGCGGTCAAAGTCCTCCTCAGTGACACTTCGCAGGTCGCTCTCAGGCACATAGGCCGCATTGGGAATCAGGACATCGATCCTCCCGAACTGAGCCACAGTAGCTTTGATAAGTTCGTCAATCTCCGCGGTCTTGGAGATATCCGCCCGCACGGCAATGGCACGATCACTCCCGATCTGTGCGACCAGTGCGTTGGCCCCCTTGACATCGGACATGTAGTTGATGACCACATTGGCCCCCTCTGCGGCGGCACGCAGGACAATGGCTCTGCCAATGCCCTTGGATGCACCAGCAACGACCACCACAAGGCCGGATAAGGTCATGGTGAGTATAGGATGTCAAAGAGTTTGTACGTAAGAAGGAAGAACGAAAGGTTGTACCTCAACTCCGGAGCAGTGGGAGAGGATTCCTGTCTGCCCCCAGCAGTAGGGCAAATATTTAGGTAGCTTGGAAGCCTCGGACTCGGCCATATTTCTCCGTGTTCGGCGGACTAAATACTGTGACACTGTGCTATCACACCTGTTTTAGATAGTGGATTCTGAGAGGAGTCGTTCACACCTGTCGGGCAACGCCCGCTGCTTTAGAACTAGATGTGGGGGTCTTCTTTCCTATTCTAATCCGGAAATAACGGCCACTATAGAAGGCCTGCTTTTGTCTGTCTAATAGGGCGCCAGAAAAATATTCCGGAGAGTCGAATACACTGGCTACAGAGATAATGCAGTTCTATGTATTCACATCCTTCTTTGTCCCGATCCCGTCCGGTCCCCTGCCTGGTAGGTGACGTCTAATAACCAACGTACAGAATTCCCGTTTTTACCTGGAAATATGTACCTACACCTGTGCAAACCATAGCGTACATAGCAAGCCTCCATTTCCCGGATCAGAAAACCATTTTTCTTGTTAAAATGTTTTTTTAAGACAGACCAGTACAGGTCGAGAGTAGTGGTCCTTGCTCACTACATTCCACTGTCGCTATCGGGCATTCGGATTTTGCAGAACGACACGGAACTCGGCACGACAATAACATGGCTAAGATGCAAGCTCCACGCTCGTGAAATTCTTGGTGGAAGAGAATACTGGGGATGCGAGCGGGATTCGGCCCCTCGCGAGTCATGTCTGTGTGGATCATCCTGCTGCAGTTTAATAGTCTATGGGTCTGAAGGAGAAGGTAGGATTTTAGAATACTATACTAGGCAGATCGGGCTCGAAGTCTAAAGACGACGTCGTCCAGAGTACACCGCAAGTAAGTATTGCCTGTAGACTTAGCCTAAAGTGACAAGAGACCCGTTGATCTATAAACTGCCTTCATGCGGCCATTTCCGACGCGGCTGTCATTCGATCACCTCGTCCTCCATCGTTCTTTCAGCCTGGTCCACATGAAGCCGGACAGCATAATGTGAACGGTTAAGCAGGTTATGAACGGAAATACAACGGACTTAATTTTCAATGGCCACCGAAGGAAAAGAATCATTGAGTGGCCCACAAACCTCAATCCACTCAATGTCGATTAATTCAGCATGTCTCTGATAGTGTCCTTTACTGCGGGCGCACGGTGAGAAGAACCCAGCATGAACAAGTCTGACAACATCGTGGTCGATTAATCTGACTCACTGAATCAACGCAAGCACAGCTACAAACCAATTACCCTCAAGATGATCAGCAATCTGACACCCCATTTTAGCATGAGCTCGGTAGCCACGACCCCGTCAGCAGCTCTGGACAGATTTCAATTCCGTGATTTCCGTGTCCACTTGCATGGAACAAGCAAGGTACGTGATTTAAGAAGCGACATCACGCCCGTGTCGAAGGGAAAAACCACCGACTGACACAGAAGTGACAGCATCTCAAGCCATAATACAAGATCAAAATGAGCCTACGGTCTGAAAAGGTAGCTCTCGTTACCGGTGCTAACGGCATCAGCGGCTTTGCAATCATCGAGCACCTGGTTCGACAGCCTAAGGAGGAATGGTAGGATAAATGGCCAGAGTACATGCTGAAAGGCAGAAAACTAATAGTGTCATTCACGGTAGGTCTAAGATTATTGTGACATCGAGACGGCCACTCCCAAACGCCTGGATCGACCCGCGTGTCGAGTTCGTTGCCCTTGATTTCCTCGATCCTGTGGAGAAGATCATTGCGAAGATGAAGGATATCTGTGCCCCGGTTACACATGCATTTTTCACTTCCTACGTCCACAATGACGATTTCAGAATCCTCCGGGAGACAAATGTTCCTCTGTTCCAAAATTTCCTCGACGCTCTGGACACTGTGTGTCCGAGGTTGCAGCGAGTGTGCCTGCAGACTGGTGGCAAGGTGAGCGTTTCAACGGTCCGATCAATGTCAGGGTCCAAATAGACTGATATCGTGAGCTAGTATTACGGAGTGCATCTCGGTCCTGTCAAAATACCTCTGGAGGAGGACTTTCCCCGTTACAATGACCAGGGGTACAATTTCTACTACAGCCAGGAGGATTATCTGCGGACAGTCCAGAAACGACGGCATACCTGGTCGTATAACATTATCCGTCCAAATGCCATCAATGGGTTTGCACCTCACGGTGAGTACCATACAGAATATAACGGATCTACTCTCCCTCTCTCTGACATGAATGAAGAAACCTCCTCTAACTGATCTGCGATTCTCTAGCAAATGGCATGTCGGAGGCATTGACTATTGCGATCTACATGCTTATCTGCCGCGAGCTTATGGAGCCCCCCAAATTCCCCGGCAATGAGTACTTCTGGAACTCTATCGACGACAACTCTTACGCTCCTAGTCTTGCTGATCTTTCAGTATGGGCTGTAAGCCATGACCACTGCAAAGATGAGGTCTTCAACCACGCGAATGGTGACGTCTTTGTGTGGAAGTACCTGTGGCAGGACATTGCTGAGTACTTTGGTCTTAAGGTTTAAAACTTTCCTTTCCCTCGTTATAGTAACCCACGTAATCTAACCACCCTCACAGGTCCCTGAGCCTAAGTTCGAAAAGGCCACTGGTCAAGCTAAAACCCTAAGCAATGAGATCGACATGGTGGAATGGGCGAAAGATAAGAAGGAGGTTTGGGAGAGAGTTGTCCAGAAGTACGGTGGCAAGCGTGAAGCCTTTGACTGGGGCACATGGGGGTTCTTCAACTGGGCTACAGGCAAGTCATGGCTGACGATCTCATCAATCAACAAGGCTAGGAAGTTCGGTTGGCGTCGGGACGATAAGACACTCGACACTTGGATCGAAACGTATCGATCATTTGAGAACGCGGGTGTTCTTCCGTCGCATAGGGCGTTGGCACAAAATAGTTAAGGGTACTAAAAGACGACGTCGAAGACGGTCAACGGGTGCGACTCAATGGTGCATCATCAGAAGGGCGATTCTATTTGACAGGGATGGGATCCCAGTCGGGCACTACAGATTCCTGCGCAGAACATAATCCATATTGTCGAATAGAATGAAATCGTGCGAATGCTGATTCAACCACTAAAATAGATAATTGTGAGACCAGGATTTCCATTCACAATTCCGACAATTCGGCGGACACAATTCTGAACATAGCCCACTCGGCAGCCGAAGCCGATCAAGAGGAGTCAATAGGGGATTCACGGCGGACTGCTGCCAGCACACACCATCTGCCTCATTATATGAGTCTGGGCGTCTCTTCTTATCAAATCCAAATCCACAAGTTCACCACTGGGCTCATTAGGAAACTGGATCCAAGCCTTGAGGGCAGAATCATTCAGAGCTTTCGTATCTCGACTGTAAGCTGGGGGATCGCAACTAGGTAATTTATTCTTATTTCTCTGCTGACCCACGGCCGTGGCTATTAGACATTCTATCTCCGTCTAAGTCCACGCAGTTCATATCGGAGACTTCCCGCTGTTTCTGCAAGCCACAATCTTCCTTCCATCCGCGATTTCGAGACCCCCTCTGTTGAGTGAACTGATTGAATGCATCCATGGGAACACGGAGAATTCCAATGCTTAATTGGTCCATATCTCTGCAGAGCTGGACCATTACTGTGTCTTATCTCCGTTCAGCAGCAACCTCCATAGAATGTAATGTTGCTTGCAAAGATCGACTGATTCCCTGCATCGACAGCGATTCCAGTGGCGGAGCGGACAAGGTGCCCAAAGGTATCTAGGACGTGGAAGACGGGCCCAAACAATGCATGTGATGTCACCCACAAATTATATAAATTCACTTTAGACAGGAGCCAGGTTTAAGTACGTTCTCATCACCGACCCTTTCCTACGAGATTTTAAATATTTCGTCTCCGACTCAAAGTCTAGAAAAACTGTACTATCAGTCGATTCAGCAATGTCTGCTAAGCCAAAGTTCCTTTTTGTCCTCTCCTCCCAAAACATTCTCCCCAGCCGTGGCACGCAGACCGGATGGTACCTTCCAGAGTTGGTTCATCCCTATAATAAGCTCGCTCCATTGTTCGAGATCGTTATTGCATCTCCCTGTGGTGGTGAAGCGCCGCTCGATCCCTATTCAGTTGAAGCAACCAAAGAAGATCCTGAATGTGTCTCCTTTCTCAAGGAGAAATCAGGTGTTTGGAAGAATACGCTGAAGCTTGACTCCCTTCTGGGCAAATCTTCAGAGTTCACTGGGATATTTTACGTGGGTGGCCATGGTCGTAAGTCGTCATAGATTCTATAGACACCCTCAAACCCACAGCTCACTAGCCAACTTGTCTTAGCAATGTTTGATCTTGCCAACGATGTGACTTCTCATGCCCTGATCCGTGAATTCTATGAGAATGGAAAAGTTGTTTCTGCCGTCTGCCATGGCCCGGCTGCTCTTGTCAACGTGAAATTGTCTGACGGTAGCTACTTGGTCGCTGGTCAGAAGGTCACTGGTCTTTCTGACGCTGAGGAGGAATTCATGCAATTCACCAAGGACATGCCGTTCCTACTGGAGTCTGAGTTACGCAAGAAAGGTGCGGTTTACGAGAAGGCCGACGACCTCTTTGGGGTAAAAGTACTTGCCAGTGGTAAGAACGGGAAGTTGATTACTGGGCAGAACCCACCCAGTGCTACAGTGATTGGCGAGGCTATGATCAAGGTCGCTGGAATCTAAACGGTAACGCAGGTGAGCTAGGGACATGAAGAAAGGGCCACTCGGTTATATGGATAATTGCTATGAAGACACCGGAAATGAAGTACTTTGATACGTACAAACCTAGTCTATCCTATTATACCAATGAAGCTACCCCCGTATCTCTTTTGTCTCCTTTGGAAGTAAGCCTCTGCTAAAGCATTGCCGGTATTGCTGATGTCAGCTTTTCTTTCTTGTTGCAGTGGGCAAGAAGTCCTTTGATTAAACTGTTCGTGGGCCGGACCCTGACAAACTTAATGTCGAATATACGTCATTTTTGCCAATCTCAATTGAACTATAAGCACATTGCATTAGCTGAAAGCGGAGCACTTGCTTGACTTGTTAGGGCAGGGAGATTACCCGGACCAATGATAGCTGAGCTGTAAGCACCTTGCATTAGCGTAGTTTGAGGAAACTCAAACAGACGAGACCAATTGCTTATTTAGCCACTTCCAAGAGCTGGATTGGTAAATGCGGGAACATTGCCACAGAGACAAGATCGACGGGATAAAGAAGATTTAAATCTCAGGCGTTCTGCGCCTGAGGCTTCCCTTCAATTACTATACATAGCCATGTAGTAATGCCGTTTGATTCGTACACAAGGAAAAGACTAAAGTCCTTGGGCAACATCCAGGGGAGTGGGTCTGAAAAAAGCTAGCATCATCCCAAGTCAAAAGCCGCAAAATCCGATTGCCCGAAAGAGAGACTATAACGTAGTAAATAAGGTGCACTACTCTTGAACTAGGACTGGTCTGTCTCAAACAACCTTTTAATTAGAAAAATTTATTGTTGATCCGGGGCTGTGGTGTAAATTAGAGGCTGGCTGTGCGCCTTTCAGGGAAGGATAATGGAGTTAAGTGCAGATGACAGGCGGCCTGAATAAGTTCCTCACTCCCCCTTTGCACAATATTTCAAGGTAAAATAAGGGAAATTTGAATCGTGATTATTAGAACTCTGCAAATAGGACGTTGCCTAACCCTGTCGCTGTTGTGAGTCTCCGTGTGCCCGACTCCACCTATTACGGGTAGGTAAGACGCTGGATACTCAAAGGTAGCAGGGAGAGATGATATTTCTTTCCTCATCCTGTAAAGCCCTAGTCTGGGCATCCTAATACGCATTCATATGGTGTGCACATATGTAAAGGTGGGGATCATCCCGCTGGGGTTTGTGTTGCAGAATACAAATGGCGATTTTGCTGCTGGTAAACTTGGAATATAGGTAGATATATTTATTAGCTGTTCATGGTGATAACAGAACCTGGTAGCGTTCTGCGATTTCTGACATCTTTTACCCTGAATTGATGCACTTGCCGTCAGACTGTTGACCTCATAACATTGTTGTATTGTCTACCAAGAGGCTCTGAAGATGATGTGGTATATAATAGGGGAGGAGCTAGAAGGGTTACCTGATTAGTTATTAAACACCTTACAAGCCCTAGAATAGGCCTACCTAGAAAGCTGCTGATTAAAGGTAACTTTAGAGGAGGAAGTATAGTGGGTAAAATAACCAGGAATAAGTAAGCATCTAGCTAAAGACATATGAGATTTAAACTACTTATGTTAAACATAAGATGCACTTATATAATGTTAAGATCTGACTAGTTATATATAAGCCCCCTAGTTAGTAGTTCCTTTGTTAGGCGCTGCTCCTAATAGCTTAATTCACTGGCATGAATAGTGAAGCCTAAGTTTCCTTTGTTATCCAGGAGTGGGATTGCATAGAGTTGCATTCAGCCCAAGTTTGGGTAAGGCCTACCGTAACGGCATAACCATCACTGAACCCCAGTGATTTCACGTTTAAATTTTAGAAGTTAGGACCCACCCTGACGGTATATACAGGTGTTAGAGATATATTAGAGGGAGGTAGTAGCTTCTACAGTTAACTACTTAGTTAGAAATTATTAATACTACGGATATATAAAGATAGGGTTTACTATAGTATTCTATAGCTTTAAATTATTAAAATAGCTGCAATAGACAGTCTATAGAGAAGAAAAAAAAAAAAAAAAAAAAAAAAAAAAAAAATTTAAAAAAAAAAAAAAAAAAAAAAAAAAAAAATTGTAGAGTTATATAGAATTTAATATGAAAATCTTGCCAAGAACTAACACTAATTTTGAATATGCTAGATAGTACTTTGACATACACCCCAATCCCATTCGTGTCTACACTGTGTTTGACCCCAACAGTGCAACACATAAGTAAATTAGAAGTCACTTTGATGACAAACCAGTATTGTTCACAAAGCCTATATCACATGAGTAGATGATGGATAGAACAGGGGAAAATTAGCCTTTATATACCTGCGTGCTCGGCTGAACTAGTATTATGTTTGCAGTTCTGCCTGAGCCTATACTGCTCTAATAAACATCTGCCTGCATACAAAAGGTCCCTCCTCCATTGGTCAAAGTAAAGAAGTATTAGCTCGTATCACAAACTAGATTGCCTTAGTGGTTTGCTTAGATCACTAGAATGCAGCCAAGATTTGAAGGACAATTTAATCAGGGAGTGGCTTCCATGAATCCAAATGGGCCCAAATGGCAGATCAAAGACCACTAATTTTGTGGGTTAACAACAAATCTCTTTCCAGTCACACTCAAAATGCTATCCAGCACTTCTTGTACACTTCTCAAGCCGTTCTCCTTTTTGATTATGCTGCTAGGGATAATCTGTCCATTTGCCAGTCCCTTTGGAACATACTTTTCGAAGAACCATTTTCGAACGTCTTCGTTTCCATCCTTGAAAAGCAAAGAAGTATAGGACGCAAATATTCTCTCCACGTTGGTTGGAATCAGCTCATCGCCCATAGGAGGCAAAGTAGTGTGGTACAATCCTCCCTTCTCGCCGAACATGGCGACCAGCATAGCTGTCACGGGGGGTGTGCCAATGGCATCGAATACGGCATCGTAGGGGCCGCGAGATTTGAGCTCGCTGATCAATTTCTCACCAGGTAGCGTATGGTCGATGATGTAGGAAGGATTGTGCTCCTCGACGAGTTTTCTATGTTTTGGAGACGAGGTCGTGACAACTTCGTACCCAGCATCGGAAGCGTACTTGGTAGCGTACCGACCACAGCTCGATGAGCCTCCATATATGAGGACCCTCTTGCCATTGGGTCTCGCCTTTCCAGAAAGTGGGGGACGCTCCAGTCCCATCTGTATGGACAAAGCCGCTACTATCGTAGCCAAATTGGTGATTGCCACAGATGCATCATCGAAAGTAGTGCTCCGGTCGAGTTTTGCGAGGGAAGATTCACTGGCGAGAGCGTACTTCTGAAAGGCACTATAGCTGTTCCCACCACCGGGCTTTTTGCTAACCACCACACGATCTCCCAATTTTACGGAGGCAACGGCGGGACCAACTTCCTCGACTATGCCAGCGAAGGAAACCCCGAGAATGGCAGGGTAAGAAATGGGGAGCGCAGAGTACCTGGAAAGGGCGTTAGCGACACCTTTTAGCTTTGGAGGGACTAGGCCTACTTCTGTATCTTTGCATCAATGGAATTGAAACCGATTGACTCAACTTTCACCAACGCGTCTCCCGGGCCTGGAGTGTACATCTGGGCCGGCCGAATTTCGACATTGGCTTTGGGCTCGTTGATCCAGGCAGCTTCGTTGGCCATTGTGGAGTTATCTTATGTTGAGAATCTCTGGGAAGTTGTATCGTAGCTTATTAAGGATGTGACAGTGCTGTGTCCTAGTCTGTTGAACTTCACTCACCTTCTGCGGAACTTCGCTGCAATTTAACCAATTGCCAGGTTTCCGCGTTTTGGTGCTTAATAAGTACCAAAGGCATTAACTACCTCCAGTCTCACATCGATTTGTAAGGATTAGAAATTGCAAGCCATGAGTCTGCGATGTATCGACACMAAGGAGGCTCAAACATATCCATCTCCTTGGGAATCGGAACCCGGAAGGACTGTCACGGACCGCTCAGCTCCTCACTGACGAAATTTATTAGCCATTTATCCGCTTTTCTATGGGGTTCGGATTTTGCGGCGACTGGGATGTTGTAATGGCACCGGAATTGACCGAATTCCACGCCACCTGTTCGTGTACGGAGTATGCAGAGACCGCCAAACCCAAACGGGGAAACCGTATCCAACTCTATCTACGGGGGTAGCAAATGAGCATGTGGGCACATGTGACATACAATGAATACCCCAGTTTGTGGGTCCAGTCATTTCGCAGCTTCACTGACAATCCGGAATGATCAGTTGAGCCGACGGCAGAAACGGGTTTTGAAATCCAAGATCTCTATCCCTCCACGGCATCTACCCCACCGATAGTGCCGTTTTTGGTAATCGGTAGTTATCCAATCGCCGCAGCGGATTAATGCTGTCTTGGTGAGCAGAAACATGAAGAGGCTAGAGCTAGGTCAAACATCAAGCTGCTGAGGAAAGTATAGGAAAAGCCATCGTTAACTGAATCTACTGCCTCAATCTTCTCAATTTCCTTCTTGATCAAGGTCACGGTCAAGCCGGCGATGCTCTCCTTGAGGTATTCGACCTTCCTGCCGCCGACGATGGAGAAGACATAGGGCGCCGCTTGCGATCACCGAAGGCCATGACCAAATTGAGCAGCTCAGTCCCCTTGTCATTGCTAACATCCCAGAGGATCTAAGAGACCTTTGCTGGTGCTCCGATGGATTGATAAGCTTGCCAACCGAGTTGTACCTCTCAAGTCCCTTGAAACCATCTCTGGTCTGAGAAGGACTGTGGTTCAAGGCCCTGTAGAAACACAAGGCCATTGAATATAGGAACTCTCAGTACATATGTCCCCTCAACAGCATGTTTATGAACATCGCTCCCCGTTCAGCCGCTCAGCCCGAGGGCAGATTCCCACCACTGTCTTGACTCCCGAGAATACTCCAACATTTCGTCCAAACCCGACAAGACAGCCTGTTTCTGCGAGTCATCAAGGGTAATGGTCCCCTGCCAAGACAGAATATTCACTAGCTTTTGCGCGTCCGCTGCATCCTGTTGCCGCTTGTCAGCTGTGGGACGCATGCCGCAGCTATTGACTTTGTAGACAAGGAGGTCCAGCAGGGAAAGAAAAGGAAGATGGTTCGGGTCCACCTCCTCCAGGGTTGCCGCGTCAGCCGGAAGGTATGGCAGCTATTAGTGTGTTAGCCTTGGTGCAATGCGAGAGGAGAGATTGAGTTAATTTCCAACGAAGCTTACCAACTCCTGTGGGATGAAGTCCACCTTGACCGTATCTGGGATATCGAGACAGGAGGATACTGGCTCCGGTACGTCCTCGAAGTCGTTCGGGAAGCGGGAGGCTAATTTAGCCCGGACATCCCGAGTACAGATCGGGTGGTCCCGATCGAAAATTAGGATATCAACATCCTGGAGGGTGAGCTTGTGAGCGGTGTTGGTAAATAAAGGCAAGAATACCAACTCACCTTTGTACGCCGGTAATCTGGGGCGTAATACTGAAGCGCGAGACCCCCAATTATGGCAATGTTAGCTCGTTGTAGCTCCGGAGCCTCTGGTAGAGCTTGCAGAGAGGTGATAACTGCTCGGGCTGCTACTGAGAGATCCTCCATGATGAATTAGACCACTCACAATGCAACGCTTGGTTGTGAGTCCGGTAAATCTAGACGATCCCAGCAGCTATTTATCATAGGAGATCTTGCCTGCTTGATATGTCTCTTACTATCTTGCTATTCACCCTATAGAATGTGGCGGTATGAACGTGAGACTGTATGACGCTCTCGTTATGAAAAGGTAAAGAAAGCACTCTAACACATCTGGTCTCAGTGGATTTTCAGCAGGAAGACAAAGAAGTATTTCACTCAAACGAAGCCTTTCCAGTGACTTCTATTTATCCGCCACCCCCTGTTTCGCGTCTTCTCAAGCATTAATCTGAATAGAGTCAATAATGGATCGGACCACGATATAACGGACATAAAAATAGTAACCTTTGGTCCAAAGCTGAAAAATGAAAAGGTCAAGACAGAAGACTACAATGAACAGGCAAGTCTAATCAACATGCATCAACACCAGAATCATGTCTTCCCTCATGTGCTCTCCTGCGCCTCTCCTTCTTCCTCCTCCTGGGGGAAGAAATTCGCGCTCCTCAATTCCGCCGCCAGTCTGGCGCTATAACGAAACAATGGTTGAGAACTGCGAGGGTTATTCCAAAGCCGCCAAAAACGGTGAAGGCGAGGCGCAAGGTCATCTCGATCCAGAATACAGTACAGACCGATGTAGGTCATTTCATGGAGAAAAAACCCTGCTTGAAGGCTGTGCCCTTCGCCCTCAGGTCTCTGGTTGCGAAGATACCCATAGGCCAAGGACTCCGCGTAGCGCGGTAGCGTGGGCATTTTGACGGGGTAGTGAGTATAGGGCACCCGTCCTGACTGCATTCTTGTGTCGTACACGTCGGTCCGATCACCGGTGACTAGCATGTAGTTGGGATCATCCGGGGCGGGCGCCCCTAGCGGGATGTCCGGCAACGTCCACAGCAGCTGAGACTTTTTGTGGAGCTCCAAGCGAAACGGATGCGAAAATCCTGTTTGGCCGTTGTGGCCGCGGGGTGGTTGGGCCTCGTCCTTGAGGATGAAGTGCGCGTAGGAATGCGGGAGTGTGCAAATTGGCTGGAGGAGGTGGCAGTCGTCCCCTTGGGGGCAGAGAGGGAAGTTGGCTGCGAGAAGGACGTCGCGCGCTCTGTCGATGTGTTGGTCCGGGATAACAAAGGCAAAGTCCTGAGCATGGACTCGTTGGTCAGCGTCTCAGGCTTGGTTAAACTGCGCAGAAACAGAACTCACGTCGAGGACAAGAGGCACCCCGTAGCAAGCCAAAACGTAAGGCCCCCACATGACATTGGGAATGCCGTTGGCATCCAACAGTTTGGCAATGGATGCAACGAGATCCTTGTCGACCTTCTGGCCTTTGAATTTGAAGTCGCTCATCTTGATTGCGTTCGGTCGGTTGTCCAAGTGTCTTGGGAGCGATTGTCTTCGGGGCCGGGTTGCATGGTCATTTATATGGCGTGTTGGCAGATTCACTGGATGAAATGACCAACAGGTAATCGATCCATAGTTGAAAGGAGACGACACACAAGCGCCCTCGATTGAAGGACTCTTGACCAGTGTCGTCCTCGAGAACAAAGGAAGTTTAACCCGAGTCTCCGTTGCCATGAAACTAGAAGAATCTATGATACCAGATCAGACAAAGAGACACCAGATTAGCCTTTGATTATGCAGACTCGTACATGACATCCTCGTTGGTGAAAGCGAGACAAAGGAGGAGGATAGAATCTCTCCATGAAAGACTCGATCCGGCTTGTGGTCGTCAAGCGGTCCTTGATATCATCTTAATCCTTAATGTTAAAGGATCCACACACGGAGAATTGGTGGCTGCCGGGATTAGAGAATGGCCGCCTTTGTTGCGACTTCTTGCAAACATAGGACACCACATTGGAGATTATTTTAGCCGGAAATCAGCATTGAGCTCCAGGGCCGATTCCAGTCCAAAAAGCAACTCAGGCTTTGTTTCCTTTCGCTGGAGCCGATACCATGGCCTCATCGGCAGTTCCGGGATAGATGCACGGGCTTGACACCTCCACTAGAGAGACATCATTTACTCATGTAGAGTAGGCCATTGCCTCTATCGATGCCACTTCCAGCCCTATACAGTCTACAATCAATTCGGAGGCTTGAGGACAGAACTTTCTATCTAGCACCCTCCGCAGCTAAGACGTCTACCTCGTTGAGTCCTGGTATCCCGGAGCATGCTTCTTTGACTTCACTTATACATTCTTCTGTCGAGTTCAATCTACCCCTTATCATCCAGTTTTATCAAATACTCGCCTTGCATTTCACCGTTGACGTCAACATCCATGATACCCTCGACACGATCATTTAAAGTATCAGCACCAGCACCGACTGGCACCAAACATGCGACTTGTTCGAAGCGTATTGTTTTCGATACAGTCGATGCCTTCATACTGGGCTTGATAAATAGAAAATTCCGGCTCTGTTCTCTGTGGTTGCCTTGATCCAGCCTATTGTGGCGATGCAGGAGGCGTCTGTAACTATGTGGCTCGGGGTGGGCTATGCTCGTATTGATGTGGCTTGTCCGGAAGCTTTGCGCGATATATAGCGATTCCTGATACCCTGATACTTTTCTGAGGGAACGTGAACGATGTTGCGCCCGGATACGAAGGGTCTCAAAGCACTTAGGTCTACCAGATGGCTCGATGACTTTCCTTGTGCCTTATAACCTCATGGGTCCAGCAATATGGGTTAAACGACATGAGGGAAGCAGCGACGGGGAATTTCACTTGACGACAAAAAGCATCGTGGGACTGGTGTTTTTTGGAGTCGGTTGTCTATGGTGCATCGTGTTCGGATTGTTCTGGTACAGAAACAAGTCCCGAAAGTTCAAACATTTCAGCATATTTGGCTTTTCAAGGGCAGTGCCGTCAATGCCACCGCTCTTCAGAATCACGATAGAACCATCACCACCGAATCTACAGCTGGATAATAATACAACACAGCACAACACTCAGAATGGAAATGCCAGCATGCCTGCACAGCCAACTCCAGGGCCATATCCGGCATATCCACGACCTCCTCGAGTTCGACCGCGCGTGCGACGCCCGGATTCACCTCGGCCTTCAATGATTCTGATGAACGACGAGAACCAGGACGAACACAGTCGGTTGCATTATCAAAACGCTCAAATGCTCCCAGACGGACGATTGCCGGCTGAGGATGAACCAGAACAGCTTCCGCCATACGAAGCACCTCCTCCCCCTTATTCCCCTCATCCATGACAGTGATGCACAGCAGGCTAGGTAATATTATCCTGATAGGGCACGTTTTTATAACCTTATATCTGCAATCTTCTGCTTCTTGAGGCGTGTCTATCTAAGTGAAGATGACATTTGCCGAGACCGCCCATAGAACCGGTTACTGGATATTTCCGCGCTTCTAGTCCCTCTTACAATACCTATAAGATAACCCTAACAGCAATATTGACATACAAGAGCCCCCAAGACGACCATGAGTTTCGAAATCAGCTTTGGTTAAGCACCTTCTCCTCATCGCCCCTGAGGTACGGATTCGGCGATCATACTCGAAATGACTCCATGCAGCGGAGATTTTGAACGGATGGAGTACATCAAGCATCACACTTTGATGCAAGGTACAAGCAGTCCAGTCCAGTCACTTGTCGCCGGCTCAACGATTTTGTAATAATTCCAAGATGTCTCCTCTGGGAGCCGGTAGAGTCAGCGACCTTTCAAAACTGTACGAGCACCTTGGTCGTAAGAATCCTAGCTTGAGCATATGGATAAAGGGACAAGCTGCGTCAAAGCGGCTGTTTGAGGTCCGGGGGTAAAGTTGGTCCTGTCGGAACAAAGAGCATTTCTGGCTCGAATTGTAGAGAACTACTGTATCCTTGCTATTGGTATTGCCATCAACCCTGGTGGTCGATCATCTGACCTGACTCCTCCTGTGATACCAGGCAGTGCCGTCTTGTCAGATCGACCACACCAATTGTTCAACTGCGGAATAATTACTGATGTGTATGAAGCTGACAAATGGAAGGTATACAGTCCGCCACCGAGATACGGATCCTGACACCGGGAGAGTGCTGACTCACAGTTGCATATCCCGAACACGAGCATGCCACAACAATTTAAGGCACCCCGCGGATCGTCATTGACTGAGCAATTATAGCCCATACTTTCCAATGACGTCGATGAAACTGTCGGCACTGCATATCCGGGGTATCATGCCTAACAACAAACAAGGGAAGGTGTAGACTACATCCATGAAGTGGCAAGAGGGCTCAAAGAAGAACTCGGTGTACTGATAGTAATGATTTCATTGGATACCAGTCAGATGAGAAACTGCCTGTCGTTGGATTATAATCAATTTGTCTTTTTGTAGTTCAATGACTGGCGAAACAGCATCCTCGTTGTCAACGGTCATTTCACCCTATCCCAAGATTACGCCTTTGCGGGCTCACCGGACTACCCCATTTGTTAGGAGCTGATGCGCTACAACATTGTGTCACCTTTTGGCCACGCTCATAACAATAAAATAATTGATTATAGAGCACTGTCACATGGTAACTAGACAGTGATATAAAATGATCGCAGATATACCAGAATACGTTCCCTCACATCGCAACCAAAATCATTGCTCCTGTCTATCCAACAACTCAAATAACCAAGGATGACTGTGAAAGTTGGCATCAACGGCTTCGGCCGAATCGGTCGCATTGTCTTTCGCAACTCTTTCTCCCATGACGATGTCGAGGTTGTTGCTATCAACGACCCGTTTATCGATCTCAAGTACGCGGTATGTCGCTCTCGTCATGATCAATCCTTCTACGACGAGATCCATTAACAAGAATGTTCAACAATAGCAATACATGCTCAGATATGATTCCACCCACGGCCGCTTCGAGCATGAGATCTTCCAAGGCGAAGACTCCCTCACCATTCAAGGGCGCAAGGTGAAATTCTACGCCGAGAAAGATCCCGCCAGCATCCCCTGGCACGAAACAGGAGCCGAGTACATCATCGAGTCTACTGGCGTCTTCACGACCATCGACAAAGCCAAAGCGCACCTTCGCGGAGGAGCCAAGAAAGTCATCATCTCTGCTCCGTCCGCTGACGCCCCGATGTACGTGATGGGAGTCAACGAGGAGAAATACGACGGCACAGCGGACGTGGTGTCTAACGCATCGTGCACCACGAACGCCATCGCCCCCTTGGTCAAGGTTATCAATGAGAAGTTCGGGTTCGTGGAGGGCCTGATGACTGCTATCCATGCATACACTGCGACGCAGAAGCTGGTTGACGGGCCTTCGTCCAAGGACTGGCGGGGTGGGCGTGCAGCCGCGGAGAATATCATCCCTAGCAGTACCGGCGCGGCGAAGGCGGTTGGTAAGGTGATCCCAGAGCTGCAGGGTAAGGTCACTGGCATGTCTCTGCGGGTGCCAACCTCGGATGTCTCGGTCATCGATTTGACGTGCCGGATTGAGAAGAGTGCCTCGTATGAGGAGATCGTGGCTGCAATCAAGGAGGCTGCTCGTGGTCCTCTCAATGGTAGGTCCCGTCTTTCCATTCGTATCCGATGTTTTAAGTGTATCTAATTGCTATAGGCGTTCTGACCTATACCGAGGATGATATCGTGTCAAAGGACATAATAGGGAACCCACACTCGTCCATCTTCGATATCAAGGCCGGTATTTCGCTGAATCCCAATTTCGTGAAGTTGGTGAGCTGGTACGACAATGAGTGGGGATACAGTCGTCGAGTGCTGGATCTAGTGGCCCACATCGCCAGTGTGGATGCTCGAAAGTGACCTCCTTCTGAAGAGGAGTATTGCAATTGGCCTTTTTCGTGTTTTTTGATTGTTTGCCTTGTGTTGGTAGTTCATAGTAAAAATCTATGTAGCTTTGCTTGTTCTATGTTCATTCATGCCTCTAGCTGAGTTGCGTTTGTCTTATCCAAAGCGTTCTGACACATCACCCTGATCTGCTCCCACCTCTTTCGAAGCGAAGCTACCTTGGTCTGCTGCCCAACTTGCCCTTCGCTTTGAGCTCCTAATGATCCAATAGCCTCTATTGTTGTATTGCTCTCTCGGAGGTAGATTTCAATCCACTCACGGATAATGTTCCAGGTTTTCCGCGTGTCGAATGCTTTAGATGCTCGACCTTGTACGTAACTTCGAAAGTCCTTGGACGGCATGTACTTGACACACGCCGCGTTAATCGTGCGAGGGCAGACGCCAGAAGACGTGACTTGGTAGTCGCTGCCCCTGTTGATTAGCAGGTTGCGCAGGGGATATGGCGACCACTTACCCAAGTCCTTGCTGGAACGCAAGCTCTTCCCTTTCCGCTTCAGAAAGGGTATTTGAGATGATATCATCCAGGAATATAACGTCGGACTCGTTCTGATCGAGGAAAAATCCATCTGCTTTAGGTCAGCCCTGCCGGTCCCGTTACGACAAGGGTACTTACACTCGACGAAGAGAAAATCATTGGAGTGAGCTCCGTAGCTCATGAAGATCTCCTCCCCTTTTTCTACACTACCGGGTCAGATATCTACTTTGGCGGCATTCGCATAGTCCCTACCGTATCGACGAGACGCAGTAAAGGTGTACTTTGCTCCATCAAACAMAACCTCGCAATCCTACTCACGGCATTAGCTTCGCCGCGACTTGCGACACCGCGGTGTAGAGTGTACTGACAGCGTCATCTGAATGATTGAAGTAATCTGCAAAAGGTACAAGTCCTATGGCGTCATTCCAGTCTTCAGGAGGTTCGTGCCCGGGCTTGACGTAGTAGAAGCTTCTCGTGTTCAGAATTAACCAGTGGAAGGAAAATTTATCCCAATCCATGTGCGGGAACACGGTGATTACATTCCGCCATGCGTCCTGAAGCCTTTTCTCCTGCTGCGCAAGCAGGTTCTGGCTCGTGGACTCGAATTTTCTACCTTTCTGGCTAGTTTCAAATGAATTCCAAATGCCAGAAGCTGAAGGAGGTAGGAGAAAGGGCCTCTCGCAGGGAGTCTGCTGAAACTCCGAGTTCGACCTCCGTAAATTTTCCGGCCACAGGATGGGCATACTGTCTTCAAAGTCCTTGCGGGAGGGCCAGACTCTGCGCCACAAATCCCATCTCTTCAGAAATTCATGATCTCCCTCTGTCAGAAATGCGGCCAGGATTCCATGGATCGATGTCCCAGCAGGAAACTGTTTGATGAAGGAGGCCGGGATGGAATCGATTGTGATCATCAGATCCAAAGGGACTGTGATCATGACCTCACCCTCCTGAAGCAAAGAATATCGGTGGTCAGCCAAGCATCTATCCGTGAAGTCTTTCGTCCTCTACGCACCTCTATGTTTCTGGTCGCGATCATGCCTGACCCTCGGCCTGGTATGTGCGCGGGTGTGACGCCATTTATCTTGACTCCCTGGGCCTTGGCCCATCGCATAAAGTCAGTATGTTGTTTACCTAGCTTTGTATGTGTCATTTGTCGAGTATTATGCCCTACGGGTGAGCGTTGATTTACATGTTGTTTGTTGTTGGCAGTCGCCTTCAACAGCAAAACATATCGCGCGACGCGCCGCATCACGTGATTCTTGCTTGCCTTATAATTGTGGCGCGGAATAGTCTACTCATGCGTTACATACTTTTGAACACAATTTGTTGTCCATTCATATCAGCAAGGTGTTTAAGATTTGACCGTCAATTAAAGATGGACCAACAAGTCTTAATAGCCCCAATTGGTAGATTCTCACGCGATCCGAGCTTCTGCAGATTCGACCCCCCGCGAGATCCGAGGACTCTGGTTGAACATGGCTGGATGCTCCTCTGTATATCACAATCATGACGGAAGACTGGTCTTTGAGTATCGTCAACAAAGATGTTGATCAACCCCTTTGTAGAGAGTCTGGGTATGGTAGGTGCTTGGAACAACCTGGGGGTTCGTACAACACGGTGGGAGCCTCATTCTCCACCGCATGCAAGACTGAACCGTGTCACTTGGAATTGTGTTCGAAGCAATCTTCCCGACGTCTCAAGTTGTGAGCAACTAGAAAGGACAAGCTTCAACGGCAGCATAGTTGAAGTTAAAGACGACCTCACTGAAGGGTTCAGCTATTGGGCCGTAACGCGTAAGATCGGACCGGTAAGAGCCTAAAGTTCTTGGGGAAACCCGTCTGGATCTCCGAGAGAAAGACAGTCATTCCAGCTTCCTTGAAGATCTTCTTGAACTTCTCATCGGTCCTGGTGACGCTGCTGTCCACCTCATCGAACATGTCCTCCCCATTGATATTCGTAGATTGATTCTCCTTGACCACCATAATACCAGTCTCCGTCAAGGCAGCCCGGCACCGTTTCACATATTCAAGCAATTGCGCATCCGTCAAATGTCCCACGCACCACTGCGTCCAGATCAAATCGTACTTCTTCTCCGGATTCCAGTTCTCAAGCCCAACGGTGTAGATATCCCCGACGATGCCATCCTTCTTCAGGGAGCTGTTGCGCACGACCTCGGTGAATTTCGCGACCGGTTCCACCACATCCACAACCTCACAGACCTGGCTGAGGAACCCTTCTGTTATCCGTCCGACTCCTGCACCACAGTCCACCCCCAGTTTGAGCTTGCCTTCTGTGCTGCAGGACGGTAGAAGCCGACGAACTTTGGCCAAGAAGGCCCGCGATCCTCGTAGGTCGATGCGGGAATACCACGGATAATCGCCGAGCATGGCCAGCATGCCGTTGGAGGTAGCAGGGACATCGTTCCAATACTTCAGCGACGCTGCGTGATCGATCTTGGAATCTGGCGTTGATTCGGGCTGTTCCTTCGAGCCTTCAGGCTTTGCTGATGCTGTAGATGACGACATTATTGGTCAATTGGTGAAGTTGTTCGAATGTCTTGACTCGGAAGTCTGAAGAAACAAAATTGGTGAGTGTTATCAATCACGTGATTATCACCCCTCCAGGTGATTTCGCATTGACAGCAATCAACGGTCCAACCTGCGCGTTGGACCTCGATGGAAAAACTCCTGCTGGCATTTTCTAGATACTTGCTTGTACTAGAGTTGTCCGTGTTACATGGGCGGTGTTCCCTCTGAGTCCTAACACTAGTGCTATGTATGGGCTGCTTGCGGATAAGCTGCTAAGATATATAATTTCTCCGCAAAAGCTGGGTAAATCAGGGAGTGGAAAGCTTGTTCAAACTATCCCAGATCCCACTTTACCTAAGTTTCCGAAACGACGATGAGAGTCTAGAAGATGTTCATATTTGATCTGGCAGTGCATATATCACTTCAAAAAATGCTGTGGGGCCTTCTCAAAAACAGAGATGGCCTCCTCTAATCGCTTCTCATACCCCTTCAGCTCCTCACTATCCTGATCCTCCACGCCCTGGCCGGATTCGTCGTCGGTCTCTTCCTCACCCTTCAATTCTAATTCCGCTTCGTCGGCTCCTTCACCCCTAGCGGTATTCACGGACAAGACATCACGATACAATCCCATCGAAAGTGGTAGCTTCGCGCTTGCCGCATCTCCCTTGCCCACCTTGACAAAACGAGCATCTAGTAAGCGGTACTGAGCAGCCCAAACATGCTGATCGGCTAGTTCCGTAGTCATCTGCCAGGAGTTGCCCTCGCCGAGACTCAACGACCCGCCCACAGGTACGCTTGATAGCGCACCGACGAGGGCGGCGGAAAAACCTGCGGATATCTTACAGGAGTTATGGCGAGAGACCATTGCACGTGCGTCTTCGAGAAGATAAAGTCCAGTCAGCATCCAAACCTTTGGCCGACGTGCGAATTTGAAGTTCAGGACATAGGCGCTCCGGGCGGCTGAAAGCCATAATTTGAGCTTCTCCTGCGCCTTGGGATTGCTCAGGACTGATGTTGCCAGAAATTCTTCAGCACTGTGCCAGGTGAGGATGCGTAGTGGATGCTGTGGAAGGGGTCATGAAACATACTCCTTCAAGATTATTCGCGCTCCCTTCTTTGCTACCACGATGCGCTCAGAGTCCTTGTTCCAGGCGAGAGTGAGATCGATGATATCCCCGCCGCTGAGGCTGACGGCAGGCGTCAGACGAGAGCGTCCGTGGAAGATCACGTTGGAGATATCGCTGACGTAGGCGTACTCCTGGAGTGCTTCCGGGCTATCGAAGAAGTTAGATGATAACTTAACCGCAGAGGATGGGCACGAACCTCAGTAACTCGTGGGTATAATGTCTTGCAACCAGTGGTTCCCAGTATCTTTCCAGGACCAGCGACCCGAGGGTAAGGGCCTCGGGCCTCTCGCCCATACCGTACAGATAGAACGAGGAATCATCACTAGCACCCATCCTGACATCTAATATCGTCGTTGGACTGTTTGAATCACAAATGGTGTTTAAATAATCGCCCAGTAGCACTGCCGACCGATCTTCGATGCCTTTTTAAGTGCCCGAGTGATTACAGATTCGACACGCGGGACGGACCGGAATTTCAAATGGAGATATCCTACCCAGACCAAATTTCATCAAATCTTGTCGCCTATGGGGTGTGGGGGTAAATCATCATCTACTGGCTGAGATTGCTGCGGTGGCTGAGACGGCGTCTCGCCTTCGTCCCGATGTAGTAGCGCTTGACGAAATGGGCACTTATAAGCACCGCCCGTCCCGCGCCTGCGCCCTGACAATGCCATTGTGATGTGTCAGTTTCTATAATGATGTTTGATCAATTTTTGAATATATGTGGAGGATCGCTATTCCCGGAAGAGTACCGGGGCGACCTGGATGCTGCCTGGCAGGAACTGCAGCGAAGTCGTCCCGATCATTCCGCGGCCGAACCGGAGATTAAGGCAGAGTACCTCCATTGTTTCGCGCTCTATTCCATCATCACCGGTAATTTAGCAGAAGCATATCGGACCTTGGAAGATTTGCATGTTTTGCTCGACACTCTGCCGGCAGAATGGGGCTTGCGATATACCATCTACATGCTTTTGGCGGACTATACGCGCCAATACCCGCCAACCCTCCGATTCTACCACGAGCGAGGGAAACCAACGAACATCGCCATGCTGAGCGATATCTCAGGCCCTAACGAAATGGGCGATAGATTCATGGAAAGGCTTCGGACGTATTTCGAAACCGGCTCAGTTCGCAGTAAGGCTTTATGTCAGATTCTATACTCGGTCATGTGGTTCCCCATGCTGGCCAGAAAGCTGAATGCTGAGCTTGATCCTCTGTTTCCCGGTGGCCTCTTCCATAATACAGGCGCAGATCCCGATGCTATAATTGCGGAGCATGCTGCCAGATTGATCAAATACCGTGAAAGTGCTGAAAAGGTCGGCGAGACGTGGATCGCAGCTTATCTCTCTCGGTTGCTTGTGGAATTTCGCATCGCGTCTCAAACATCGGACTGGATGACTGCGCTGGACGACCTATATAATATATATCATAGTCAAGAAGATTTCGCGGGAACGGCCAATTGTCAAATGATGAAAGGAGATGGTCTCCTAGGTCCATCGTTCACCAGTCCCTTGGCTTTGAACTTGGTCCTTGTTGATGCCAGCTCGGCCATCGGAGAGGACAGTCTATGGGATCCTGTTGAACTTGAGCTGAAGGATCAATACTCCCCTCAAGTCAAGGAATGTTACGAAGCCGCTTTGGAATTGTTTCGGAGAGCCAACTGTAGGAGAGGTGAAGCAGCGGTTCTTCTGCGGCAAGCGTGTTGCCTTCATATAGCGGCGCGGCGGCTTAAACCAACTGATTCAAGTCGATCCACCGTCATACACGATGCCCGTACCAAATTAGAACAGTCAAAACAGCTCTTCGGGAAAGATGAAGTCAATTGCCAGATTGTAACGGCCCACCAGATCCTGCTCGATATCACCAGCGGAGAAAACCGCAATGTCAAAAGGTCCGCAAAGGCCATCGGGACATGGGCAGTGCAAGCAAAGAACCAGTCTGTGGGCCACTGTCTTGGACTCCTCATATTCCGCTTCGCGCGTCAGGAATGGTACACGTTCGCCAGAATGGATAATGCCCTCTTGGCATGGGAATGTGCCTATGAGATCTTCGAGAGTATTGACGATGTCGTACCAATGTTTCAGTCCGTTGTCTCCCGCGCTTGGTTACAAGGAGAAATGTTCAACCTGGCCGCGCTCAAAATCCTGCTGGACCGGGCCGTAGGAATGGTTGATAGAGTCCGCCAATATTACGACATCCTGGCTGAGAGTACCCCGAATACCGAATTGGGAGAGACCAATCGAATCATTATTCAGACCAGCAAATTCACTACCCTTTCGAGCTTTGGGTCAAAGGTAAGTACCATGTACCTGCGTCTGGAAGATCCGCAGCTGGCGCACGCGTGGCAGTCGAAATTCGCACGAATTATGGAGGACGATGAAAGTTTTCGAGAAATGAGAGAGCGAATGGAAAAGGGATTTGATTTCGAGAGCGTCTCCCCTGCGTTCTCCTTCTCTAAAACCGGGTTGAAAGGTTTGTGGCAAAGAAGGGTTGCGGAGGATGCTATGGCTGCCAGGTTTCGGGACGCGAAGTTCGAGTTTGAAGAATGGTTTGGTAAAGGTGACATCGTGAGGGCTGAGGCAGTATACCGGCGCTTCATGGATGAGACAAAGAACATGGAGTCATCTTATGCCCGCGATGGCTATCGTCTATTATTTTGCAGGGCCGTTGGAGATCAGACTTCGGCACGGATGATCCTCGACAGCATGGACGATAATGCGCTCTTTCAAGGTAACCTGAATGATTTTCAGCAAGGCATCGGGGTCAAATCTACCTTTTACGGAGTTGCAGACAACGCGCTTATGTTCTGTCTGCTGTCCCGGGACGAGGAGAGAGCCTATCGCATTGTTCAAATCATCCAGCAAATTTCACCAACCTTCTATGATACAATGGAGGACAATGTCATTGACCATTCCTTTCGTCTTAGCTACTATGGCGCGACCATGCTGTATAAAGGTCACTCGGAGGTCGCTCTTCGCCGTTTACTCGAAGCCCGTCAGCTGATTGAGCTTCGGCGTCAACAGACTACGGATGTTGACGCTCGAGTTGGGACATTCAATCCAGGATGGACGATGGAGGTATACCTCAATCTTGCACGAGCTTGCCTCAAGTGCGCCGATGCAAGGGCTCCATTACAAATGCTGCAAAGCCTTGATCACGGCCATCCGGACGACCTGTCGTGGGAGGATCATGCCTTGCTGTTCCTAGAAGAAAGCAGAGCCCGTGCCGTGCTTGAAGCGCTAAAGACGCAGATTGCTCATAACCAAGATGGACATAATCCATCGGCTGCTCTGTCAGAACTGATCCATAAACACAGGCTACTGAGGACGCTACTCGCTTTGAGGCACCGAACACCTGAGCAAGAAGAGGAGACCCGGGACCTTCAGAGCCAGATTAGCCACATAGAAACTGGTCAAGTTTCTGCTACAGCCAGCTCCTTCATTGATGTGGCGAATTCGATTGTACCACCAAAATTACTGTATCAAAGCATCGATGAAGACGCAGTGGTGATAGAAGCAACATTCGGCTATCAGGGCTTCATTGGCTTTGCCGTGACCAGCGATGGAATTCAGAACATATACCAAGGTTGCACTCGCAGCGTGGATATCCTGAAGCCTGTTATGCAGATGATGAAGGTCTTGACAGAGATGACAGGATATTTGGGGGATAAAGAGGAGGAGAGGAAGGAGTTGTTCAGTGAATATGCCCATCAAATCTCCAGGCATCTGGTCGAACCGTTCAAGGAAACAATCATGCAGAAGAAGCATGTAATCTTCTCTACCTCTGATCCGTTGACCGCATTTCCCTTCTCAGCACTTGTTTTGGAGGGTCAGCCCCTCATGACACGCTTCGCAGTGTCACAAATCCCCAGTCTCACGGTCCTGTATCATGTTTCTCAACGCAAGTCTCCATCGGCTGCTCCAACCGTGTCGGTTTTTGCCCGGTCTCCCTCTGCGGAATCACACAGTACCATGAGAGACAAGCAAGAGGCTAATCTGCACTTGGCAGGAATTGAAGCAGTGAACATTGCGAGAGCATTCTCAACGTGGCCAGTTGATGCAACGAATGTGACGCGAGCTGACTTCCGCAAGTATGTCGAGGGCAGCTCCTCCATCCTTCATATTGGCACTCACGGCGATGTTGACTATCGCAATCCTCTTCTGTCGTCTATCTCGATCGGGGAAGACTTTCGAGTCCTTGACATGTCCACAGTAAAAACCAACGCCAACCTTCTCGTCTTCGCGGCATGCCTAAGCGGTTTGGGTAGAGCGACCACAGGCAGCGACATACTGGGATTCTCTCACGTCATCCTTAGTACCGGCTGTCAGGCGTATATCGGGACCCTCCGTAAAGTCAGCGATTTTGCCTCAATGCTGCTGACGACATTGTTTTATCGAACGTTGAAAGAAGCGCCTTCCATGCCATTGGCATATATCCTTCGACAGGCGCAGATAGAAATAGGCCAGTTTGACAGCGAGCGCGTGGCCAACTACCTCGATCAGTTGCTGCAGGCCTCATCCCCAGGCGACGGTGACTCTCGCGGCCCAAAGGACTTTGTGCCAGATGCGGAGTATATGATCTGGACAGCAAAGATGATCTTGGATCAGCTTGATTGGTCTAGTCCTTTCTTCTGGGCACCCTTTGTACTTATGGGATACGGCAGCTTGCGGTTTGCGACGCAATAAGCTTGATAACGTGCGACGATTATCGTGGCCCTTGATCTTTGAAGACTCGATGGCGACCGGATCATGAGTAGGACTTGCCAGGGTATGAGATTTGTGCGCACACACGAATGATGCTGCTCCGCGTTTTGGATGAACACGGGAAATCTGATGCTTTCGTTTCCCTTCTGAGCTAATGACTTCACAACATGCACTATTTATACATCGATACCTTGCGCTACCATGCGTCTACGGTACCTTTTATATTAACAGTTAATAGGCCTTATACACATTGCGCAACTCCTACATTGCGTTGTCTTCAGGTCTTCGTTAGATTAATTACTTGGAGGTAATCTCAAGTATGTGAGGACGAGTCTGAACAAATAAAATAAAACATTTTTATTGAGTCAAAGGCATGACTAGAGTGCATGTGGTTTGGCAATGCCAACAATGTATGGATGTGCAGTGATTGGCAGACGACTTCTATTAGGCTGAAATGCGACAATGTAATCTTCAGTGTGGTACTGGAAGTAGGTACGGAGCAAGTCCAGCTTGTTATATCCAATGGTATTGCCCCAAGAAGCAGCGACAATTGTCTCCTGCAGCATGCACGGCTGACAGCTGCAATGCCCAAGGCGCATCGATGGCGACGTGTCAGTCTGTATGAGATTGGTTATTTCCTCCCGCCATTCGCTTCTGCCCTTCTGTTCTTCTCCTGTTCTTCCCTCTTCCTTACACCTCAGAAGCACAAAAATAGTACATTGAAGTTGAGTTGACTCATCCCCCGAGTCTTAGTTTTATACCAGGAACTTTGGCTACGTCATATATCATTGGCGCCATGAACGTCTCAAGAAATAAAGCGACCCTAGGTGTGTCTCAAACACGGATGCCTCGATGGCCAGAGCCAGAGCTGTCCATCGGAGGTTTCTCAGTGACATGGAAGGAAAGTATAGGTGCTGGGAGGCCGTGGGGCCTCCTTTGAACGAGAGAAACCAGAGATCGAACAGTTGTTTGAAGAGCGGTTTGTTGAAGTACCAAGCTCGAGTTTCATCCTGTTCGACATTTATATGATTGGTGAAACCTAGTCGACCGCCGCCCCCTATATCACGTTTTCCTCTATGCACCGCGAGTCCCGGAAGAAAGCTGTCACCACTGTCGAAGAATCTAGCGTTCTACAAAAATGTCCGCCGGGGATTCGCCTTGGGGACTGCTATTATGCTCCCCATGTCAAGGACTCTCTATTCCTAGCATCTTCAATGGAGGAATGTTGATACAACCATGCTGTATTTCACGGTGGGACATTCAGAAGATACATAGAAGCACTTCTATGCTTACCCCAGGCTCCTTCTAGATATTGGCATGATCTGCGTATCATACTTAAAACCGAGCATGATGACACCAGGCCATCGACCATGACGCAGTGGTGGAATGATGGACGGGGAGGGGGGGCAGAGGTATGCTATATGGTCTGCTATTGTGTTTACTGTTTTTCGGTCTCGTCCAGAGCATCGAGGGTGCATTGCAAGTCTATAAGACATATAACCTGTGATCTGCACAGTTGCATTTTGCAATGCTATGTTACAAGAATCCTTTTACAAGGGGCCCATGTAAGATCGAAATGACAGAAGTGACGTTCAACATAGAAGAAATGACAGTTGCAGTGATTGTAGCAGCCCAAATGAGAGAAATCCTATTGGTAATTGCGCTTTGGCATGATAAATAACATAGCATCTTGAGCTAGCGCTACAAATGTATGATCAAGCCACTGCCTGTGCCTTGGCCCGCTCAGCAACCGAATAGATGCCCACGCGCCCATAGACATCCTTATACTTCTGCCGCACGTAATCATCCACCGAGATCGGCGCATACTTTTCATCCTCCGGTCTCGCGCGACACGACTCAATGCACCGGATCACAAAGTCCGGGTTCCCATTGTAGTTGAATGGGATGGAGTACCGGTCTACATTCGACCGGTTGATCACCCGGTGCACGTTGGACAGGTACTCGTCGTTGGTCCACTGCTGGAACAGATTCCCCAGGTTCACCACATAGGCCCCCTCAACCGGTGGCGCAGGGTAATACGATTGCGTCTCCTCATCCCACACCTCCAGCCCGGGGACATCGCCCTGCAGCAGTAGCGTGATGACGCCAAAGTCGCGGTGGGCGCCGATACCGCGCTGCAGCGGGTCGGCGTCGGCCGGCTGGGGCGGGTAGTGCAGCAGCTTGTAGAAGGCCATGGGCTCTGCGCAGAACTCGTCAAAGTAGGAATCGTCGTAGCCCAGGGACACGGCGATGGCTTGCAGGACTTTCTCGGTGAGGGCCGTAACCTGGTTGAGGTAGTCCATGCAAGTGTCGCGGAAGTGCGGGCCCAGCGACTCGGGCCAGAGGTTGGGCCCGTGGGCGAACTTCTTGGAGAGGACTTGAGGGTGGTCCGGGGGCAGGTCCTGGGCCACGTAGTAGCCTTCTTTTAGGTCGGGCTTGGTGTCCTTTTCGATCATTTGACCGTACATGACTTCGTAGCCGCGGTTGTGGTCGTTTTGGGCTGGGGATATTAGTTGATTTTGTGTGCTTAAAGGGAGAGGGGAGGGGATACATTTGTCTAGTTTCATCTTTTCCTCCAGAGGAAGGGCAAAGAACTCCTTGGATAGCTTGAACATTTCCTTCTGCAGGCTCAGTTCGATCGGATGGTTGGTGATCTGAAAGAATCCCAGTGTGCGGCAGGCATGTCCAATGGCCTCAGTGCACTTCTTCTGGCGCTCTGGATCACCAGAGAGGAAATCGCTAAAGTCAATAATTGGAGGAGATGGCATGATGTCTGCTAGAAATTTTGATCCTTTGAAGCTACACGGTGATGGATTGATCTGGACTGATTGAAGAGAACGTCTCGCTGCTTATATATCTACTCATCATACTCCCTCGTCTTTAGATGATACTTGCTCCGCGACCTGATCTGCGGCCCAAACCGGTAAAACACCCACGGCAATGGCGCCATCGCCAGAGCCACGAATCCCAACAGGCTTGTTGCCCACGACGTCCCCAGGGAATGATACAAACCCGTCGAAAAGAGGGGAAATACGGCTCCAAACAGGGATCGCAGCACTGCATTGGCTGCCAATGCACTCGCCCCAAACGAGCCGTAGCAGTCTGTCAGATATGACGTGATTCCCAGGAAGAGCAGGATGAGGCCAAACCCAAAGGGCACACCGGCCATGATGCCGGAGATCCAATGTGTGGGCGGGGTCGCCGTCCAGGCAAACCAGAACAAGCTGATGKGGATGAGCCATGAGATGACGATCAAATGCGGGAGACGAGCCTCCGGCTGGGGACCGCCCAGGCGCCGGACGTAGATGCCATGGATTCGATTGACATATGGCGAGATCAGTGTGGCGATGGCCATGCCGACGCAGATCCCCAAAAAGGAAAGTCCTGCAATGCCGGCAGACCAGCCGCGTGTTTCACGGTAGACGACAGGGTAGGCCGTAAAATCAAGGTAGAGGATACCGTAGACAAGGGCCATATACAGTGACAGCAAGAACAGGATCGGCTCCGTGAAGAGCATCAGCCAGGGCCGTGTGAGCGTCGTGTATAGCATCTCCTTGACCGGGGGTTGATTGGCTGTGGAATAGCCCGGCATGCATCGTCTTTTGTCCATCAGCAGCTTGGGTGGATATGTCTCGGGAAGAAACACCGTCATGGCAACGTAGCAGAGGCCACTGAGGATCAGCACCACCCAGAAATTCCATCTCCACGACGTGTACTGGCAGATGAAACCACCCACTGTGGGTGCAATGACAGGCCCCAGGAAGCTAGCCGCGGAGAAGAGGGCCAGCGGCACAGATCGATTGTCCTGGGGCCAAATATCCGTAATGGACCCGCCGGAGTTGGTCACAGTTGGAGATCCAAAAAAGCCGGAAAAGAAGCGAAAAACGATCATCGACGCCACGTTGGGAGCCAGAGCACATCCAATCTGGAAAAGGACGAATAGCCCCAGCACGAGCCGGAAGATCGTATTGCGACCCCTGACCGATTGCGTCAGCCTGTTTCTCCTGTAGAAGATGAAGGATTGCAATGCCTGTACATACCAGACCTCAGACAGCGGTGCAAACAGCAGGGGCCCGGACGCGAAACCCAATAGGAAGGTGGTGATGCCCAGCGTCGCAACGGTTGACGAGCAGCCGTACGCATGTGAGATGGACGGAATGGCGGCTGTGTAGATGCTAGAGCAGAAGGCAATTGTCGCAGTCATCAACACGAGAATCCAAGTGCAGATCCCTGTCCCGGCATCAGTATAGGTCACAAAGACGTCAGAGTTCTTACTTGCATTTCTTCCCCGCAGACCAGCTTCTAGGATTTTCTTGTTCCTCCAGCTGAATGGGTCGGTCGGTGGGAATGGGTTCTTTTGCTTCGATGTCTGCTTGAGGCGGGAGAAAGTTTGCCGTGTTCATGGCTACGATGGATGAAGAGACAAACTGGTCAAGAACGGCGGGTTGAGACGTGTTTAATGTGTGTTCTGTTGATGGGGACGCAGGGATTGATGACGTGATCTGCACTCCGTCTGGGGTCCATGAGATGTTTTCCCTGAAAGTGGATATAGGGGCGTTGATTAACAGTGATGCTTTAGTTGTACAAAGTTGTCTAGCCCTTGAACCTGCGTACGGCAGGAATTTGTGTAGTTCGCCTTTGTAGTAAGGTCTAAGCTAACTACTACATGCCTAGCGCCAGGTTAATGGGGCTGTAAAGAAAGGGAGCAATTCTTTGTGTCTTCTTTCTCTTTAACAGCCTACCTATTGAGTGATTATTAATGATGCGACATTCAACCGTAGATTGACCCCACATCAACCCTGTTCGGATAGCCTTAGGAATGGGATCCCTGCCATGAGCAAATAATAGTGTCCTATGATCCATATGCGGTGAACCTGGATTGGCTAGGTTTCTTTCATGGACAAGGAAGCAAGCAAGCTTTCGGCTGATTCTTGTTGAATGAGTTTCGGTACTTTTGTCAGTCATAATAAACCATATTAATGCGTATCTAGGCTAATCAGAGTGCATCCATCTGCCACGCATATAAAAGAATAATCCCATGCTGCATGCACAGAATTGCCGAACAAGATCCAAAAGAGGCAATAGTCAGACTGGATTCAGGTATATCTCCTTACAATGAAAGTGAAGTGACGGATGTGTGGTGACCTATTAGTCACTACTTCACCTTGAGGCGATCGATGTGTCCCCTCTCCTCTGTCCCTCTGTACTCACTTCCTCCATTCCAGCATGGAAATAGGCATCGTTGGCGCCGGTGTATCCGGTCTATATACGGCACTTCTTCTCCAACGAGAAGGCCACCGAGTCACTCTTTACGAAGCCAATTCCCGCATTGGCGGACGCATCTACACCCATCGTTTCCAACCACCGAACCATAATGAAGATATTTACTTTGAAGCCGGGGCGATGCGCATCCCCCGTTCGACCCTGCATTCGCGCGTATACCAGTTCATCCGTTATCTCAACACCCACGGTCGCCACGAAGACAAGATTGAACTCATCCCATACGTCCTTGAACACCGCAACAACATCGCCTTCATCCGCAACCGCAAGGTGAATGTTGACGATCCCACCCTCGCGGCCGAGTGTGGACTGCCAGCGGAGTATCAGGGGAAATCCGCACGGCAGCTGCTGGGCGAGGCCGTCACTCCCTGGTTGAGCCTGCTTCACAAGGACTTCCAGACCGGGTTTGCACAGCTGATGCAGCTGGACGAGATGTCGTTCCGGACGTACCTGCGCTTCGTAGTTGGGTGGCCGCACGAGGTGATCGACTTTGTCGAACTGATAAACAGCCAGACAAATCAGTACGATCTGAGCTGCACAGAGATCATGATGCAGAATCTCGACTTCCATACCCGGGACTGGAGCACGGTCCGCAGGGGCATGTCGCGGCTCACTGAGAGTGCAGCGAACCTCATCGGCCGGGAGCACATCCATCTCAACGCGCGGGTCGATTCGATCAAGGAAAACTCAGACGGAACCATCACGCTGTCTGCCGGTGCACACTCTGCCACGTTTGACAAGGTCGTTGTGGCGATCCCCCCGGCCGCCCTGCATAGCATCCTCGAACGCCCTACCTGGTCCTTCATGAAAGAGCAGGCCCTGCGCGCGGTCCACTACGAACCCCTCTACAAGATCGGCCTCCAGTTCCGGACCCGCTTCTGGGAGAAGCTCCCCACCCCTTGTCTCGGCGGACAGAGCGTGACTGACCTCAGATTCCGCTGGATTGTTTATCCGTCCAATGATATTGGAAGCGCGGGGTCCGGCGTGCTCCTGCTCTACTGCTGGATGACCGATGCGTACCGGATGGCCTCGCTCCCTCGGGACCAGCGCGTGTCTCTTGTGTTACACGATCTCCAGAGGTTCTACGCTGATGCCGGCATCAACGTCTCCGACGAGTTCATCGACGCGTTTGACGTATGCTGGAGCCAAGAGTCTGCCACGGGCGATGCCATGTTCCTCCCTGGTCAATTCAGCCGGTTCTCTGAGGCTTCCCGCCGCGCAGAGGGCAGTGTCTATTTTGCCGGGGAGCATTTAAGTCGACATCACACCTGGATCGCGGGGGCCGTGGACTCGGCGATCCAGACGGTGGAGGCGATGTTGGGAATTAGCGGGATTAGGTCATTGGGCGAGGAGTACTCCCGGGTGAAGAAAGGGGGCGCCAATCTGCCACGGCCCTGTGGGCAGAAGAGATGCAGTTATTCCATCCCGCTGCATAATAATGTGCAGTACGTGGAGGATTTGGAAAGTGCATGGTTGGCCAAGAGCGGGAGGCCGACGGCGATTTGTTCGAGGACATAGATTCATCTAACAATGAGGAGTAGACGAGCATGTTCCCATCTAATTCCTGCTTAGGAATTAGAGACGTGGTGTATGGTGCTCAGTACTCCGCCAGCTAAGCATCGTCGGCCTTGATGCAGCTGCCTTCAATTTGTGAAGTGTTTACTACTACCTTCGTTGTCTCAAAACTGTTATGGAGATAAGTCGTAGTATAGCAATTCTATTGCTAAGTGAGGAAGGATCACATAAGATGGCTATGATACAGTATAGCTATCAACAGATACCCCCTCTCTGGTCCAAGTAATACTAATATACACCCACAATTATAACAAAAGAAATATGGGAACGAAAGTTATAAAGGAGAAACACCAGGTGTCTTGCCATAATGCCAGAGGCCAGGCTGAAACGAAGGAAATAAGTAGAACAAGCAGCACATCCATATCCCCAATTAATTAAATGCCCAATGCTTACGAAGGATAAGACATTTGCGCTGTACTCTGATACCCAGTAAGCTCAGGTCTCGTCCGCAACTCCATCTCCTTCTCCTCCTGGATCAATGCACAGCATCCACACCAGAAGGTGACACAACAATCTCCAGGACAGGAACCCTCAATGCCATGCTTCTGGCGCATCTCACTCCGCMGAATTGTTTGAATGATCCAATGGCAATATCCGAGAGCGAGAACTGTAAAAATGGCGCACTGCAAGGCGAGTGTTAGCTTGGCAAGCCATTGGTACTGTTTGGGGGTACCTACCTCTGAGTTGATACTACTATAGTTTTGGAGCGTAGGATCCTGGGCTCTGGCTTGAGTTTTGCCAAAGGTCAGACATGGAAGGCAGCAGCTTGTGAAGCCTTTGATTGCAAGTCAGCTTGAGGCAGGAGAGAGGATCTGTATGGGTACGTACAGAGTGAGCCTGGTGAGCAGCAATCGAAAAGTGAATAATTCCAGTTTGGATTGTGAGTGATCGCACTGGCCTCATCTAATTTAGTTTGATGGTCCGTCGGTGTCGGCATAGAACGGTAGGTCTTGTCGATTGAGGTCATCTTGGCCATGCAAGGCGACGTTGGATATGAGAATTGGCTGCAGATTATGGCGTGCACTTGGTGACCGGGATGAAGGATTGGAGGAGCATGTTGCTGCTTCCGGGGTCAGTAGGTTATATACCTCTGGTGATCCAATGTCCCTGCAAGTTTATAGAATCAATCCCTTAATGTTCTGATACCAAGCTGGAAGTTCGCATTCGTATGGTGACTTTCCCAATCTGGAATAGGCCTATGGGGAGACTAGTCCGCTAAGTTTGCTTGGTGGATCCTGGCTGAGTGGAGATATCGACTCCCTATGATTTCTAACCTTTGATTAGCCAAGTGCAGTTCTAAGTTGCCAATAGCTTAATTAGATTGTACTACTATAGTTATTGGCGACCCACGTTGTGAAGAACACGAGTCCGACTTTCTTATCCCGTATGCAGGCTAGGTCTCAGCCACAGGGTCTTGTTCGAAAACGAGTCTCCCTTTTGGTCAGAGGCCCACTCCGACACTGGGGAAGGATTGATCATCCCAATCCAAAGGATGATCTGAGACACAAGGCATTGTGTAATTTAGGTGGACCATTCCCGGATGCCTTACCTGCGGTCACTTTACAGGCATCTCGCATTCGTATGTGCGCCAGCGCAGATACTCCGCTCAATATCAAAATGTCTGGACGCTAGAATTGCAGCATCTGGCCAGGGGTATAAATACCCCAGTATGGCCTCTGAAGCATTCGACGACATCGCAATACAAAATCAGAACTTTCAACTATTCAGCTTTCCTCCGTTACTATATTGAAACCATGAGCCATATCGGCCCTGCCATAGAGTGCTCCCCATCAGCGATTGCCACACCAGCAGTCTTTGGAGCCGAAATCCTCTCCCTCGAGGCATCTTGGGTCAACAACTTCACCCTCAATATCCCTGGTGATTTCAACTACAACCACGGTGCTCGGTCGGTACAAAATGTGGATTTCTGCAATGTGACAGTGACCTACACCCATCCAGGTTATGACGACCGTATTACCGTGGAGACCTGGCTGCCGCGCAACTGGAACCAACGCCTGCAAGCCACAGGCGGAGGAGGATGGCGTGCGGGCCGGTTCGTCCTGTCCCAGTTCTTCATGGGCGGTGCCATTGGAGAGGGGTATGCGACGACGACAACCGACGCCGGTCTCGGGGATACAATGCCAGACGCATGGGCCCTAAAGAGCCCCGGAAATGTCAACCTCGAATACCTCCACAATCTGGGCTACAGATCCCTCAACGACGAGGCCATTATCGCCAAAGACCTGGTGCGCAGCTTCTACGGCATCCCTCCGGTGTACTCCTACTGGAGCGGCTGTTCCCAGGGCGGACGCCAGGGTCTCATGGTTGCGCAGCGATACCCGCACGCCTATGATGGGATTGTGGCCTCCGCACCCGCGCAGTCGTGGCCCGAGTTCGTGACTGCGACTTACTACCCGCTTCTTGCTCCCCTTTGGGCCGGCGAGCCGTCTCCACTGAGCTGTGAATTGGAGTTCCTGACTGAGGAGGCTGTGAAACAGTGCGATCCCAAGGACGGAATTGTCGATGGTATCATCTCGGATCCAGACAACTGTGACTTTGACCCTTTCAGCGCTGTGAATAAGACTTTCTCTTGCAGCGCTACTGGGAAACCCATGCGGCTTAGTAGAGCGGCGGCGATCACGGCGAAAGCAGCTTGGTCAGGACCTAGGACTGTTGCCGGAGATTTCTTGTGGTATGGGTGGAACCCGGGTTCGGACATCACTGGGTTGGGTGTTGCGCCAGGCCAGAACAGCACAGCTAGTCCGGACGAGTGGCTCAGCTTGTTTGTGCTCAAGAATCAAAGCTTCGACGTCACCCGTTTGAGTCACGAGGAATATGACTCGCTTTTCCGTCTCGCCGTCAAGGAATACACCGATGTCATGGCTGCCAATGATCCGGATCTTACCGAGTTCAAGAAAGCCGGAGGAAAGCTGCTCACTTACCATGGCATGGTAAGTCACTGCCCATATATCACCTCAGAGGGTTCCCTGCTAACTGACCAAAGGCCGATGGCAGCATTCCAACCAAGGGCACAGAGCATTATTATCGCGCAGTCAGCAAAGTGATCCCTGACGTACAGGACTTCTATCGGTACTTTGAGTCTCCAGGCCTCGCCCATTGTGCTGGCGGCCGGGGCGGACAGCCGACAACTGCGTTTGATGCGTTGAGGAAATGGGTGGAAAACGGTACTGTGCCCGACTTTCTTCCAGTGCGCGTCAATGGAACGGATGGAGAGCATGACCGGATTCTGTGCCCCTATCCAGCCAAAGCGATCCAGCAAGGTGGAAATGCCACCAACGGCGGAAGTCTTCGTTGTGCCCATTAACCGTCTGTCTGCAGAAGGTGCAAGACATGTATGCTATTTTACTTCTGAGCTGTCCTTTTCTTGACTGAACACTTGTAATTATCTTGATTAGTTTGTCAATTCCACCATGCGTATTTCACCTGGCAGGCTTGAGACAGAACACTAATTCCTGGATTATTATGCAATAGCGGGGCAATCGACAACTCTATCAAGGGACTTCAATCCTCGATAAAGGTAAACTGTCGGACTGTCGACCTATTTGCTGCATAGTCCACTGGACATATCCTTGATGATACTCATCAAGGCTGCTAAAAATGCCATTCATGATATGGTCCGCCCACCCACGGATAAACCACGCCAGATCCAGTCGCTTCAGCAAAACCGTGAAAAAGGCAAACACAACCAAGGCAACGGGCCTGCGTTGTTGTACATCTGCTAAAAAGAGATCCGGCAGGGTATATAACCAACCGAACATTTGGTGCCAGAGTTGAGACTCTGGCAGCTGGGAGGCGCCGCCAAATACGACATCGTAGCAGTGACAGAGTCGGTCGAGAACCTGGGAGTAGTCTGTATACCTGACACTGCTGTCGGCGAAAGTCGCTGAGACCAGATGCCGTACTTGTCCCAGGTGATCTCGATATACCTGGGGGACCGGTTCTTCACGGTGAACGGGAGGTTCCTCGGCCTGGGAAGTCGTATCTTCTGGATCGGCAGCATGAATGGTCAAAACGTCGACCGGGAGAGTTGCCCTACACATCTCCAAAATCGACCGCAGACCCATGAATAAGGACAAACAGCCTGGACCACCGTCGTCGCGGTAAGCTAGATACTCCCCCTGCTGGGGTCCTTTCGCAAGCGAGCAGAGAAATATGAATATTGAAGATGCATAAAGTGCTGGACTCGTTGCTGTGTCTAGTTGTGGAATTGCGGCTGTGACCTCGCGAACAGCCATTTCATAGTGCCGTTCAGCAACGGCGTACAAGTCAGTTCTCGAGCCCAGGAACGAATGGTTAGCTGGATCGCGTGCCAGGTGAAACCCTGAGAACGCCAGAAGAAGACGCAAAACATAATGGAAGGTGAACCCTAGTTGAGACAGCTGGGTTTGCATGTGGTTATTAGAGGCTGCCAAGTCCTTTGATGTGATGAAATGATGGAATAGGGCCATGTCAGTGGCTGTGAATTGGAAAGTCTTCTTGGCCACCGCTTGATGCAGCTGGGGGCTTGGCTCATCATGCTGATGTGTTGACAGAGGATGTGAACTACGCCCTCTCCTTGGAGGAGTGAAATTGGCCTGGGACGAGGAAATGAAGGTGTAGCTGTCGTTGAGCGAGGTTGGAGTAACTTCCCCCTCTGAGGATGGGGTGGAAGTTATTTCTGGATTTAAGGTATAATCGCAGTCAATGGAGTGGCGCAGACAGTTGCCACAACTAGGCTTCACCTCATCACACTAGAGCAAGATGTTTTAGTACATGCTGTTATTGGATGTGTAGGAGGCCAACCTTCACCCTGCGCCTTTTGCAGTTCTGGCACCCCAGTCGAGATTTTCGATGGGATCGCCGAGAGACCTTGCCAGTGTAGGGGCCAAGTCTAGGAGGCATATTTTACTTGCAAATTCGGCCTAATAATAAGCAATAACTGTACGAGAAAAGAGCGGCAATGCAGGAATAAATTATTGGCACAGTTTGCTCCAGCAGAGAAATGAATTCTTCAGGGTCTCGTTGGTCCATCCCTTTTCCATGAATGTGGGGGCACCAGGGGAGTGTGTTCGGTCAAAGTCCGATTTTAGCGGATCTCAATACTGAAACAATATGTAAAAGGCGTCTTTAGCCAGAAAGAACATATCAACGGATAAATAAACCTCTGAAGAAATCTGATTTGCAACTGGAAGCTTCAGCTAGCTGGCTAACTATAACTTAATGACGAGGTCAAACGATTCTAGAGTTATACCAAATAGGTAAGAATGCATTTCCTTATGACAGTCTGCGTAGTCAACGATCGAGTAGTTGACAGATTCCCAGGATAACGGGAAACAGTTCTGCTTAATGTATATCAAGATTCAAGGCAATTCCGTCACTGCGTAGATGAGGTCGCCCTTACTAATACTGGCATTTATGACAGCCGACATGCGACAGCGAATCTACTCATGTTTCTGGGCAGGTAGCCTCAGTAATCAATAGGCGTTGAGCCAAGAAGGGGTACAGTCATTTCCAAATCAGGTTGTGATCTTACTCTGTAAAAGTTTTGAATAAGACACCTCTAAATAATGAATGCAATGATATAAATTTACACATAGCAGATATAAGCACTTTCTGCACCCTAGTCATGCCAAGCAGTATGTCTTAGGATTCTAAATGGAACTGACAATAGACAGTACCATAATTCGCCAAATAAGGTATTGCTTCAAGAGCATGGCTTAGATAGGTGCAGTCCTTAGGTATATTATATATTACCGAATTATTACTGGATTATTCTTCAGTAGGGCTCTCTAGCTACTCGCATATATTTCTCCCATATATCCCAGAAATTCCCCAAGGGAAACTGGAGCACATAAAGGCAACACAGAGAATCTGAATTGGATTCTGCAGAGCTAACTGTGCTAATAGATAGTAATGGACCTGCAGCCCTAAAGCAAAGTATTATTGTGGTAAATGGAACTAAATCCAGTGCGATTCAGTATTGGTTAATGTAGGCCATACCTGAACTCAGAATGAATGCAAGGCTATGAATTCCAAGGCCGATCTATCCAACCAAATGTTCCCTCATGAAAGTTACCACACCCGGAACATATAAGAGTGTGCATCGGGCTAGGTCCCTTTGGCCCATTTTCCAAAACGTCAGTCATGAATTCAGTGCTATGAATGCCACCATACAGGGCATTATGCACCAGGTCATCTAAGCCTGAGTACTTCCCACAGTTGCCACACTGCTCTCGTTCGCGGTTCATAACATTACCATGCACGGAAATTGAGGCTTTCGATCTATTAGTAATTGTTTAATTTGAGTATCATCGCGAAAGACTGACATTTGATATTAAGCATATCGGCTATGTGGGACCGCTCACTTTCGGTTAGTTTCCAGGTGTACGAATCTTTGCCAGCATTATCAGTGATGATCTTGGAAGGCGAAGGCTTCTCCAAAGGAAGAGGATGGGTAGGAAGCTGTGTAATAGCCTGCATGGTGACTAGATTGTGTGAAAAGTAGAGGATTGTTCACTTGAAGATATCGTTAAGGTAGAGTTTGTTATTTAATGGCAAGCCGCACCTGTTTAATTATATCCCTCGACCCTCAGCTACAATTTAGAATATTATATGAAATAGAGATGACAGATTGCTGCAAGCGGAAGATATCTGACAAAATATGTTCTTCTATGAATCATAGAGTTTTGCGTTTCTGACCCTAGGCAATGCAACTTACTGTTTTCAGTGGACCCTACACCTCCCGTCAAAGATTCTGCAGAGTGAATTGTAGCATTCTAGGCATTTGCATGTAGTACTGGTTTCCCATCAGTGGTCTGCTAGCTGCTTAACATAGACCAGTCTGCTGCTAGAAAAATTATCCACCACATTTTAAGAGCTCTGTTATATATATATTAGGTGTGCTTGGAATATCTTTGGCTATCTCAAGAAATTGCACAGGCATTCTTTTGAGAACCACTTAGAGTCCGCAGGTCGCTGAGAATTCAGCAGCTAGTTCTCCTTGCTTAGGCAATATATAGTTATCTTGCTCCCTCACCCCCCTCTTACCAGTTGACCTCGGACCTTGAATGGCCAACCTTACAACTAACGTACACTATAGGGGAAGACCATGGTAAATGCCAACACCTATACCGACAATATAACAAATTGACTTTTGCGCCAGTAATAACAGGGGACTTAAGCTTAGTAGCCATTGCCTCCTTTACTTTTATCTATGCGTTAATTTTACATCGTGGCTATAAACTCAGGATGTTATTACTAGGATAGGCCTCCGTCCACATCTTCTTAAGAGTCCTGAGTGGATCTTGCGCGATTCAAACTGTGCAAACATCCCAAACAGCGAGGTGGATGCCGGAAATCCTGATTCATCAGATGCATCCTGGGTTGGATAACCTCGAAAAGGTGGAATCTGCTCTAATAAAACTGTGTAAACATACCAAACAGCAGTGGATGTGGAAATCCAGATTCATCAGAAAGATCCTTGGGTGGACCATTAAGGGAAAAAGGCAAAACCTGCACTAACAAACTATGTAAACACACCACACACCAGGGCGGATGTCGGGAATTCCGCTTCAGGAAATTCCGATTCATCGGATGCGTTCTATAGTTGGTATAATCTTGCGCCCATAATACTGTACAAACATACTAAACAAAGCTCTGGATCACATATGGTTTGCAGATGTATGTATGCATTATTCTTTCAGTACATGAGTTCAAGATATAAATATGCCTCATTTCCTATGTGACATGCATCAGGAAACAACAGGGGCAAATTCTTATCACTTCCTGCCTTCAAATTCCCATGACCATTGAATTTTGATCAAAGCACCATCTATTCAAGATCAACTCATCAAGGCTTTTTCTATAAGCATACTTTCTACTTGGTGATTCTCAATCTCTAGGAGCTTGGCAAAGAGAATCAACTACCACATCCCACTTTTCTATCGGAACAGAATCACTACAAGTGAGTCAATCTTCGAAGTCAGCTTTTGTATGGAAAGGACTAATGTCTCATTTAAGCAACATAATGTCTCGTCCTCTTTTGCAGAAGATGGGCCGATTCGTTGAGTTCATCAATTCAGGCGATGAAACCATAGGACAAGAAGTCGTCTCGGAATCAGCCGTGTTCCATGTTCCATTTTCGGATACCCCTCTGAAAGGATTAGCTGGGTACATGCAAATTCTCGGCATGATGCGCTCCGCTTATCCAGATATCCAGTGGACACTTGACGACACAGTCATCGAGGATGACAGAGTTGTAGCGCAGTTTACTCTGCGTGGAACTCATGAAGGCGAATTCTTCGGTGTTCCGGCTTCCGGAAAGAAAATCCAGGCACGGGCTGTGAACATTTACCGATTTGCAGCTCGAAAGATTGTTGAGGAGACCGGTTTGCCCGATTTGTTTGGGATAATGCTGCAAATTGGGGCTGTGAACCCTCCAGTTGCCCATTAGGCAGATTGCACTACGCTTCAAGAACGTCACCACGCGATTCAATACTCATAGCCAATCTTCTACAATAGCTAATGCGTGCCTAATGGTATCCTGAATACAAATGACTAGTACAAAAGGCGATATAATTGGCATAAGCTGAAATTAGAGAACAGGAAAGGAAGCACTTGGGGTAGACCGCGGGGCGAAGGAACCACAAAATCGACAATCGGAATGTATAGCGATGAGGCTGGCGATATTCGCTGGACCCAGCGGACAGAATAAATATTACGGCAGTGTGTTGCTAGGCTGAAAGAAAGAGAAATGGACCCAAAAGTAACAGGCCTGAGGTAGGAATCATGTCTCAAAGAAGTCAGAAGTATAAACATTTGCACCGGATTTGCATCCAGCTATACAACAGCTGAGCAGTCTCACGGAAGACTCAGAATAAGCAAAAACCTATCCGATAGGGGACGATACGGCATAATATTCTCTTCATTCCATAAGATCATGTCTCACCAGGCCCTTGCGCGATACCCTAAAACCGCAACCCAAGCAACGCGGTTTTTCTCTCGTGTTCCCCTGAGGCTCTCTGTTCCCCTGAGGCTCTCTGTGCTGGGACTCGCATAATCTAACCTTAGATACAGCTAGGTGATTATGGCAGGTCACTAGCTTGCATATACGGCGAGCTTTGTCCCCAGAATACGAGAGATATCTGGACACACCGCGTTTTTGACCTCGTATTCCGCACGTAGCGCATCCTTTAACAGACCTAAATTGGCGAATACGACAACTATTACAAGCCTCCCGCAAGGCAGACTCGTCTGGAGCATATGCCAAGGACATGGGGTATATATATCTCCAGCGAGCCTCTCTATCCCTCCCTCATGCCTTCAAGTACACCTGAATATTGTCGTACAATCACAAAATGTCCACCGATAGCCTCGTCCCCATCCTCATCTACCTCACCGGTGCGACCCGCATCAACGAGGTGGTCCTAGTCGACGAAAACGTCTCCTCCTTTGAGGAATTCGCAGCATCGCTCTACCAGGGTCTTCGCCCCAAGATTCCCGACTTCTACCTGCAGAGTGGGGAGCGATCCATCACTCAGGCCTTTGTGACATGGCAGCCTTCGGATATTTTCCCCCAGGAGACTGAAATTGTGGAAGGGAATGTTCGGGCTGTTCTTCGGCATCTTGCGGCGCGAAGAGGGGTCGACACCGTCCGGGTGTGGCTTAACGAGATTTAAATAATCGGGTATGCTTATTTCAAACTTGAGTAGAGGATATGACTGATGGTTTCTATCAGAGCGCTCTCGCCTTGGTCGGATGGATCTGTCGTTACGAGGAGTGACGGGATATTGTCCGCAGCTAGCAGGGAAATGGATTGACGTTTGCTCATGGTGTATCGGCCAGTGGATCATAGATCATAACTGATGTACAGAATCATCTATTAAAAGCGCTTGTTGTAGATATCCACATTTACATTCAAAATCCACATACCAAGGAATAGTCTGTATGTACAAGATGCACTCCTGTCATCTGCTCGGCATTAGTAACGGTACATGAGCTTTCGCCACATCATAACCGACTACACAGAAAGCAGCTACCAAAGAATGTTGAACTTCGCGAACCCCTTTCTAGGCTGTGGTTCCGGTTCGGCCTCGTCGTGGGACAGGTAGAACTGAATCAGACCGACCAGTGGGATATTCTCCAAAGCGATAATGCGCGTTTTCTTCCAGTATTTATAGCCGAAATATAGACCCAGGACGATTGGGATGTTGACGTACGATGAGACAAAGGTTTCGGTATCCCAGTGGCCGTGGATGAATGTGCTGTAGCCACCAGTGATAAGCAAGAGGGTGAACAAGGTCAGGGCCGCCCAGGTGAAGTAGGGCTGGAACGGCGCGGCCCATGGAAGCTCTTTGTGTCGGTCGACTCCTTGCTTCTTGCAACCGTAGTAGAATCGCAGGTAGACGATGCAGACGATGACCCAGTCCACCAATGTTGCAACTGCTACAACGTTGCGCAGCCATTGAAAGACTATGGTTGCTGAGTGGGAGAGGGACATATATCCCAAGAACATGAAGCTCCCGACGCAGCAAATAGCCACATAAGGGACAGAGAACTGATTCAGCCTTTTGAACACTGCAGGAGCATGGCCATGCATCGCCATGCCGTAGAGAATGCGGGACGCAAAAAGGATATATGAATTGCCAGCGGACCAGGCGGAGGTCAGGATAGCAGCGTTAATAACTGAGGGTGCGACCTTGATCCCTGCCCGGCGAGCCGCGATAACAAATGGGGACTGAGAAGCCGTTCCGGTCAGTTGAAGAAGAGTAGGATCGTTCGAAGGAACAACCAAGCCCATCATGAAAATTGACAGGACATAGAAGAGGAAGATGCGCCACAAGACGCGCCTGGTTGCCTCTGGTATGGATTGTCGTGGAAACCTGGTCTCCGCCGCCGGGATCGTGATGTTCTGGATTCCCGAGTATGCAAAGACTGCATTCTCTAGAGCTGACCAGAAACCAAGAAACCGGCCAAGAGAACCTTCGATCCCAAGATACTGAACAAAAGGCCCTGGGTCTCTCCAGTATCTGAAACCAATGGATTGACCATCGGGACCACCACCGCAAGTGATCACCAGCGCCATGATGTTCACCCCAACGATTAGCAGGATTTTCAAGATGGCGAATGAAAACTCAAGTTCTCCATAGATTCTGACGAATACCAGCGCAGTGACAATCACCAGGGCGCTCAAGATAGTAATCCAGATTGCGTTGTTGACGGTGATCCAGAATTCAATCAGAACCGAGGCTGCCACAATCTCAGCAGGGAGAGTGATTGAATATAAGTAAACTTGATTCCATCCGTTGGCAAAAGCCATGGCTGGGTCGAAGAAGTATTCCGCATAACGAACGAGACCGCCGCTGAGCGGTACTAACGCACCCATCTCTCCCACAGTCAGGACGACGCTCGAAACACCAAGGCCAACAATAGAATAGGCAAGGAATGCACCCAGTGGGCCCGCTATTACAAGGGCTTGGCCAGAGCTGAGGAATAGACCGGTGCCAATTGTGCCAGCAAGAGCAATCATCTGCATGTGCCGCTGGTAAAGACCTTGCCTAACAGCGTGTACTTCGCTGAAGCCACGCCTGATGTACCCTATGTCGCCATCGGATGCGCTAGAGCCCTCTGCTTCTGTCAACTGAATTCCTGATTCTGATTCAGTAGGCATGGTTGTGAAGCGATGTCGACGAAGAGTGGCCATATACGGCCCAGAATAAGCCCCAGCCAGGAGCGGGAGGCGGGTAGGAAGAAAAGTTGAGTTTTCCCCGCTCCAGTGAGTTCCGGGACCGAACTGGTCAGACTAACGGATATCGTATTTTGTGGGCAAATCTGGGCTACCAGAAGCTACCATGGGAGCTGCGAAGCTTAATAACAATGGACTCTTCGAGTAATGACTCTATGACCACAACGCCCTACAAATCATGCGATTTTATCTTTTTATTCAATTTCTATTTATACTCATTTATTTGTTGCGCATAATTTTAAATGACACCCTACTGCCCCTTGAACGCAGCATACTTGCGGTAAATGTCGCGGCGGAAGGTCTGCTTCAGCGCCATCACAGGGTCGTTGTCGAACGGCAGCTTTGCTAGGATGGCGCCAATACCACACAACCCGTTCTTGCGGTCGATAAACCAGGTCAGGGTCAGTCCGCCGCCCCAAGTCAGTGTCCGCTCGCCGTACCCGCCATCCAGATCCTGCAGGGTGAGCACGCCGCCCAGACTTTTTCCCAGTTTTGTTCCGGCGTCGAGCCCTACGCGAAAAAAGCTGCCCATAGGAGATGCCAATGCGGCCTGATGCGCCGCCGTCGCTTCGGGAGTCAGGTGATGCTGGAACAGATCGTCGACGGTCGCGGGTTTGAGCAGCTTTCCGTCATTGACCAGCAGCGAGTGAAGGATTTTGATGTAGCTGGTGCCCGACATGAATAGGCCGTGGCCGCCAAAGTCGCCACGGCTGCGCTTGTTCATGTCCCCGCTGCCGCCGATCACCGCCAATCCTTGGGCTTCGGGATCGTCGGGGTTAAGGTCGACGAGGCGGGAGCGCAGGTCTTCGCGCGTGACGGGGTAGAATTGGGCGTCGTTGATGCCAAGGGGGCCGAAGATGCGCTGCTGCATGCGTTCCCCGAGTGTGAGCCCCGTCACTCGCTCCACCACCCGGCCAGCCCAGTCGAGCCCTGGGCCGTACATGAAGCCGGCGCCGGGCTGGAAGCCGAGCGGGTGCCTGGTCATCTCCTCGACTGATAGGCGCTCACCCTCCTGCGGAGGTGCAAACTTCTCGCGCCACTGGGCGATGTGCGGGGCTAAAATGTAGTAGCAGAGGCCAGAGCTATGGGTAAGCAGCATCTCCAGCGTGATGGGGCGAGCGGGGGGCTCGAGAATAGGAGTTTCGCCGTCATCGGAAAAGCCAGTTAAGACCTGCTTGGCGGTCAGGTCGGGTGCGACGGACGTTAGATCCCCATCCAGGGTAAGTAGTCCATCCTCGACGCACTGCAGGGCAGCGATGGTGGTGACCAGCTTGGTTGCTGAGGCCAGGAACAGGATATCGTCGAGCTGCTGCGGGCGCTTTTCGCCGGACAGCAAGGTACGCTCTCCCAGAGCCTTGTTGTAAACAAAGTGACCCTCGGTGTCGGTGGCGCAAATAACGGCGCCGTTGATTTTGCCAGCATCGATGGCGGCCTGGAAACTAGTTTCGATATCGTCGGCCATTTGGACAGGTCGTCGTTAATTTGGAAGTGGCTGAGGGGCAGAGGTACTTTATCCTGTACCTCTCTATTTATAGGTGCCAGCATACAGGCATCATAGCACTAGGCCAAAAAGGGTGTCCGCAGATGGTTCCCACAGTCTACACAGTAGGGTCTCATATCCATAGATACAGCGGCATTATATATTTCCCTACAAGAATACGAGTCCTCAATCCCTATTGCTGGGGGATAAGCACTAACTGCATCTCCACCCATAGCCCCTCCAACTCGATCAATAGGATGGTGTGGATCATGTGCACAATGATATAATCAATACCATGATAGTAAGAGGATCAACTGGGAAAGCTTGTCAACTGGCATAGTGAAAAGGTTACTCACCTTGGCACATGTTGTCATAGAGATGTATGATCTTTGACCCTGTCTATATAGTTTCTCGTCCAGGGCAGCAATCACAGGCTTACCAGAGTGCGCTGCCGCCTGGAATGCCTCCCGTCGTATGATCACGTGATACCTCAAAGTTTAGTCAGCCCGCTGCTCAGCTTGCCAGTAGAGAATCAACATCTCCGAGCTACGTCACTATACATACTGACTCCGTTAATGATGTGTGAAGGATTTCTGACTTATGCAGGCGCTGTCTTAGATCAATATATCCATATCAGAGTTCTAGACACTCTGGATCTAGTCTATGATGAAATCCACCGACCTTTCTCACGCTGCCTATCCACTAGACATGAGATTTACCTTTTGACCCGTCCTACCACAAGAGCTGGAACAAGTCATTCACTTTGACAGTGCATAGCTCATGAGTTTAAAATGAATGCCTCTATGAGCCTGGCTGTAATGCTAGTGGTTCATATCTCAGCAGGATAGAACCTTAAATCCTGTTACTCATGTACATCTCAGTTTCCGCAGAAAGAAGCCCCACGAACCCCGAACTCCCCCATATCATACTACTCGTTTAAAGCAAAAGAAAAACTACTCGGAGGTAGCTCAAGGGACAGGAATTACCAATCTAATACGTTTCGCTTTATGATACTCCAAACTGCCTACTGTCTGATATTGGAACTGGACGTCCTTTTCCTATCTGGCCATGTCTTTCCTGAATTTGCAATAATCTGCTAACATCACTCAGCTTGTTTCCTATATAGACTTTCCATTATCTTGGTTCTCAGTAGGCGAGAGGGAGATCTATTAGACATCATATTTTCTATGTTCAATGCTTTATACTGTCCTTGCAGTTTTGTATTAGGACTAAGACCTCGAATGCTATCATTGTTGCTACAATGAGCTTGTTCGGACATTTTCCATAGTGGCATATAGAGTTGATCAAATAAATGTCCATCGAGGAATCAGTAAACAAGCACTCTGCAGCTGCCATTAGCCAACTCATTATTATTGATGTGAAACCGAGGATATTAAAGCTACTAATAATGGCCGGATACGAGAATGCAACATCGGATAAATCGCGCTTCTGCCTATGAATAGCAGCAGCCAGCGAGGAACACGAGCAAGTGGGCTGGGCAATACGAGGGCATGAAAATTCCAATGTATAAGTACATCATTGTGTTCAGCAAATTTCTCTGATGATAGAGCAAGCGTCTGTTAACACGAAAACCACAATGAAGTTCCTCGGTCTCGCAATTGCCTTTCTCCCCCTCCTGGCCGCCGCTGCCCCTGTCGCGGACCCCGAAGCGGATGGAGAGCTTGACCTTGAGAAGCGCGCATCAGCGCAGACCTGCGAGATCATCAATGTCGATCACTATGTAAACTGCCGGTACGGCGCGAGCTTAGACGCGGGCGCGATCTTTGGGTTTCCCAGGGGAGAGAAATTCACCTTTGCGTGCTACAAGCACGGCGATTGCTTCAACGGTGTTTGGTAGGTTTGATACTGGGTTATGACGAGCTGGATGCTAATGGGAGCAGCTCCTGGGACCAAATAACTTATCTGGGGACGACGTGCTACGTCAATGGGTACTTTACAGATGATAATTGCTCGAGCAGTAAGTTACCTCTTGCTCGTATTTGAACATGGCTGACGATGTTTAGGAAAACTTCCCAAATGCTAGGCTGCGGCGGTCCGCGATGTCGCTGTGATATGCTACTAGACCTGCTATAGATTGTGATATAGAGAACTAGATGTCACCACGGCGATTACCATGCAAGTCGGTTTTGAGGTTGAGATCCATGTTCCTATAACCCTTGAATATGATACCAAAATGGAGAAAATAGATGGCATTAAACCTAGCTTCTAAAGCCTCCACATATGCGTGTAATAAAACGCCACTAACGCCATAGAAGCCAAAAGAGTCGTCATGGGTATCTTTTCCGCATCTTTTTATACACGAGACACTCGATCAATCCGATGACCGCGGAAGATGCTTCACCAACCCCTCCTTGAACCTCTTTCGCCAGCCGTGAGCTTTCCGATCGCCTTGAGAAGGCCGGTCGGGAACCGCCCGCGTACGCGAATTGGTCGTCCCACCACTCCCTTTGAAGGCAAAGTCTTGTATATCCGACCTGTCCGACGCCGAAGACATCATCGCACTACTCGCATACGCGCCGTCGTCCTCTGCAGAACTCGAGGCCGGATCGCCAAAGACTCCGTACCGACGAGCTGAGTCCCCGTCCCCCCGATAGGAAGGATAATCCTCTCGCGGGTATCTGTTCACTTTTATATCATCCGCGATGCTCGGCGAAGACACAGCTGCCTCTGGCAAAGAATCGTTCAATGACGGCATGGAGAGCGGCTGGACGCGCGCAGTCGTGGACGATCGCCGCAGGAAGGGTATGAGGATGGAACCCCGCAGGAGCTCCTTGATATTATTGACGACTCGATCGAGCACTTCGGGCGGAGGAGGATCGTCCCCTCGGTTGTGGAACTGCTGCATCAGCTGCTGTCGGATGTCGCTGGGGATATTGATCTCGCGCTCGCTGTGCGGCCGGATATACTGGTTGATCAATCGTGTCCAGAGACCGGAGAGATGGGCCTTGCGGACGGCCTCGCATGTCTCGGTTTTGTGCTCGAGCCAGTGGTAGATCCGTCGGTAGCGTTCGGTCTCCAGTAAGAACTCGACTGTTTCTAGGCATTGGTGCTCGGAGAGAAAGGCAATGAACGCCCCGAGGGTGTAGGGGAAGGGGGCCACATCGTTTAGGATGTCATCGAGCCGGGGTTGGACGTGGTATAGACTACCTGATCGTTCCCTCATGGATGGTGAATTGGACGTGCTTGCACATAGTTAATGCTAGTAGAACTCTTATTTCAATCACTCGTGCATTCGAGTTGTTTTAAAGCAAGATTAGCTCGGCAACCAATGATGAAAGTGGTGGGCCGTGCCATGGTTCAGGCTGGGGAATCTGGGGTCATGAGGGGATGKGGCTGGCTTCCATCAATGACATGCTCCTTTTTACTTTTTGACCAGGTTTCTGCTGACTCGCTTGAAGTGTGTCGCTTACTGTACTGGAACCGAGTTCATTCGACTTGTCTAGCTACTTTAGTCTATATGTAACCATCCGATCGCCCGCAAAAACGGTCGCACGGTCATTAAACTCCCTGCTGTGATTCCCAGCCCCGTCTCTATATTCGACCATATGGCAACCTGCGTCGTCTGGTCTGCTGGAGTCAGCCACTCTGATTAGTGCCACTAAGGGTCAGACCGCTCTTACATAGAAATTCTTTACTTTTTGACAGATGGACAAACGGGATACGAACAATGACCGCGGTGCTAGCACTKGGGCAATGTCAGCCTCTGTCATGTCCGAGTAGGAGAAGTAACATACAGGCATCCGATGGACAGAATGCCAATGACGGCCATCTTCGTATGTCGGTCCATCTTTAGCCTCCCAATCATGAAGATGGGCAGCAGTCCAATCGTAAAGTCGCACACCGCAGCGGCCGCACTGTACATGTAGACGATCCCCAGAAGAACGTCGAAGTCCATGCAGTGGCCCTCTTCCGTCATTCGGTTCCAGTAATATGCGACTGGTGTGCATTGAAAGACAGTGAAGAAGAAGAAAATCGTCCCGGCGACAATGGACAGCACGGTGGCGGCAAGGAGGATGCTCCGGTGGAGGTTGTCAACGGTGAGACGCATGAGGGTGATGGTGATTGACAATCGCACGATGACAGAAGTAAACACATAGAAGAGCTGTCCAAGCCAGAAACACTGCGGTCGGTCAGCACCGCGCTTGAGTTTTCTCCAGATTCATATCACAAACCAGCATGGCGTTGCGATAGCTCCCCATCGATTCCTCAAAGTAAACCAGTTTCTTGCCCATGCCAAACGTCGCGCCGAGTATAGTACTCGTGCCGAAACCGATATTGAAGAACTGCATGTCCAGTCAACTTAGCGACGCCCTGTTGCAGAACCGCATACACTCACCATCGCAGCTACCATCAGGTAGTCATCGCGGCCCGCGGCGTGAGTCAAGCGAAAGCGAACGAAACATCTCAAACTGCCTGCGCTCAAGGAAAGCCAAAGAAATATGGCTGCGACCACCAAAATTGCCTCACTCCGGCCAGTCACCATGGTCGTATGGCCTGGGAGAGAGATAGGTTATCCCGCATGTCTCCTGCGGTCGCGAAGGAGAGGAAAGAATTGGATTTCGCAGAATCGAAGTTTGCGACAAGCAATTCCAGGACTACGGAACATCTATGATACAAAGCCGGGCCATTAGGACGGTTCCGGCCGAATGGAAAGCTGTATGGGCGAACCTCTCTGCTCCCGAGTCTGGGTGGTGGTGCCGTGTGGTTGGACGGTTGTCTCTGCCGTTGCAACGCTGCGTTTCATGACGTCAACACTTGACTTCAACGGGCGGGCCAAGACACAGATGCAGATACGAATATTAGCCTAGGTATGATCCAAGTATGTAAGGAGCTTTAGTGTGTCGCCATTTGTAGTTCAAGTTAACTATGGTTCAGGTGGGCGACATGGATATCATCCGCCGCCGCATCTCCGCGGCAATCAAGAAACCGACCACGAGCCAGACGAGATAACCACAATTGAAAGTCCGGCTTTAAGACATGATCTCTAGTGCAGGTGATCCACCTGTCAAACTTTAGTAACTGTATAACTATAGCAATATCCACCAGGGATGATCTTGACCTACCACTTCCACATTGTTGCCCAGCGGATCCAACACGAAAGCCCCATAGTACTTTGGATGATACTCCGACCGAGTTCCAGGAGCTCCATTGTTCTTTCCCCCAGCCGCTAATGCAGCCTGGTGAAAGGCGTCCACAGTAGCATGGTCTAATCATCAGTCAGCCGCCCTCCGGGGACAAAAGGAAAACACACCAGGCGCTACGAAAGCAAAATGGACGCCCCGGGTCTGCTCGTCGGTCTCTCCGATCCAGAAGTCCGGAGTATCGGAGCCCAATCCGACAGCTCCTGGGACGCGCATGATTTCCTTGTAGTTCAGCGGGGCCAGAGCCTTCTTGTACCAGTCGACAATGCTTTCGAACTGATCTTTGGGGGCACTGATGCCCACATGATCGATAGTGCAAGGCATGATGACTGAACGTCGATGAGGACTCGAAATTGCCAGTGGGATAGTTAGTCTCCTGGTTATTGATCTGTGTTTAAGTGCTTGTAGGGAATCGTAGGACCAAGGACAGCGAGGTTTATATGATTGCTGAGTTTCATTACAGGTGTCGACGGCCAAGAAGGACGAGAACGCCACGGATGGCTATACGAGGTCTAGGTTAGGCAGCAACGTCATATCAGCCAATATGCTTTGTAGAGAATCCAGACTTCCATGGTGCACGGCTATCGTATACGAAGCATGACTGCTCGTGACAAAACCAGGGAGTTGGAGCAACTGTCATAGCTTCCATGTCGACAGACTCTCACTGAACTTGATAATCTGCGGAAGGACACTAGCTCTGTTTCGGCTTTGACATAATCACAAACAGCGAAGAATGTTTCAGCCTGAAAGTGAACATACAATGATGTTGACGAGTCGTTTGGTAGACGCCATCACGAAGCGAATAGTTGAGACACCTTGGCACCCGTATTGAATCAGGAAACTGACATGACTCGAAACTTTCCATCGCTATCAAATGAAGAAGCGCCTGCAACTGCGAACTATGGCCAGATCGACGATCCGAACACGAATAGTCATATGGAGATGTTGCTACTCTTTCCCAAAGAATCGAGTACAAACAACCTCCTATGCGCAAATTTTCGGGCTCAATCTGATATCAACTAAATGACTAAAAGCCAGACCCGGGAAAGACTCCTTTCGATAGACTTGATGCGAATGGCCGTTGTGGTAGCCTTGCGCCCAGCCTCATGCGCGGGGCAATAGCACTCGAGCCAATAAGCTGAAGACGGATGACATGCCGCATGCCACTAGTCAAGGTCAACATGTCCAATATCAGAATGTCCTCACTTCGAGAGCCATCTACAAGTTATCGGATATACTGGCAGGTGCAACCATGACGCGACGACACTTGTTTACGCTGCCAGATGAACTCGTTCTCGAGATAGCTCAATATCTCTCGTCGCCGAGTCTGTCGGCTTTGGCTCGCACATGTCACCGTGCATACGACTTCCTCAACCCAGTCCTCTATTCAGTGCCTCTTAATCGGCTCAGCAGCGTCCTTGAATGGGCGGATTGCGTGGGGAAGCAACAGACCATGCATCGACTTCTCGACCACAACCTAGTCGGCGTATTGAAGTTGAAACACATTGCCCTTTGGTGCGCTTGCTCGGCTGGGTCCGTTGAGATCGTGACACGGCTTTTGGACAGTGGTGTCCCTCCAGATATGCCCTGTGACTGTCACTCAACGCTTTCCGGCGTCGCGGGAGCCAATCGTAAGCAGATTATTATGATACTTCTGTCTGCCGGCGCGGACTTGGCTAGGTACGACTTTCGCGAGGTTGGCGAGCTCGTTTCTGGTTGGGCCCCAGAGGACCGGGACGTCCCTCGAGCTCTTGTGCAACATGGACTAGATATTCATCTTGTTGGCTCTAGCGGCGATAATCTACTGCACTGGGCGGTCAGGCAAAACCTGCCAATCGCGGACATTGCTTTCCTTCTGGACGAGGGGGTCGACATCAACCATCGCAATGTCAACGGCCGTACTCCACTCGCTGCCGCGATCGCTTACGACGACAGCTCTCTGACCGAGAAGCCGGATATAGTGGAGCTGCTGCTACAGCGAGGAGCAAAAACCGACCTTTCAGACAACCAGTCCTACCATCCCCTGCATTATGCGGCTGTAAACGCGAAACTATGGGCTGTACGACTGTTGCTGCAATATGGCGCTGATCTTGAGGCTCGGACTTCCTACGGCTCCACGCCGCTTTACCTGGCCTGTGGCGTCTACTCGCAAGGTGAGAAGGTCATCAAAGCCCTGCTGGACGCTGGAGCATCTCCGGCCGCTCAGGTAACAGGAGACCATGGGGAGAACCAGACGCCGATGCACCTAGCCTTAGTGAGGCGCGACCCAATCCGCCGCGGCATCCTCGTACGGTACCTGTTTGACGCCTGGATGGCCATGTCTCCGGCATTGCCGTCCGCAGATGTTTTCTTTGTCGCCGCGGCGGCATTGGGAGAAGTGGCCGTTTTGCAGAAACTGATCGACTCCAAGACTGTGAACATTGAGGGAGCGGATGGGGAAATAACGGCGCTGATGGCTGCAGCGGGGGCCGGTCAAGATAAGGTTGTTGAGCTTCTCCTACCACTCGTGGCAAACGTAGATGTGGGAGACGGACTAAGTAGCACGGCTTTACATCACGCCGTGCGCTCCGGAACCGAGACCTCTATTCAACTTCTTCTCCCACGATCGTCGAGGGCTTGGGCTCCTTGGAAATCTCCTGTAATACTMATCACGGACGCAATAGTGTACCAGCAATCACCCGAAGTCCTTCGTAGTCTGCTCAGATGGAGACGGCAACGGTATCCACAACATTCGATCGTTTGGAAAGCAGTGCTCGAATACCTCTTCAATGCTGACATCGGTGACAAGGCTCGTATTATGTTCGAATACATGGAGCCGTCTGATTTACAACCTGGAGCACACATGGTGCCGCTCATGTTCTTCATTTGCAAGGATTGCATTGACATTGCGCTGGAAATCATCCAGCAAGGGATCGGGCTGGAGGGTCGTGTCGGGGACTGGACACCGTTATGGATGGCCGCTTCCAAAGGTGAAGTGGCCGTCGTCCGAGCGCTTGTCGACGCAGGGGTCGATTTGGAGGTGCGATCAGATAAGGACGCGAGGACAGCGCTATCTCTGGCCGTTGTCAACAATCACAGTGAAGTCGCCCAGTGTTTGCTGGCAGCTGGGGCAAATACGGATGTACCTGCAGGTGACCCGGCTGGGAGATCGGTTTTTCTACACGCCGTGTTTCATGGATACCTGGACATTGTGCGCTCGCTGCTTGCTGCTAACGTGGATGTCAATTGCTGCGGTGGAGACAACAACTATACGGCGTTAACTTGGGCTGTTCAGGGGGGCAGTTTTGAGGTGGTACGTCTGCTTCTAGCCCATGGCGCCAAGGGGCAGCTGGAGCGCAGTGGCAAGGATGCTTTATACTGGGCGATGCATGACGGACATGAACGTATCGCTGCCCTCCTGGTAGATGCAGGAGCTCCGGTTGACGAGATCGATCGCTATGGCCGTACGATTCTTTCACAGGCTGTCAGTCGAGGGAAGACGGCCATCGTCAAGATCCTGCTCGACGAAGGGGTGAGGGTCAATTTGCCTGATCGACATGGACGCACCCCATTCCTTATGGCGGCCTGTCGAGGACACACTGAGATTGCTCGGCTGCTGCTAGAAAAAGGAGCAGACATGCATGAGAAGGACTATTTTGGTCGCTCGGCGCTGTCACTCGCTGCCGATCAAGGACACGTCGAGATGGTCAGATGGCTCATAGAGCAAGGGGCGGATATAAATGAAGGCGATCGTATCGGTCGAACGCCGTTGTCCTGGGCAATGCAAATGGACTCAACCGAGGCGGTTGAAGCACTGGTGTTGGCTGGTTGCGATGTCCTCAAACCGGACCATTATGGACGAACGCCGTTGCACTGGGCTTCCAGTGACGGATGCATCGCAAAGCTCTATAGAATATAGACGAGGGCTACGACATCGGTCCCAGTCACGCGCTGAGGCGTGTCACAGGCTGTATACCGGATTATTCTGCTGCGGCCTGATAATAGAAAAGAGTAGAAAAGCCGAGGAGTACACAGCTCGTTGAATATCTCACTCCATGCCTCGTCCTGGAACCCTCCTCCTTAGGACTTGGAATGAGCTTAACCGTGAGACGTCGGCAAGTGTCCTCCGACCTTGGCAACCGGCGGTGTCGTTTCAGCACGCTGTCCTCGGTTGGAGATTGTATCAAGTTGTCACTTCAGGAAAGCACAAGGTAAACCTTTTCCAGCCTATATCGGCATGTAGTTGAGGGATATATGCCGAATATCTTAGTAGAATTGTTGATGCCTCAAAAATCAGTCGGTCTCCAAGTGAAACTAGCACAAGCCATTACATCCTAAGGCCATTCTTAATGCAGATACTATTCTTGATAAGATGAGTCAGGGACACCGACAGGCCCCAAATGAGTTAGCAAGAACCTACGTATATAACTCCTTTTTGCGCGTCTTGGCGGAACTGTAATCCCGGGAAGAGTTGCTCCATTCAGCCAAGATGACAGCCAGAAATCCAGACCGTGACAAATCATGGCAGGGGTGGAGATCTTTTCCTGTCTCGTCATTTCATGTCGTTGGAAGTGGATCGTCTCAACGGCCAAGAAGCACCCGGCCCATGTAGCGTCCTTTCCCAGGCTGTTCTAGCCGGGCGGCGATAAGTCTGAATATTCAGCAGTTAGGGCAGTTCAGCGCAAAACCAACCCCTGCGAAGCGTTTGTTTCATCAAGCCCATGGATCGGTGCAATGATTCACATGTCCCGCCAGATTCTGAATCTCATCATTCAGAGCATGTGAAATGAGCAGAGTTTTGAGAATTCGCCGACGCTATCGAGCCTATTAGACCAGTGGAGATCCCGACGAGAAAGGAATTTTATCCCCACTTAGTCTCCGACACCAAGAGAATCTTGTTGATCCCATTGCTGGATACGAGGCAACAGTTAGGAAGCACTCAAGATGATTTGTCCCTGCTTGTTTGAAAGACCCCCCTTACCCCTAGTCCAATCATCAGTTTTAGCGCAGGGACAAGATTCCCAGAGAAGAAATACGGTTGCGCCTCGGCTGCTAAACATAGCCAATGATGAGGATCAACGACTGTCAGAGACGGAGATCCTCCTTTTCGATCGGCATTCCTGTCAGGACTCTGCAGATCGCTAATTTGCCTACCATGATTCTATGCCTACGTTGGACCGGTGGATAGGGATTTTTCAGCTGACGTGCTGCCCTCGTGCTCCATATTTGACGGCTGTCTCAGGCCTGAAAGCTTCGCTCAGAAGAATCGTATGATTTTTTTCCTCTTCTCTACCCACAGTTAAATATGCTGCTTCGTCGGATATTGATTGCGGCGGTTGTCGGCGCAGGGTTCACTGCTGTGGCTTCGGCTGCGCAACCTAGTCTGCCTCAGTGTGCGGTATGTCCCCGCATATTGCTGAATTATTTGAGAGTGGAGGTCTAAGAGGAGTAGGTCTTGTGTCAGGAACAGGTCCTTGCATCCAATGTGACAGCATGCAGCTCTTCAGACGGACTGTGTCTATGCGGTGACACCACATACCAGAATGCGCTCACAACTTGCGCCTCTACTAAATGCACCGTGAGAGAATCATTGCGTACGTCTAAAACAATCATTTTTCATGGTCTAAGCTGACTTCATAAGTTGCAAAACGCCTGAGCGACCGAACATGCAATGTCCCTGTGCACCAGGGCCGGCCCGAGGTCGAAGCTGCCACACTGATCCCTTTGATACTTGCTTCGATCTTCTTCTTTAACCGAATGGCCGCCAAATCCATGGGCCTGGCGGGTGGTTGGGGAGTTGATGACTACACCATTATTGGTGCTTATGTACGGTATCTCTTGGATAAGCTGGGCAAGACCGAACTGACCGTCTGCAGGTGCTAGCGGTAGCCATCTTTGCCGTCAACATCGCCAGTAAGCTATACCAAGGATTGAGCGACCTCAAAAGGCTAATCTAGCTTCAGTGATCCAAGTCGGCTTCGGCAAGAACATGTGGGATGTTATTCCCATGGACAACATCACAGACGTGTACAAGGTAAGTCACAGTGCCGTTCTCCGCTTAGTCCGACTGCCAGCTCACTCACATATCCTCTCAGCGCTTCTTCGCCTTCGTCGTCTTATACAAGACGCAGATCTCGCTGGCCAAGATATCCGTCTGCCTCTTCCTCCTGCGAATCTTCCAGACCCCCACGTTCCGATACACGACATACACGATCATCGGACTCAACGCTGCCATTGGAGTTACATGGGTGCTTGTCGACTCCCTGCGATGCAACCCAGTCCATCTCGCATGGGACGGCTGGACAGGAGAGACGCCAGGAATATGCATCGATTTCACCAGTGCGACGTTCGCCAATGCCTTTGTCAACATCGCCGTGGACACTGTCATGGTCCTGATGCCTGTTTATGAAATTACGAAGCTGAACCTCTCTGGAAGAAAGAAGCTCGGTGTGGGGGTCATGTTCGCCATGGGTCTGGTGTAGGTGTTCCTTGACATTCTCATGAAATCAACTAATCAGAACGAAGCTTGACGATTGTCGCCATCCTCCGTGTCGTTGTCTTCTATCTCAATCGCTGGGGAAAGAATCCTACCGGTTAGTCCACCTGACCCTATTATTCTCTCCCACTAAAATTAACTCGTATACTATAGTGGAACTACAGCCAATCGTCCACTGGTCCGTCATCGAAGTCAGCATCGCTGTTCTCTGCGCCTGTCTGCCCACCGGCCGCGCCATGCTCGCCCACTTTTTCCCTAGTCTGCTGGGTGGTTCCTCCGATAAATCGTACCCGCAGCCCACCAATCCCTCTGCAAGGGCTCTGGGTCCCAGTCGCCAAGGACAGAGGAGTCAGATTGCCAAGACCATGTCATACTCCGTCGACTATCAGACCAAGCCTCAAAACAGGGAGTCCAACAGCTTTGTGCGGCTGGTGGAGCTGGACCCTCTGAAGGAGGGGGGTGTACGTTAGCTCGTCAAGAGCCATATCGGCTTAATCCACAGGACCCTGGATTTATTGAAGATTTCAATTGAGCAAATTTATGTAACACAAGGCTATCCGTTAATGCATACGAACAAGATACCTCCATGTCCAATGAGTACCGCTTATACTTCGGGAAGTGTCTCGCGCACGTAAACAGAACTACTACACGCTCCCAGCTTTGAATGGAAACTCCTGTCATCTGCATCATCGTTCTGAATTTCGGATCGAGTTATTTGTTCGGTATGGAAAGCATAAACAAGAGCAATTCGCGCTGTCGTCGGTCGGAAATAAACTATGGGCAGGAAATCGGTAGGACAAATGCGGACTTCTGGACGATCCTGTCTCCCAGAGCGGCCTGCTGAACGATCAGCGCCTCAGAACCTGGAATTATTCGTAGTATTAAAAGATGGAAAAGTGTCAGACCTCGATGAGATGGATACCTCCACATGCCATAAGTTACCCACAGCGTCAGAAGGGCGACAAGCAAGGACGGTATCCCGATGATCAGAGTTAAAATAGCCTCTGGTGACAAGGAAGCCATAGCTCAGAGAATGTATATATTATTGGTATTAACGACATCAACGACTCTCATGAGAATGATTCAACGTATACCTCGGTCACTGGATGGCGGAGTTTGCAATTTATATCCTACTTTCTGTACCTCAGTAAACAACTAGCTTTGAAGGGGAGTGGTTGATAGGAAAGCACGAACTGCAACATCGCACTTAGCCGTCAGAATAAGTGCGACAAGTGCGACAAGTGCGACTTTATTGCGACGGACAACCAGGATTGGCGCGAACCCCTGCTCGTCTTGTTGGTGGCGCAGAGAAGACGAGGCTGTACCGAGTACATACGAGGCTATGGCAGGTTCGCAACAATATAAAACTTCTGAGGAATCCCCTCGCTGAAATATTCCTTCTCTCTGCCGTTGAGAATAAGGAAGTATTGTTCAATCTAGATCAACGCGTCTTCAGCCATTATTTGACTTGTCATGCCTCAACAAGCGGTTAAACGTCGGCTCAGTCGGGATAAATGTGTATTTTGTCGCAGGGATAAGAAAAGAGTATGTCTGAGCGTGCGAACACCGTGCTGGAGAACAACACTAATAACTAATAACTACATAGTGCGAGCCGACAAACCGCACCTGGCCATTGCAGAAATGTAATCGTTGTGTTGCAAAGGGGCTGCCCTGTTCGGATAATCAGCGCGCAACCAGACCAAGAGACGCAATCCTCGAACAACATAGCGCACCCTCTTTGTCGGTAGCTCATCGTGCCGTTGAGTCTGTATCTGATCTGTATGTTTCTGTTGTTTCTCTCTGTATCTCAGGTCTGTCGTCGCTGATATAACCAGGTCGGCAAGAGTGGCCTGGGTTCAACATCTGCAGCACAGTCTCCGCTCTGTCAAAACAACCGAGGGCTGCATGAGAGCAATGGTGGCATCAATATATCGTCGTCCATTATTTCTGGATAGCCTAGTCCAATACGTTGACCACCAACGGACAGAGCTCGTCGGTGACATCGCTCTCATCTCCCACGAGCTTCACTGCTCTGGGGAGCGCTTTGGGTCCCTCTATGCGACAAGCCTTCTTTCTCGTCTCGATGCACACCTCCGGTTCAGGCCTGAGACACGGGATTCCAGCCTGCTAGCCGCACAAGTCCAACAGCTTCTTGACGTCGGTGATGTCGGCCAAGCAGTGCTGATGCAAGAGACGCTGCTCCGGTCTTGTGCTGAGAAACATGACAGCGCAAGTCAGTATATGTTTGAAACAAACCTGAAGCGCTATGTTGATCTTCGAATCGATCTGCGGCAGAGGATCAGGCGTATCCGAGGCGACAATGCAATATTCGCTCCCACCTACAACGTTACCATTCAATGGCCAGGGGTCTCAAGATATCTACCCCTTGCTGTGCGATATTTTACGCTCCCCGAGGGACCCGGCCTGCTTGGGAGAAATCCCTTGCATGTAGCAGCAGGAGTAAACTGCTCAGAAATTATCGCACCACTGCTAAATAGGGGCGTTGATATCAATGCTGCAGATGACTTTGGCCTCACGCCATTGCATGTGGGCTGTATCCACGCGAGCGTAGAAGCGGTCGGCGTCTTGCTAGCGCGTGGTGCCCGGACAGAATTGCAAGATAAGGAAAAGAGAACAGCCCTGCATTATGCTGCTGTGACTGGACGAGGGAGCATCGTCAGAGGTATTCTCGCTGTCAAGCTGGACACGGCCGAGGTTAAAGACAGATACGGGCGAACAGAATTGTCTTATGCGGCGATATTCGGACACGAGTCAGTAGTAGACTTGCTTCTTGAGACTGGGAAGGTTCATCCAGACTCCAAAGACGAAATCGGGATGACTCCGCTGGCCTTCGCGGCGGCCGAGGGCCATGGACCGATCGTTAGCCGTCTCTTGACCACTGGCAAAGTCGATGTGGGCTCGACAAACAAGGTGGGAAGGGGCCCGTTAGCGTTCGCTGTCGAGAATGGGAAAGAGGACGTAGTGGAGATGCTCCTCTCACAGCACAATATTAATGTGAACCCTCGAGACGCGACCGGATGCACGCCTTTGGTCTATGCAGCGCGCCAGGGGTACGACGGCATAGTGCGATTGCTCCTCCGCTCCAAGGACATCGATGTCAACAGCCGGAATTGCTACGGTCGCACGCCACTGTCCTATGCTGCAGCAAGTGGACATGTGGGAGTAGTCAAGCTTCTCCTCGCGGCGGGCTGTGAGTCTGTGACCCATCAGTAGTTTCGCTTGACGGGAGGTCAACGCTATCATATGCCATGGAAAATAATCAAACAGAGGTGGAAAAGGTGTTGAGGGAGTTCACCAAATAGTTATTGCCAGCAAGAGAACGGTGACATACTAAACATTTTTAAGGGGTTCTTTATCCATAGCGAAGGCTGCTAGGTTCTTGACTTTCTTCCGCAGCTTCGGCATGCTATTCTGCTACAAAATGCTGCTTAGTTATCATCTACGGATTATTGAGAAGGATATTTCGGCAGATTTCCTTAACCAACCAATCAAACAGTCCCAAATGAATGTTTGGGCTTGCCTAGCCCGTGAGACGAACAGTGTCAGTCCGATGAGACATCCTCAGCTTTATCGCTTCAGCCTTGTCATCGCAAACTAAGCGATCACAGCCGAGTAATGCAATGCATCTATTGGACAGTATTAGCTCTGTCAAAGTATGTACTCCGCATCACAGGTACAAATGGTGTGGTTCTTTTCATTGACCTGTCAGCCTCTCGGATGTGGAGGTTGATATTCGAGACCCTGATTGCCGGGTAAGAGACCACCAGGTACGCCATGCATCTCTCAGCGTCCGCTCATTTGCCAGGTTCAGCCACAAACATGCTGCTTCTCGTATATGCGGTATACGCGGTAACTTATTTGACAGCCAGTACCAGCTGAGGGACTGAACAAGATTTAAATAATGGCCCCCGTTCGCTGTGTTCGAGCTGGCTGGGAACAGCTCCCCTGGGTTCTCGGTTATAGCCTTGTTGGCTGCGGGCCAATATTTAACCTAATCCCTTTATATGAACATCATATTTCAGAATGGCAGTGGCAAATGGTCCATCAGATTATGTTCGCGTCCAAATTCAAAATCACGAAGCTGTGCATGGACTTCCGTACCAGCCGACCACCGTGCACCACCACGGATCACCGAGTGGCCGAGAGAAGATAAGATGGTCACTCTGGGACTGGTCCTGGGAGCTTGCAGCATGCCTAGTTGCGATCCTCACGCTAGCCGGCATTATCGTGGTCCTGCGCATGTACGACGGCAAGACGCAGCCAAACTGGCCGGCGGGTATCAACCTCAACGCCATCATCGCCCTGCTAACGACTCTCATGAAAGCTGCCATGGCCACGTATATCGCAGAAGCGTTGTCGCAACTCAAATGGACTTGGTTCAAGGAAACGCGCAAATTAAGCGATCTTTCTGCACTCGATTCAGCCAGTCGTGGTGCTTGGGGTTCAGCACAGCTCCTCGTTCAATACGTGCCTCGGTACGCCATTCTTGTCACTTATCTGTCTCCAGGCTAATAGTCTGACAGTCACCTTGTTTCTCTCGGGGCCTTTGTTCTAGTCTTCGCTGCGGCCATTGGTCCCTTCACGCAGCAGGTCATCGATGTCAGATCCCGCTCCCTTGCACGCGGAGGCGGCGCCGCCATCCGGGTATGCAACACAAGCATGTATGAGGACTGGGGAGAGGGTCAAGCGCCTGGAATGAACCTAGTGCCGTTGGAGACCACAGGAGCGATATACAATGGCATCATGCAGACGTCGGTCAATGATCAATCCTCGGTGACTTGTCCAACAGGCAATTGCACATTTGCGCCGTATCAATCGCTCGGCCTCTGCAGTAAATGCGGCGATCTGACCAGTGCACTCGCACTGGCTAGCTCTGACGACAGCACGTACTCATACAACTACACGCTTCCGAATGGCCTTTTCTTCAATACCACAGGGACGACGCCGTATACCATCAGGGCAACCACGAACGTCAACCTCGTTCGCCTGGATACAACCGGCTTGCCGCTCATTCTCAATTTCTCGGCTATTACCACTCCGGGAAAGACAATGCCACCTCGGGTGACGGCCATGGAATGTGCATTCTATTTCTGCATCTCGACACGGCAGGCAATTGTCAGGCGAGGCGCTCTGACGGAGGAGAGCTTTCCTACCACGACTATATCCAACTTTTCCACCACTAATCTAACTTTGAATACCGTAGCATCGTCACAGCCTTGTTTGAACGACGGCCAGTGCAACTACGCCATCAGCTGGTTGAGCGTCCTTGCAATGAGAAATACCCTCAGTCCCATCGTTTCAGGGTTCGGCACATTGCCCGTGTCGAACAGACCATACTTCACGTCTGATACCCTGCGTGCACTGTACGGTGGGTCCGGCAACCTGACTCAGATCAATGGCACATTCGCCTCCATCGCCGCGGCGCTCACCGCAAATGCCAGGAATCGGGTCTGCCAGGGAACGGTGTCCGGCGACGCGTGGACGAATATATCGTACATTCGCATCCGGTGGCTGTGGATGTTGCTCCCCGTTGTATTGGTCGTCCTGAGCATATTGTTCTTCATCGTCACGGTCATTCATACTCGCAACCAGTACATTTGGAAGTCCTCTCCGCTGGCGCTGCTGTGTGCGGACCTGCAGATTGATGGCTCGGTGCAGCCATTGAAATCGGGGAAGGTTGATCCAGACCAGAAGAGGTTGGATGAGATGGCGAAATTGTCCAAAGTTCGACTGGAGGCTGGTTCTTGGGGGTCACGAATGCATGGTCACGTAGCTCATCGAGCCTGACTAAAAAGGTCTGTTGGCTATAAAGCTCTCCGACCGGCAGGCGCAAGCCCTTTTTCAAATACCCAATAATAATATTGTTGAGTTTGGCACAAAAGATGCACTAATCAACCGGAATCCCTGATTCAGATGCCTTGTGGATAATAGCGACATCAACAAATGGCCGACTCTACCGTAAACGAACACGAGAATACGCGTATAGTTGATGCCAGTCTGCTAGGCACAGATCCCGGTGTTTAGTGCTGCGCTAACGAGCGCGATCAAGATTAGTCTCCAACTGCGCTCTTTATTGGTTGCTATGTATGGATACATCATGGTCCTCATTCCAGAAGGGCCATCGCGTACACTTGTCCCCTGGCCTCAGCTCAAACGAGGCCTGGATTGCTGTGATAGCGCATTGAAGTAATATTAATGGGGTAAAGATGAAACTCCTGTTGCTATAATAAGAGTCGTCTAGATGCAGTTAATTGATTTATAGATTTGGAGATGCCTAAATCCACGATCTGGCAGTCACACTCATAGGCATAAAGTCTTGCCTATCGATGCTTGGTCGTCGAAGTGAGCAACAACTACCTTTTCTCATAGTTCAGTTTCAAAATGGAGCCTCGCAATGGAACCACAGATGCGGCATCAAATGCCAGGATTGATTTTGCCTTTTACCGATATGATCCTAGCATGGCCGGAGCCGTGATCTTCGTCGTCCTATTCTCCATAACCACCTTATGGCATGCCTTTCAGCTTATTCGCACAAGAACTTGGTTTTTTATTCCATTCCTCATAGGAGGGATCTGTTAGTACATTCCTTGAATTTATCCAAATTACATCTAAAACTAATGATACAGTCGAAACAATCGGATATGCTGGACGCGCCATGTCGAGCAGCCAGTCCCCCAATTGGACTCTCGGTCCCTACCTCATTCAGACGATGTTTCTACTCCTCGCTCCGGCCCTTCTGGCGGCGTCAGTGTACATGTTACTCGGACGGATAATACTAGTTCTACGTGCGGAATCGCATGCAATGCTGAGGAAGAAGTGGTTAACCAAGGTCTTTGTAACTGGTGACGTCCTCTCATTCTTGCTGCAGGGCACAGGTAACAGCCCTACATAACCCAGCCCAAAGTTCAGTCTGACGCAAACGCTAGGTGGTGGCATTCAGAGCAGCGGCAGTCTCGACAGTATGAAGTTCGGGGAGCACATTATCGTGGCCGGTCTTTTCGTTCAAATACTGTTTTTCGGATTTTTCATCATCACGGCTGGCAGTTTCGACATGAAGCTCAGGAGATATCCAATCCCGCGCTGCTTCGAGGGTCATATCCCGTGGAGGAAGCATCTCAATATACTGTATGGGACTAGTGTTTTGATTCTCATCCGGTCCGTCTTTCGACTGGTAGAGTACCTTCAGGGCAATGATGGGTTCCTCTTACACCATGAGATCTTTCTATACATTTTCGATGCGGTGTTAATCTTCATCGCCATGGCCGTCTTCAACCTCTGCCATCCCAGTGAGATTGCCAAGTATATGGATTCGAAGGAGGACGTCGAACTATCGGAGGATTATAACGGTCTTGCCCACTAACCCGAAATGAGTTGCACCAACTCATCCTCCGATCTGGACGGAAGTGGATATCATTGTACTACAGTCCTAGCACTTGACCAATCAGGCCTACGTTCAAATACATTGCTGTAAATTGCACGGGAATTATCATCTTTTTGCAAGGTGTGGTTAATCATCATATATCCCCTATGGTTCTCAATATGTCTCATGTTCCGTTTGCGGGCTGCAAATATACAACTCCATCCACCGTCGTTGTCAACGTGCCATTCGCCTCCAAAATATTCTCCATAGCATCAATAGACAAGTGGAATCCACCAGGGCCTGTGCGCTTGGTGGCCTGCACCGCGCCTGTTTGCGTTAGATCCGAGTACCAATCCAGATGATTCCACCAGGGATTCGATTCAGATAATGTCAAAGTCACCGTTTCCCGGCCATTGATAAAATGCAGGCCGTCGTCGCTGTAGTTGGTGTAGTTTACAGCTACAGTCTTGAAACCTTCAAAACCTGGGTACGCCGTGAGATGCACTTGAGCTATGCCATCTGCTTTTCCGCGAAGAGTATAATATCCGGGTGGCAATTGAGATGGTGAAGGGATGTTAGCACCAGGAGGAAACGCCGTCGCCCAGGGGATCATGTCTGGTACTTTATAGATCGGCGCGGCAGCCGCCGGTTGTCGACTGGTGAGATGGGCCAGCATCACGCGGTATGTGCGACCACCTGGAGCGGTAGAGATTGGGCAAGAAAGAGGATTTCCACCACCGCATGCGGGTGGAATCACCATGGACTGCCAGAAGACAATTTTCGTACCGTCTGGAGAGAAGGCAGGGTCTGCGCGCCCGTGCCAGTCGGGATCATTGATGCTGCCACTTGTGCCGTTACCAGCAGCATTAACCCGTTGGCCAAAGTATGATCCTCGGTCTCCATACCTCTCAATCAGGATAGGCTGGAAGAAGCGACGGGCACCGTTGTTACGGGTAGACGAAGCTGCAGTCACGGTGACGAGGTCGATCAGCGGCGGGATGTATCGCATGCCTGACATCCACATCTGGCGGTTGGATCCCCGCGTATCCATAACCACGAACCATTGATTGTCATGGGAAAATGCGATGGGGTCGGCGTACTCTGGGTGGCTAGTCAAACGACGAACAGCACCCGATGTGACGTGTACCGCGAAGAGGTCAACATTGTTCGCCTCTCTTGTGGGACCAATATATAGAATCTCGTCTCCTGCACCACTAAAGCCGCGCAGCTCGCCAACAACAATTGCCTCGTCATGCAATTTGAGCTCCGTTCCCTCCGCCATGATTGAGGAGCGGCCTTTTGGATCGACCAGAACGCTCACATTCACCAAGTCATACCGAGGAGCGACAGGATTTCCGGTCGTTGGGTTTGGGTTGAACTGCAAGCGCCCAAAGAAGGCATTCTGGCCTCCCTTGGTGAAAGAGCTCCAACCCATGTGGACGTCATCTGGATGCATGCGCATTTCTCGCATACTTCCACTCGGCCAGTAGATGGGATAGATATGTGTTGTGTTCGGGGTACATTCGTCGCTCACTAGGAGAGCATCGCCGCAGTCGAGTATGTTGTGGCCCCATAGAGCTTGACGGCCATTTCGAGCAGCGTGAGGATAATCCCTTGCTGGGTCAAGGCTCTGTGCTTGCTCTGCAGGGACGCCACAGCTGAGGCACTTCCATGGATCCCCGTTAGGGAAGAGTGACCCATCTGTCTTGACGGCAATCAATTGCTGGCCGGTGTAGATGCTGGCCGGATCCGGGGCCGCTGGCGCACCGATGAATTCGACATTGACAAGAACATGGCTCCCATCCGGCGTAAAATCGCCAGCTTGAAAGGTGTCAGAGATAGTCCCTATGCAACCGGTCCCGTGTGGGTTAATGCTCTTCGTACAGGCGCCGTTGCGGTTGCTGGGGGCCACGGGAGGCAAAGGCAGCTCGGTGACTTCAATTGGTTCTGGTTGAGGAGCTGGGAGTGCCTGAACTTGGAAGATAGCTATGGAAACTGCCAACGCAGGTGCAATCCACTTCATTTTCCGTCGTTTCTGGTTGGTGGCGACGATACTGTCAGAGCTGCTTGGGCTGGAATATCCATGACAAGCGTGGAGATGGCCCTTTTGTAGTTTTTCTGATGGTTTCCAGGCAGCCAGCTACAGCCGATCCTCATCAAGCATCATAATTGCATGACGACAACTTGGTTGTAGCTGCAGGGGATGTCATCTAATCTACGGGTTATCGTCCTCGTAATCGTATAGGTTACCGGTTTGAGGAAGAAACACGAGTACGACATGCGGTATCTCTGATTTGCCTCATGCTTCGAGGATACGCGTTTACGTCGCAATTCCCATTCGACTGGTATATAGCGGTTCCTTGTGACAGTAACTGCCAATGGTCAAGCATTAGTGATTTCTGTTTTGTTGAGGCCTGACAACAGTGTGCATTCGTCTGGAACGTTCGGATGTACAAGCGGCAGTGCCGAGAGTCTATTGCTGGGTCCTTATTAAATTGCATCGCTTGTAGACATGCAGCATCATCTGCGTATCAAGCATTTCCCAATGGCTGGAAGTGTGCTGTTATGAATAACAATGTCAAGCTTGGAAGTCGGTTGCTTTCCGTGACAGTCATCTTTGGAGGTCTACTGGATGCGACGAGTGTGGTTCTTGGCTTAGGTGTTTCTCTCCTTTCGTGGGAAACATTTACCATAACGAAAACAAACAGAGACCTTAAAGGAATGGACCTTCAAGGATTCAGTATCAGAGCATCAGTCATCTGGATGTCCTCAGTCGGAATGAACTTTCCTTCCTGATAGTTCACCTACGTATGGGATGAAAGTACTGTCTCCCAGAAAGTGGTTCATTCTTTGCTTAATTATCATTCTTTGAGTTGAACGTGACCAATCGGTATCAGAGCTCCATTATTACTTGGGTTGTATCTGCTCCCCCTTGCCTCAGGTTACTTCAACTATCCCCGTTCTTGGCATACTTGGCTGAGCTCTATTCAAGGGTGTATCTTGCTTCTAAAAACAAGAAATGACTAGAGTCAAAAACACGAGATGGGTTGTAAGGCCGGAGAGGCACAAGTGTCAGTGAATAGAATTGTTTTCTGGCATGACAGCTCTTCAGGGATGGTCTGCAATCAAGGGGGTCCTCAAGAACATATGCAGAATCATATAAGCGTCGCATGTCTGACCAATCCTGCTCCAAAATTCTCTTAAGAACAACTCATAGTAAAATATACATAGTAAACTAGACACTATCACATAGCTCAAAGAAGCAAAGCTTGGCGGTCTGTCGACCAGTAATGAGAAGATGGGCTCAACAGTCAGAGATATTTTCACATCAAAGCAGCGAATGATATACAGAAAATAGGAGCCAAGTCGTCTATCTTCTTCTATCCTAAAGTATTATGGGAGTTACGTTAAGTAATATTGACATAAAATTGGTATCAATTGGTGGTTGAGTAGTCGGAGAACAATTTGGTCAACAATATATATTTCCCGTATCTCACCACATCCATCACCGTACAGTATATTCCCCTCCACATGCACACTTGTCATTTCCACTAGCGATATTTATTTTTAAGAATATTATGCATTACAGTGGCATGGAATGAATAGGGTGCACATTGTGACTGCTACAAGCATAAGATTAAGAGATCAGCAATCCGTACTGCAGTGGGTGCATATCCAACTACAGTGGCCAACGGGATGAACAAATTGGACCTCGAGTATTACACCCCACGGCTCTGCGATTGGTTAAAATACTTCAATTGAATCTATGTAACATAATAGTCTTGTCAAGCAAAGCATGCATGGGATAATGAGAAAGTGCAGGAAAGAAATTCATAAATCCGAGACTGTAGGAAGGTGAAAGTCCTGGCGTCACCAAACGCAGGCATACAACGGAGGCCACTTCACGCATCCTTTGACCAGGCACAATGATGAGATTGTTGTCATTCTCCGGGCATAGATAGAATAACTGACGTAGTTTTGTCTTCTCTCAAGGTCTGAATGCGTCTAGAGCCTGGACGCATTCCTCGAGGCATCCACCGAACCCCTGCCATATCCCTTGAAAGTGAGTGCAAACAACGCCAACTTCACAGCGCCCCAAAACAAGGTCAGTCGAGCAAGAAGAGAATATTCAAAGACAAGATTGGTCCTGTGTCGATTTGTATCTAACTATATCCGTCCAGCCTGACTAATGAGTAGGCGATTCACCAGACTATCTCCTCGCCACGCACGCTGGTCTGACAGGTATCTCTAAGTAGAATTGGCACCATCATTCTAGGACTCTGCTAAATTATATCACCACTGCATAGGACAAACAACCTCAACATTGGCATTTCCCAAACAAGTAATAGTGGCTAGCTGAGTGAATTGCACATTCTGCGGACTAAGAGGGCCATGATAGGAGTGTTCGGATGAGAACAGGAACACCACGTGGAAAAGAACAACAAATAAACAACCCATCTAGTAAATATGAGTAATGTATCCGCAAAAGCAGGGGCAAAAATGTGCCTATCCCGATATCCGAGCCCTAGGAATGCCAAATCTTGTTTACATGACGTCTGGAACCTGCGGGATTCCTCCTGGAATTGGTTGAGAGCGGCTTTTTGTTTACTTTGATCGACGAGCTGTATCTCATCCGAAGAATGTGGGAGCACAATCCACGAATCAACTGCAGGATACGGTCAGACTGTTAGGAAAGAAGTTGTATCGTTCAGAGCTCTCTGAAGCTCGAAAAATGTATAAAGCCAGCTTCAACCTCTGACAATCTATCCTCGAAATCAACAACTCAACAGACGACAACTCGCCAACAACCGCCACCTTCCAAGCCGACATCGATTCAGTCGAATAACCTTCAGTCTTCAAGGTGTCCATATTTCTACTTTTGTGATTAATTTTTAATCCACACATCAATGTACGTCCGCCCACTGATGCTGGGCTATCACCCATACTAATGTCCAGCCAGTATCAAGATGCAGTTCACTCTCCAGGCTCTGTCCGTCTTCGCGGCCTCTCTCCTCTTCTCCGCTGTCTCGGCTGCCCCTCAATGCCAGCCTGGAAACGCCTGGCCTGATGTCCACGACTGCCACAACTTCTTCGAATGCGCCGCTGGCGGCATCCCAGTCCTCAAGACCTGCGGTCCCGGCACGGCTTACTGCCCCGTCACCGGTGTCTGCGACTACGAATTTAAGATCCCCTCTTGCCACCCCCGCGGCGCCATCCCCAAGGGCCCTGAGCATCCCAACATCCCTGAGGGTTGGGGCTTGCCTTATGGCCACGGCCACCCCGGTGCCGTGGGTCACTAAGTGTTGAGGAGCTGTCATTCGAAGCTTGACCCCTCTATTGAGAGATCGAGGATGTGTACTTCTTTTATACCTGTTATTACCTAAGATTTTAATCAGTTCGGCTTGGATGGTGTGGTGTCTGGCCATGGATTATAGCTGTCTATGTCGATACCATGGGAGGATCTGCGCAGCATGACTAGCAGATCACGGCATAAAATTGAACATTTCTGTTATTCCAAATTATATACTAGACATTATCCCCGTAGAATACCTTATGGCTATCTCGTCGTATTCGTGGATGTGAATGAGAGCTGAGGTGTGTCCGAAATATTCGTGTTGACATCTTAAGGATACACCACAGAACGATCTAATTACAGTCAAACCAAATCATCAATGYCTACGCGCTCGTCGCCCCGGCAAAAAGCAGCCCAAAGAAGACGCCCACTACTGTCTTGCGCTTCTGCCACTCGCCGATGATCATGCACACAGCAGTGGCCAAAATTGTATCATGGGCCCTTGCCGGCGTCGATCCCTTCGCGCGAGCCAACTCCATGTCTTCCGGCATCTCGTCGATCCCAAACACCTCGCAGATTTTCGAGTCTTGAAGGACAAGAGTCCCGTACTCGTCTGCCTCAGGACTGCAAATAAAAGACGCCACGACCACCTCCTCCGCCTCATCGGCCACCTTGGCCGGCACGATCGCCACCAATTTCAGATGGTGCACCGGCATCCACTGCTTTGCCGCTTTGCGCTCCGCTGGCAAGTCCTTGGTACCTTTCCACACAAAGTCAACCCCTTCGTAGCTGAATGCATATTCTCTCGTCCGTTTCGAGAACGGCGCACTCCATGTCAACTGACACGCCTCCGTAGCTCTTAGAGGTTGATAAGCAGTAGGATCATCTTCAGTCCACTCCCCCTGCTTCCGCTTCGCATTGACCTCGCGATGGTACGCCTTGCCGGACTCGCCCCATAATCGCCAAGTGCGCACCCGATACCCTTTCAGATCACTGTCATCCTTGACACGGTTATCGGCATTGGTCCGACTTTGCCATTGCACGACTCCCCTGGGATCGATTGCGTCCCCGAGGTCCCTGCCAAATTGCATCCGCCACCGGCGCCAGCCAGCGTAACTGTGGATGAGGCATATGGTCCGTCCTTCCTTGGAGCCCCCCGAGCGAAGGGTCCGAGGCGCCTTGGCGAAGCTGACGTACGGCCTGTGGACAAAGTAGCCGTTTGGGTCTTGGACACTGGACGGGTCTTCTTTTTGCTTCTTGCGGCGCAGCTTTTGGGTTCTTGGTTGTTCGGTGGTGGTGATGAGCATGTGGTCGTTGCGTTCACGGTAGAGGTAGTAAGTTGAGGATTGGTCTTGGAGGGATGGCATGTTGTCGGTGAGAGGGATTTGTTGTAAAGAGTCGGTTGGTAAGAGGGGACGATCGTCGTTGTGGAAGGTCATTGTGGAAAAGAGTTGGCACAAGTTGAGAGACTGGTCGGGATATCCATGTCTACTTATACTTGGATGAGAACATACACTTTTGCTAGTGGACAGGGCGAAGCAACATGTTCAAGCTTTCTGCACGCAGGCAATACGAGGGACTTGCCCAAACGGGAGAGACGAGGATAGATTCTAGTCTTCTTTAGGCAAGTCGCGTATTCGGCGCCAATCAAATCGGTGTGGCTCAGCTGTGATTCTGGCTAGCTCGCCCGTGTATGAAGGCTTGGCTCTCCCCAGATACGAGGGGATGTAGATCGCAACTAGAGTCCAGAAAAGGAGTATTGATGCTACCCTGCCCCAGTTAGAATGGTCGTGGATTGGACATGGATTGATCCGCACTATGTTTGATCCAACCCATGCAGATTATGGGTTGAACCACCACCTATCTAACCCGCCCTTAAATCCACGTTAGACTGCGGATAATGCATATCTATAGTACTAAGCTAGCATTCTAATTACCATAGACCTTTCTCGTATCCTAGTTATACTACTAGGATATCTGTTTATTTTATTTAAGAATGATTCGTATCATCATTCGCTATATAAATATCATATATTAACTATCATATAAGTAACAAGGCAAAATAACCTTACCTAGGGGAGTAGGGTGACCCCGAAGTTTAGGATGAAAAGTGGTGTGGAGATATGTCTTACCTTTCACCATCATCCTCACTATCATTTAAGATTAAAATCTACCATAATTCCAATTTTCCTTAACAAGTCTAATACTTTCCTTTATATATAGATAGATATGACTATTCTCTATCTAAAGATATAAAGATATATCCCTAAATGGGCCTAGATATAGTGAGATAAGCTTATCAGTTCTAAGAGGCCCTAGACTATGTGCATCTAATAAGTTATCCATATCCATGTGGATCAGGTATGACTAACCCATTAAGTTACAGGTCTGATTAGGGCCTACTAGATCCAATCCAAAGTACGGATTAGTTGGTTTGGATATGATTTGCGGATTGGGTCAGCCACTCTAGCCCTGATGTTCCACTCAATATGAATCTGCAACCAAGGCCGCCTTCAGCACGGCTTTCGCGAAGGAGTGGGTTCTACCCAGATGTCTGTTGATTAAGCGACGACAAGGACAAAAATAATCCCAGAATGGCATGGGATTGGTCGGTGTAGAGAACATTGAATCAAAAACAGGGGTCTGTGTCTATAAGTCTTCACTCTATAAATAATGTACATCCATTGCCATACATCAAGCAATCTAAGAAACAGGACACAACCGCCCATTATTATTCCACGAGTAAGGCACTGGGTCCGTAACCTGGACCTCCCAATCCTCCGCGCCAACAGCGGTCAGCGCAAAGAACAATCCCCACCGATCATACCGCTGCTTGAGGCTGTAGAGGCGGTCGTAGTTGGCGCCGTAGAACGCCTCCTGCTGGTTCGGTTCGAGCAGGTCTGCCTCGCTCATGTATGCGCCCGAGTCGGGGGCAATGTCGCGCAGCACATCCATCCAGCTCGTCACGAACAGAGACTTGTCCTTCACGGTTTCCCAGCTGGCGTCGGATGTCCATTGGGCGCCGACAATGACGTGTGCGAGGGCATCACGCCAGGCGGGAAGGACGGAGGTATCGGTGGGCGGGGTGACGGCTTTGCCGGTGCCAGTGATGTGGAAGCCAGCAATGAAGAGTCCCTAGAGATGGTTAGTGAGAGTCAGGACAATGCGACGGGAAGGCCTACCTGTTCGATGGCGTCCTTGTGAGCAAGGAAGGTCCGGTTACGCAGACTGTCGTCCTGGAAGACGCTGCGGGGCATCAGCCGAGAGGCGGTCTTGACCAGGGCTGTTCCAACGTATTCTTGGGGGAAGGCAACCGCCCACACATCATGGCTGCATATCAGTTAGTTATGATTCTCGTACGGGGTATGGCAAGCTCACAAGTTGTCGGCGTAGTTGTACCACGGAGTGTAAGTGATGTTCTGAGCGTCCAGCACATCGAACCACGGAGCGAGCAGAGCCTTAGTCTCGTCGACCGTCATGTTGGGGGCGACAAACGACTCCATGCGGAAATAGTAATCGGTCGAACCGGCATAATCGGTACCAAGCTCATAGGCGGACGCGCCGAGGTAGTAGTAGCCGTACGTACCGGCATCGACAAAGCTCTCGAAGTTGTCAAGGTACGACTCGACACCCTTCCAAAAGGCGTCGGCGCTAGGGGCGTCCTTGATGGTGAAGTTAAAGGTCACCGTCGTCGTCGGCAGCTTGGGGAGTGCCTTGACTGTCAGCGAAGTTACGACGCCGATGGTGCTGCCGCCACCACCACGAAGCATCCAGAAGACGTCCGAGTTCTGCGTGGATGTGGCCGTGATGAAACGGCCATCAGCCAGAACCACTATCAAGCCAAGTTAGCCGGCGAGCCTAGGGCTGACAACGAGATACGACCTACCCTCCATCGCAAGGACCTGATCCGCGGCCATGCCGTACAGACTGCTCAAGGGCGAATGACCACCGCCGGCGGTATAACCACCTCCCAGACCAACAGTGACGGCTTCACCACCAACAACAGTAACACCGTTGGCCTTGGCATATTCATACGCCTCCCACACCTGTACACCAGAGCCGAACTTGATGGCCGGGCCGACGTAGCCCTTGGCGGCCTTGTACTTGGGGTAGAAGGTCTTGTCCTTCAGCCAGTGCGTCCAGATCGACAGAGCACCCTTACCGGCTGCCTTGCCGTTGAAATCATGGCCGGTGTTCTTGACGACCAAGCGCAGGTTGAGATTTCGGGCGAAGTTGACGGCTAGCTGGATCTGGGCCACGTTTGTGGCATTAACAACGTAGGCGGGATACCCGCCGATCTCACAGGTGCCCGTGTAGTTGAAGCCAGGGGGCATGCATGTGCGGCCTTCGTAGAGGGGCAACATGATGGAAGCCGGATCCCCCATGCTATTCTCCGTCAGCCGCCATCCAGGGAAAGATGTGAAGCACTTACTGCAGATCAGAACTGATCCATTGTGACGTGATGGTGGCACATTTTGCCGCATCATACTCGGGCCAGTCAGGGTAACAGTATGCTGCCAGTGGTGTCGTCTTCACCAGACGGTTGCCGAGAAGAAGATTGAAGATGTCCCAGATCAGGTCGTTTGGCCAGGCGCGGTCTCCAGGCATTACCTTGCACTGGTGCAAGCTCCTCTTTGATACGGAAGAGGAGTTGGTGCTGGCAAAGGTGAACATGCTGGAGATGGTCGCATTCTGAAGGGTGTCAGCCACATTGGCGAGAACTCCATCCGTCAGTTGGACAGTTTCGGATGGGAACAAAGTTTCCGATGGTGAGACAGTAGTTGCGGCAGGTGTCAGCGATGCCGTGACACTGGCCTCTTGCGCTGCGACCGCAGAGGCCGCGGCCAGGATAGCCAGGACGCTGTTCTTCATTGTCTAGGTCCTAGTACAGGGGTCAAGGAGGGAGGTAGCCTGTCCGTGTCAACACAGTGCATGCCATGTGGGCGATATTTAAACACTCTCTGAATGGAAATTAGGAGACAATGGATGTCGAGTCCTGGATCTCGAAGCGAACGACTGTTGCCCGTCGCGCAAAGCAGGTGGATCCTCATCTCGGAGAATTTGATGGATTCTGCCTTGGTGCGCAGAGCTAAGCAAGTAGCGGCACGGCGATGGGCTTCTAGCGCATGAACTACTGCACAAAAATATATGTGCTCCACGCTCCTAGTCTAAAGACTGACTCGCCGACAAGAAGATGGAAGTTCTCCGTACGCAAATTCGCCGTTATCCATAATATCGTGAACCCGGTCAGGCCACGTTTTGTGGCACTGGCTAACAAGGACTATTGATGTGGCTGCAAGACAAGACTACAGCTCCTGCGGCCTGCGGGCGCCGATGTCGGTAATTGGCTCTGGAGTGAGGAAGGAGAGGAAAAGGACAAAGAACAAACCATAGAGAAGAGAGCGCCAAATGACTAAATAGAGACTGAGGACCGACCGGTTGATTGAGTTGTTATGCTGTCACTGTGTACCGGGAGTTGGCTGTCGAACATGCAACCAAAAGTTTACCAACAATAGCCATGAAAGAAAGTTAAATCGAGATTCGAGACAGTCCCGGAGGGAGGTTGTCCTCCGAAACCCTTAGTCTAGACTAGTCTACGTCGTGGATAATAGAATTGTCCCAGGAGACTTGCCGACTTGGCTCGCTTACACCGAAGGAGATGGATTCTCGACTCAGTCGGCCGAGGGACTATGACTGCACTAACATGCGGGGCGATTTATTTGCCATTTCAACCGACGAGCCTTTGTCCTAAGTGGTCAATGAGTGACTTCTTCTGAGAAGAACCAAGACTAAGACGCAGGAGCGCCCGAGCCGATGTGGAGGAGAAGTCCTGTAGCGTTGTCCGGCAATTTGTCGGCGTCTCACCCAGACAATCTGGATCCAGTCCCTTGGGCCCTTGACCATGGACTATTTGACCAAGTGTCACAAGTGGCCGGAATGCCTGCCAACTTCATGCGATGGCCGAAGGAGGCACAGGAGCTACACGAGGCCTTTAGCTGGCTAACAGCATGGCTCTATACAAATAGACTTTGCCATCGAGTCCGCAGCTGACAAACTAGCAGAAATAGCACATGTATCCTTCAGCAGAAGGTTCGAATGCAAGCAAAAAGTTGCGTTTGAGGAAATCGACCAGAAAAGACGGCATGAGCCTCCGAACCCTAATGTAGGACTCTTGTACTCCATCGACCTGCGGCAATTTCAGCTCCTCTCATAAGGATCTGACGGCCGCTTTTTAATCTATTTCTCTTTCTTCCTTTCTTTCCTTCTTGTCATCTCCGTCCGATGGATTGCGATTCTCCGTAATGACTGCCCCAAGCGATACTCTGCAGCCCCAGGCGATTGCGCTGATCTTTGCATTTCCCGCTGCGGCAACGATCGTGGTGGGCCTTCGAATCTACAGTCGATTATTGACACGGACGTTTGCAGCGGGTATGTTCCCAGATCGTACTATATTGGGTTGACGCATGCTGATCACGACTTATAGATGACTGGGTCATTTGTTTTGCGGAGGTGGGTGAGACATTTTCGTCAAAGATTCTCGCGCTGACCTGAATCAAGGTCCTTTACTGGGCTGAGACGATTACTTCTTACTATGGTATTGCCAATACATGAGGCTTTTCCTGCATTAACTAACATATTCAGTCATCAAATGCATGTATATTGGCTACCATGTCTGGGACGTTCCGAAGGACTTTCCCGCCGCCCTCGGAGCAAAGTACTCCTACGCAGTACGTTGGACTCTATTGCTCCTAACTACATACTAACTGTCTTTCAGACATTACTCCTGTACAATCCCATCCTGGCCCTTATCAAAACCTCCATCCTCCTCTTCCTCCTACGCTTGACCGGACAGAAGGTGAATGTGCGGAGAGCGATATACGGACTGTTGATCCTCAACGGGATCGCCATGGTGGCCACCTTTTTCATCACCATGTTCCATTGCGTCCCAATTGCGTCCAACTGGGATCCTATGTCCTACCCGAACGCGACATGTATCAACTTCGCCAACTTCGTCACCGGAACGGCTTGTGTCTCCATCTTCACCGACGTGCTGGTGCTGATCCTTCCCACCTGGATTGTGTATAACCTGAAGATCGCGCGGCGTCAAAAGTTGATGTTGATCGGGATTTTATCCTTGGGCTTTATGTGAGTGATCTACCTATCTGCCTGGAATTATTGATGACTGATGTGGGAAGATCGGTTATATCTGGAATTGTACGGGTCATCCTCCTCGACAACTACGACCGCCACTTCCCGGCAGATTACACCTACACGCTCCTCTTCTGTATTTCCACCATAGAAGTAGGACTCTCCATTATTGCGGCGTGCGCGCCGTCTCTGAAGCCACTCTTCGTCATGATTCTCCCCAAAGTATTCCGCAGCAGCAAGAGCCGGAGTGCTCCGCAGTATAACAGGTACGGAGCCAGCCGCAGCGGGCCCATGGCGTATGATCTCGATAATATTTCGCGGGGATCCCGGCGAGCACAAGGAGACACCATGATCGAAGCGGGGGACAATGAAAGGGGAGACAGGCTTTCTAAGAATGGGATTGTCCTGACCACTGAGATGGAGGTCCACTGGCATGTGTCTGGATCCGGACGGCCGATAACTCAGGGCAGTAGTACGGAGAGTCTAGTGCAGCAGAGAAAATCATAAAAAGGGGCATGTATTTGTAATGTATCGTTGGTCTACTTTCGATTCTATATGCATAGCGACCGGATCCCTTTTCTCGTCATCACGTCTCCATCTCACTTTCACCGCCACTCGACCATGTAGGACCACGGAGCTCAAATCCTGACGCAGTTGGTCGAGTAGGAGCTCACATCATTGTCATGGCCAATGTCGGCAAAATTGAGGAACTGGTTGCGGCAGAACTCATAGCCAAAGTCGCCCTTGCAGCCGGGGCTGTCGTAGAATTTGATACAGCAGCGGGTGGTGCCCTCCGGATTGTCCGAGTAGTACCTCATCGACGAAATCTTCTGGTTGAGAGGGTCGACGTTGGGGAAGCACTTGAATCCGGGATTTCCAGGTCCGCCATTAGTGATAGATGGACCCTGTTCCTCCTTGAGCTGATAAAAGTACACGCGCCAGGCGGACACGCTGGGGACAAGGGCCAGGGCGAAGGTGGCGGCGAGAGCTGCGATCTTCATGGTGTCTGTGCAATTATCAGTTCTGATTTTCATCTGGTGAGGGAAATGCATACTCTGTGAAAGTGATATGCTGGTTTCTGTCAGAATATTGTTGATGCGGTTGAGCTGGCTTGAGGATGTCACCTTGACGAGGAGTGGAGAGGGCTTTTATAGATTCCTTCTTACGGGTTCTTTCGCTGAAGCTCAACATGAACAGGTGCCGCATCTCCGTCCAATTTTGGTGCTGTTTCCATAGCGAGGATGATGCCAAGGAGTCGACGCAGATTCTAGATGTCAATTAGATTGGCCAAGATATTAAGATCTCGTATAGACAGCGACGCCCTTCCCCAGATGTATATGTACTGCGACAGACGGGTTGTAGCTGCTTGGCACCCGCTCGTATTCAGTTGATACATTGCTGCATCTCCTCCATTCTTGAGCTGAGGATTCTGCACGAGTATAATCTTCACCACTGTATGGATCAAAATCATCCAAGTTTTCGGGTCCTCTTTCGTATTTCTCCTGGCTTCATGCAGACCTCCAAGTCTGGATCTCTTGTTACAATGGCCCGAAATGGCCGACACTCAGCATATGCATTTGTCATTTGGTCTTAGACGAAGATCATAGGTCTCTCGGATGATAGAGCTCCCTTGCAGCGAGATGACGGTATGAATCCCGTGCAGTGAATCCTGAGTCGACCGGTTACTTGTCACTGTGATGGGCATTTGACATGACTCAATTCATCTAACGATCCAAGGGACAAGCATTTTTCTGCACTCATGTCATAGTTAGAACAGGAGGCGACGTACACGTCGAGCGACCTGAGAGGTTCCATTCAGGCCCAGCACAATAAGAGCCGTGCCGCCAGATGAGCACTCTGCCTCCATCCCTCGCCAGAGCCGTGGTCGTTTCTAAAGGGCTCAAGGAAGATTTCTGGCGGCCGGCAGCGAGTCCGCCTTTCTCAGGATCCGAGGAGAGCTCGCTCCATCACCAAGTGGGACAAGATGACTGCGCGTTCTTAATTTGCGACATCGACTGCGACGTTAATAGAATTCATGGCACAGGCCCCCGAAGACGCGCAAGGTGGACAATGTGTCCGAGCTGATGCTGCCGACAATGCGTACATAGAAGATCAATGGGCCACGCCAGAGTCGTCATCTGAATCTCATCCAAACAACTTAAATGAAACGACTTACCCAGAGCTTTTGAGGTCACTTCCCGAGCCTCTTACTAACCATTGCCTTAAAATTCGTCCCCAGCCCTATGCCGAACTTTTTCCCGTTAATGCGCGCAGAGATTGGGCTGGATGGCTACAAGGACACGCAAAGAAAGACGTTACCAGGCAGCCATGATCGCGGCTTGGCTTGACTCATTGTCTATGGTAGCAGTTCAGACGGTAAGCATCCAACGATCATCCTGACCGACTACAGAAGCACCACCAAAACGGGACCCCGACTCCCGGCGGTGCGGTGGAGGGCGCGGGTTCCGCGGGGCCCGAAGACGATGGCCAAGAACAGGCAGATCTTGGTATCGCAGGCGACGCAGCCACTTCGTCAAAAATCAGAGTCATCGCATTGATGCCAAGGAATCTGGATCTTTCTGGATTCTTGGTGGGATCCCTTTGGGCATTAATAAGTGGTCCGCGGGCGGCCGAGATGGATGAGTCGCATACTGGCATTCACGTTTAAATATTCTCGGGAACAAGCCTTCTCTATCTTCCTGGTGTCTAAACCGTCGGAAAACTATCCTTGCACCCGCTGGTTTATCCCTATGGCTCCGAACCCGACGGATATCCGTTGGTCGACGGGGGAAGATACCCCTTCTGAGACCCAGATCTCCGATAGCCAGGAATGCCCGGATGCTGCTCCAGATGAAAAATTCAGCCCTGAGGATGTTGATCGCCGGTTGGCAAACCTGGCCCGTAACTTAAGCGCCCAATCCCAACAGTCCCGTCATTCATTCCTCTTTAGCGCCGGTGAAAACAGCAGTCTCAACCCCCAGAGTCCTTCGTTTGATGCTAGAAAATGGGCCCGAGCCTTTTACAATACGCGTTACTCGCAGGATAACGACCGTCCACCTCGGGTGGCAGGCGTCGCATTCAAAAATCTGAATGTATTTGGGTATGGCAGCCCCGTGGACTATCAGATGAGCGTTGGTAATGCGCTCTTGAAAGTGCCGACGATGATCCGACAGGCCCTCGGAGGCAGGAAACAGCGTGTTGATATTCTGCGCGACGTCGAGGGCCTGGTGCTTCCCGGGGAACAGCTGTGTGTCCTTGGTCCCCCTGGCTCCGGTTGCTCAACGTTCCTCAGAACGATTGCGGGCGAGACCCACGGTCTGAATGTCGATTCGGCGGCATATCTCAACTACAACGGGATCAGCCGCAAACAGATGTCGACGGCTTTTCGCGGCGAGGCAATCTACACAGCTGAGGTCGACGCTCACTTCCCGATGCTCTCTGTAGGAGACACACTGTATTTTGCCGCCCTTGCTCGTGCACCGCGGGTGATTCCCGGAGGGCTATCCCGACAGGAATACGCCAGACACCTGCGTGATGTGATCATGGCCATGTTTGGCATTGGCCATACAGTCAACACGCGTGTGGGGAATGACTTTGTGCGTGGTGTCAGCGGAGGCGAGAGAAAGCGAGTCACCATTGCCGAGGCTGCCCTGGGATACTCGCCACTACAATGCTGGGATAATAGTACCCGAGGCCTTGACAGTGCGAATGCTGTGGAGTTCTGTCGGACGTTGCGCACGCAGAGCGATGTCTTTGGAATTACCTCATGTGTGGCCATCTACCAAGCCCCTCAGGCGGCATACGATGTGAGTGAATACGACTGTAACCCGCTAGTCACCTGCTGATGGACAGATAGCTGTTTGACAAGGTCCTCGTTCTATATGAAGGACGTCAGATATACTTTGGTGCTGCGCAGGAGGCCAAATCCTACTTCGACCGTCTTGGATTCCAGTGTCCTGAATCTCAGACGACGGCCGATTTCCTCACCTCGATGTGCAGTCCGGTCGAACGCATTGTCAAGCCCGGGTTTGAACATAAGGCTCCTCGGACACCAGAAGAGTTTGCCCAGCGATGGAAGGATAGTCCGCAACGGCAGTCCCTATTGCACGCAATCGAGAAGTTCAGCACCGAGCACCCGCTCGACGGACCCGATCTGCACCAGTTCGCCCTCTCACGCAGGGCGGAAAAGTCACCCCATCAGCGAGAGAAGTCGCCTTACACCTTGTCCTACTGGGGCCAGGTCAAACTGTGTTTGTGGAGAGAATGGCAGCGTCTCAAGAACGACCCCAGCGTCACATTGGCCATGCTCATCGGAAACTTTTTCGAGGCTCTGATCATTGCCAGCATCTTCTATAACCTCGCCGGAGACACATCCTCGTTCTTCTATCGCGGCGCCCTTCTCTTTATGATGGTCTTGCTCAACGCCTTTGCCAGTATTCTTGAGATTCTGACATTGTACGAGAAACGCACCATTGTGGAGAAACAGAGCCGCTACGCATACTACCACTCAAGTGCGGAGGCTGTATCCTCCTTCATCATGAGTCTTCCATATAAGTTCATGAATTCTTTCTTGGTCAATCTCACGCTGTACTTCATGTCGAACCTGCGACGGGAGCCGGGCCCGTTTTTCTTCTTCCTGTTGATTTCCATGTCAATGATGCTGGCCATGTCGATGTTCTTCCGCTGGTTCGCATCCTTGACCAAGACAATCGACCAGGCCCTTGCTCCTTCATCTATCATTCTGCTGGCCCTTGTTCTATATACTGGCTTCGCCATTCCTGTTTCGTACATGCGCGGCTGGGCTTCCTGGATTCGATGGATCAACCCCGTATCATATGGCTTTGAAGCCGTCATGGTTAACGAGTTCCACGGGCGCGAATTCCCGTGTTCATCCTTTATACCAGCCGGACCAGGCTACGAGGATGTATCCAGCACGCAACGAGTATGCTCGACTGTCGGAGCGGTTCCTGGCTCGGATGTCGTTTCCGGCGACGCGTTTGTCCGCTTGTCGTACGGCTACGTCAACAGCCATCGCTGGCGGAACTTTGGGATCATCATCGCGATGACCGTCTTCCTTGCTGTGTGTCATTTTGTGACGACAGAGCTTGTTGCCTCTAAACGATCAAAAGGCGAGGTGCTTGTATTTCGACGTGGTAGCGCTCATATCGCACGTGCAAAGCAAGCGCAGAGTGATGAGGAACGACTCACTGCCTCTGCTGTGCAGAATGAAAAGTTCAGTGAGGGCCCGACTCCTGTCGCGGGTGTTGAGAAGCAGACATCTATTTTTCACTGGGAAGATGTGTGCTACGATGTGAAGATCAAAAGTGAAACTAGGCGGATTCTCGACCACGTCGATGGATGGATCAAACCTGGTACACTAACTGCTCTGATGGTAAGACCTTCCCTGCCCGTCTGCGACACTCGAGAGGGCTAAGCATGTTGTATCTAGGGCGTCTCTGGAGCTGGGAAGACTACCTTACTTGATGTACTGGCCAGCCGAACCACTGTCGGAGTCGTCACAGGCGAAATGCTGGTTGACGGACGACAGCGGGACAGTTCATTCCAGCGCAAAACGGGTTATGTCCAACAGCAAGACCTCCACCTGGCTACTACGACCGTCCGTGAGGCACTCGAGTTTAGCGCTCTACTGCGGCAACCACCCCAATACAGCCGAACGGAGAAGCTGGAGTACGTGGAAAAGGTGATTGATCTGCTCCATATGAGAGATTACGCCGACGCGATTGTCGGCGTCCCCGGTGAAGGGTTGAACGTCGAGCAAAGGAAACGACTCACTATCGGTGTGGAACTGGCTGCCCGTCCCAAACTTCTGTAAGTTGTGACCTCAGGCAAATTACTATGGTCTCAGGCAAATTACTGACAAGGCGCGTTGCGTGCACAGCTGTTTCCTGGATGAGCCTACATCTGGCTTAGACAGCCAGACGTCCTGGTCGATATGCAACCTCATGGAGACGTTGACTAGAAACGGCCAGGCAATCTTATGTACTATCCATCAACCGTCGGCCATGTTGTTCCAGCGCTTTGACCGACTCCTGCTCCTCGCCAAGGGAGGAAAGACAGTCTATTTTGGGGAGATAGGATCGGGGTCAAGGACCTTGATGGATTACTTTGTTCGCAACGGCGGACCGCCCTGTCCGAAAGGCGTGAACCCGGCAGAACATATGCTCGAGGTGATTGGCGCCGCGCCAGGGGCCCATACAGATATCGACTGGCCGGCTGTCTGGCGCAATAGTCCGGAGTATCAGCAAGTTCGCCAGGAATTGTCCCGATTGAGACAGCTTGCCGGCCAACCTTCGTCTGTGCAATCGGATGACCCATCCAGCTACTCCGAGTTTGCGGCCTCGTTCACTGCCCAGTTGGGCCAGGTCGGTCGTCGAGTGTTCCAGCAGTACTGGCGGACGCCTTCGTATATCTATTCCAAGGCGATTCTCACCGTCGGCTCGGTAAGTACTGCCTGGTCAATTCATGGATCATGTGTCTAACAGTTCATGCAATTGCAGTCCCTCTTTATTGGTTTCTCCTTCTTCAAAGGCGACAATACCGCCCAAGGATTACAGAATCAGATGTTCGGCGTGTTCGTTTTCCTCTTCGTCGTCATCCAACTCATCTTCCAAATCATTCCATCATTTGTCACACAACGAACTCTATACGAGTCCCGCGAGCGCCAGTCCAAGACCTACTCCTGGCAAGCGTTCGTTCTCTCCAACATTGTTGTGGAGTTCGCATGGAACACGGTAAGTCATCGGCATATATGCCCAGATACGGACTAACCATGGCTCAGATCGCGGCCGTTCTGTGTTTCCTGGTGTGGTTCTACCCCGTCGGTCTCTACCGCAACGCAGAATACACCGACACGGTCCATTCCCGGAGCACCCTCGCCTTCCTCATCATCTGGGCCACATTCCTCTTTGCCAGCTCATTCGCGCAACTCCTCATCGCCGGCGTCGACAGCGCCGAACTCGCCTCCGCGCTCGCAAACATCATGGGCATCATGATGTATGCATTCTGCGGGATCCTCGCCGGCCCGCATGCTCTTCCTGGTTTCTGGATCTTCATGTATCGGGTCAACCCGTTTACGTACCTGGTTTCGGGCCTGTTGTCGACGAGTCTGGGTGATGCGCCGATGCACTGCGCCGACAATGAGTTCCTGGCCTTCTCTCCCCCTGCGAACCGGACTTGTGGCGAGTACATGGAGAGGTACATTGCGGAGGCTGGGGGGTATTTGCTGGATTCGGGGGCGCAGGGCGATGGCCAATGCGGATATTGTCGTGTTGATAACACGAACCAGTTCCTGAGGAATTTTAGCATTGACGTCGCGACTCGGTGGAGGGATTTTGGGCTTCTCTGGGTTTATGTTGCCTTTAACACCTTTGGGGCGGTGTTCCTTTACTGGCTTTGTCGGGTCCCGAAGGGAAAGAAGAGGCTGTAATTCGCAGTCGTGGATATAGAATATAGAATAGAGATTAGATGACACGGGACTGTTGCTAACGGAATAGAGGGCTTGCTCTGTGGGATCTGGCAGCTGCACGAGTGGTAGCTGGACGAGTTCCTACTGGCTATGGATACATGTTATGTTTAATAGAAGAGAATTATCTCTACAGGATGGTAGCTCCTGCAAAATGGTTCACTATTTACAAAGATCTATATAAGAGGCGTACCACGAAATGGGATCGCATTCTGACTTCCATTCCATCCGTATGACGAATTATTTGTATGTGGCCGAGATAGGAATCAAGTAGAAGAAGAAATGATTATATCGAAGTGAAAAGGAAAGGGAATAACGTAGCAATTGCTACGAATAGCAGAGCAAAGGAAGATCCTATTGCCGCTGCAGGCGATGCAGAGCCGGTAAAGAGCGCTGATGTAGCGGTATCCGTCACAGTGGAGGAACCACTTGCTTGAGAAAATGTAGAGAGAGTGGCGGCGCTGGAACCTGCGGTCGAAGTCAGACTCGAGGGTCTGGAGGATGGGATTCTGGATGCGGCTGATGTCCGAAGGCTCGTCGGTGTGCTTGCGTGAATGGTCTGGTTGTAGTTGGGGATATCACCATGAGCCCCCACAGCGGCGACGTCCTTTGCGCCGGATGATGCAGAGCCCGCAGTGTTGTAGGAACCGGTTCCGTGTGCGCTACCTCCAGTACCGAGGCCAGATTGTGCTTCAGCAACAGTGTCAGAACTGGAGGCGGAGCCCGAGCTCGACCCACGGCCGGTATCTTGCTCCTTGGTAGAGCCAGACTCAGAAGTCGACGAACTATGAGGTCCAGATCCAGGGATTGTGGGGACAGCGGTAGGAGCTGCTGTCCTCTCGACTGTGAGCACAACAGTAGACGCTACTAGAGTTTCCGTAGTGACGAATGTGCTCTTTGCCCTGGCGGGACAATTGGCGACTGTTGACGGGCAAGCTGTGACAGTGGCAGTGCGGGTGGTCAAGACAGTAGAGGTGACCACATCGACAGAATCCCCTCCTGACGAGGCGCGTGAGCTGGCGCTTGCGGCGGATCCAGGGACTCCGGTGATTGTAGGTCGCTCGGCAGCGTTAACTGGACAAATGGTGGTGGAGACCAAGACTGTTTCCGTGGTGGTATATGTGCTCTTATGGGACGCGGGGCAATCGGTCACACTGGATGGACACGCGGTGATGGTAGCGGTGCGAGTGGTGAAGATAGTAGAGGTGGTAGATTCACCAAGAGATGATGGGGCAATAGCAGCCGTAGGGGTGGTGGAGGTGGTAGCCTCGGTGACTGGGCAGATCGTCGTCGCAACCACAATGGTCTCAGTGGTCAGAAATGTACTCCTGGCTGACGCAGGGCAGTCGGGGACAGAGGACGGGCATGCGGTCACGGTAGCAGTTCGGGTTGTCAGGATAGTCGATGTGGTGAACTGTGGCGCGGAAGTAGTAATGGCAGACGACTGCCCAGATGCCGCGATAGACGATGTGGGAACGACAGCGGGAGCGGATGAAGGATTCGATGGGGTTAGGAGCCCACTGGACAATGAGATTTGGGAGGATGCTGCGCCGGATGAGGGCGTAAATTGAGGAATGCTGGACGAGGGTGAGCTCGGGGCGGGCAGCACGGAGGAGGAGCCCAAGGAAGTCACAGCAGCATTGGAGGAAGGGCTGTCGCTTGATGAGGCTGGGGTGGTGGCGACCAACGCAGCGGAAGAACTTGGGGATGTAACAGCAGGGACGGAGGAAGCCGGTGATGATGGTGAGAGACTGGCGGACGGATCAGGTGACGACGACGACGACGCTGCTGGCCCAGGACTGAAAGAACTCGGTGCGGCGCTGCTCGATGGTGGAACAGACGATGGAGTTGAAGTCGGGACCGAGACAGGGATAATAGAGAATGACAGCACAGGAGATGAGCTTCCGGGTGAAGGCAGAGGGATCGCAGAACGCGACGGGATGACCGCGGAGGAAGTGATCAGAGCAGATGACGAGGACGGCGCTGCTGGCCCAGGGCTGAAAGAAATCGGTGCGTCGCTGCTCGATGGTGGAACAGACGACGATGGACTTGAAGTCGGGACGGAGACAGGGATAATAGAGAATGACAACACAGGAGACGAGCTTCCAGGTGAAGGCAGAGGGATCGCAGAACGCGACGGGATGACCGCGGAGGAAGTGATCAGAGCAGCCGACGAGGACGGAGAGGCCACTGGAGAGGAGACCACAGGGGAAGAGATCACCGGAGAGGAGACCACAGGAGAAGAGATCACCGGAGAGGAGACCACAGGAGAAGAGACCACAGGAGAAGAGACCACAGGTACGGAAATGACCGGGGGTGCTGACACGCTGCCCGTGGGTGAGGTTGAAGGTGTTGCACTTGGAGTCTGCACTGGTACGGACGGTGAAGCAACCACTATGCTGGACGGAATCGCCGAGGACGACGCCGTGATCACCGCACTGCTGGATGGAGTTGGGGTAAAGACCGGCGTCGAGCTGGGCGTGAGTGTGGCTGTCGAGCTGACGGTCACAGTCGAGCAGATCTCCTGCGCAGGACCCAGGAGCTTGGCGTTGTCGAACTCGACATAGATCTGGGGGATGTTAATAAGGTTACAGAACCCCCACATGGTAAACGTGTGCGAAGTCGAGGTGGCTGTAAACGTCGCCGACAGGGTCTGCCAGGTTTGAGCCGAAGATAGCAAGTATGACCCAGTTGCCCGTGTCAGGATGTTAGTGGTATCGTGTGCAGCGTAAAACCAACAAGTGGTGTATATCGGAGGCCTGGCCGACGAGCCGAGTCTGTAGTCATACGAGAAGGTATAGGTCGTGCCCACTTGAAGCCCCGTCACCGTCTGCGACATGGCATAGTTCTGGGCTCCCACCCAGCTGACCTGCGCCGCGTACTGCCCGTCGTCCGAGTTGTCGCTGATGACCGAGACGGGACCAGTTAACCTATTCCACGGACTGGTTGAGCCTGTCTCAAAGGAGGGATTGATGAACAAATTGACCGACTCCGTTGTACAGGAGACTTCGGTGCTGGTGATCACCTCGGTGTCTGCCTGGGAGAGCTGACCAAGTAGCACCAGGGGCAGCGCGATGGCCGCAGAAAGGGACCGCATTTTGATTATTGCAGTTGATTGCAGTTGATTGCCGTAATGAAAGGACGAGGCGTGGATAACCTCACGAAAGGACCGAATATCCTAACATGGATCCAACAGACATGCCGCGGGGGATGGGATTATATATGGAGAAGGGCTGTTCCCTTTTCTCCTTTCGTGCGATATCTGGATCCATTTTGTTGAGCGATTCTGCTGCCAGGGAAATGTATGGCGACGCCCCATCGTCGGCCATATCCGAGTGGGCTTTCTGATGCGATCGTGACTGATCTCTGGTCTAAAAAGACCAGAATCAAGCCGCCCAAGAGATGGGCTATCTACACTAAGCCTTCTGGTCCGGGACATTGGGACCTGTCTGAGTTCTTTTAGCGATATAGCAGGAGTCAAAAGTCAATAGTCTCTTTTCCAGCGAAATCTCTGCGCTTTGTTTGGTTCTTTTCGACTTGGCTCATCCTAGCGTCGGGAGTAGCGTGCTTTGATGCTATCCACAACCAAGATCTGGTATTTTTGCCGACAGGATTCTCGCTAGAAAAGACCTAAATACCGGTCCTTGCCACTTGATGGAGCTGGAAATAATCCCTAAGAGCATCAATCTTTGTTGAGTTTTCCATTTACGGTGGAGTAATCCATTCGCAATGTGCTCAGCAACTATATAGCGGATGAACTGACACTCACTTTGTCTATATAGGTAAAGATGGCATTCAAGATAGTTTAAAGACTGACAGAGACAATAGTGTGATTATTATCGCACTGAAAGAGAAGCTGGAACAGCAAGACCTGGTATAAGTACATGTCGGCGGGATGGTCAAGGCATCGTATTAAAGACCTGTCACTTGTCAACCAGAACATGCCTATCCTCTCTACTATGCTAGAAATGGTCGTCTTGACATCTTTTTGGCGTAGTGGAATCGATGGCTGACAGGTCTGCTTATGGGCAAGGCTGCCTAGAGCCAAGACAATGTCAGCCTTGTTGACACGAACAAATATTAATACGTGATTCACCGGTCGCCTTCGACCTCCCCAAACAAACTATCTCATCTGGACTATCACGAATCTCAGCCCCATTCTATTTGTCATCTCAAACCTCCATGTCTCAATCACCTTATATCTCGCTCCTCACCACCGTCTTGGGAATCATCCCCATCGGTTTTGGCGTCAACGCCATCCTGCGTCCCGCCCATGCCTTGACCTTCTTCGAGTTTGAACCACCCGTCGCTCCCGGAGACCGAAGCCTCGTCGACAGCCTGATGATAGTATATGGCGCGAGGGATATTTTCATGGGCCTCGCCGTCTACGCTGCCGGGTTTTTCGGCACTCGCAAGTCCCTCGGTTGGACTTTGATCGCAACCAGCGGTGTCGCCGTTGCCGACGGGGCTGTGTGCTGGAGCCAGGGCCATGGACATTGGAATCACTGGGGATATGTTCCTGTCCTTGCCATTATCGGAGGCCTTCTGGTCCGTCAGTCCGACCGCAAAGATAGATTGTAATCTACGATTATTCGAAGAGGAATACGGACAAAACCAATGGAATGTCAGCAGTTAAACGTCTCTACAGTGAGGTATGCTCATGCTATGAAGCTCGGGAGTCTATCCGGGTAGTCCGAGGGATTAGACATGCAATTCATTCATTTTCACATTCCTTCTCTATCACAATGCATATAACCGCTGAATCATCGACGCGCTACGCAACACAAAATTCCCGACTTGCCTAAGAAGTAGACAGACCCAATGAATCGAAAGATGGACAGTCCAGCTGTTGCCCACAAAATCACTTGGAAATAATACTGCGTTCGCGTCGTGGATGTATTCTGTCTCGAGGTCAGTAACTAGCCCATGCGCATCCAAGGCATTCCAGAACTTACCGTCAGACACATCTTCCTGATGCCGTCGCTCGTGATGAGCAGCGAGACCAGCAAATTACTCAGAATCCAGAACAGCACCAGATTGGTCCGAAAGTTGCGGTAGGAATCATCCATGCTGATAGTCGAGTCTTCCTCGGGTTCCTGATACGGAGCCAGCGCCCGCTTAACGGTCGTCTCGAACTGGCTGTCGATATCCGCCTGCGGTTTATCTACCTCCTCGATGAAGTTGTTCTTGCTGCCGTCGGCCTTCTTCGTCTGCGCCGAGGGCAAGGCGTCCGCCTTATCGGATCCCTTCGTACCCCACGAGACATCGTGCCAGTTGCAAAACGCATACACCATGAGGATATTTATTGAAGTGGTCATGCCCAGGAAGTACGCCCAGGAACTAGTCAGGATGTGCCAAGGGTCCATGTACAGAATGCTGGCGACGATGTAGATGCCGTAAGTGGACACCAAAGCGATCAGGACAATTCCGCCACCACTAGAGCTGAAGAAGGAGGAGAGGAAGTGGCCCACGCCTTGGTCGAAATTGAAGTCCATCATGCCACCCATGAAGGCATTGGCGACCAGGTAAAAGGACAGGATCAGCACATAAAACTGCACCAGAGAAAACCAAAGGAAAGACATGGTGTAGGCGAATTTGGTTCTATCCGTGTCAGCAGTTTCTTATCCGCCAGGGATTCCGGGTACTTACCCTTTGGGTCGATTTCCCAGAGCCAGCACAAATTGGAGCATCAGGGCCAAAAGATAGCCATATTTGACGAAAAAGTTGACAATCTGGGAGGCATCGTTGCCGAATGGCCACGCCTTGTTCTTGTTATGCGAGCTGGGTGTGCCGACAAGGTCCATGATGACCGAGCTGGTCAGCCAGTAGGATGCCAGCGAGAACCAGGTCATGATGAGCTGGCAGCAGTTGTAGATCATCTGAATATGCAAAAAGAACATGCGAACCAAGCTATGACCGCTCTTATAGATGCGTCCGAAGTGCATGATGGAATACAGACTCGCAGCAAAGGAGCCGTTGAGCCATCGTCGCCGCTGGCTGATGAATTCCGGCGCCGCCTCGGGGACATCCGTCTCTCCTTTGGATGCTTTGACGTACGTGAGATGCCATTTGAACCCAGCTTTGGCCACCAGTTCAAAGCACAGGATGCGATCCTCCGCAAGAAACATGTTCTTTTTGAAGATATTCATTCCCTCAATACCTTTCTTTCCCAGCCTCTTGGACAAAGTATGATCGCCATGGAAGTATTGCTCCAACGGTCGGCCCATGATCGCACGATAGCGATATGCCGAGAAGGCGCCTGGTAGCACACTCACGTAGCCAAAGGCGCTTTCCAGCGGTTTGTCTAGGATATTGGATATTTTGTACTCGAAATTCTGCGCTGCAACTAGCGGGTTCAGCACATTGCGCCATCCCCTGCCCAACATTGCATGGATTTCGCCACACGCTCCTCCTAATGTTTTGTCATTATAGAATGCTTCCCACAGGGCAAGCAAGGATTTGCTGCCGGGCTTCGTGCCGGCATCGAGTAGGATGCAGATTTCCGGGTTCAGGATCCGGCTAAAGGCGTTGAATAGCCACCGATGCGAGTTGATTTTCTTGCTGTTCTTCTGCTTGAGGCAAAAGATCATTTGGACTGGGGGTAGATTGCGAGGATCATTGGGCTGTGGTCTGACCAGCTGCTGCGTCGCGGTGACAGATAATTGTGTCGTATATTCGAACTGAGCGATGGTCAGTGGAGTTTCTGAGACGGAAAGCGCTGCCTTGTAGAGCTCACAATATGTGCGACTGTCTCGCGCCCGTCCACATCCTTTTTCATCACACCATCCTGATACACACCTATCGTGGCGAGGACATCCAGAGTATTCTTATCACAAGGTTCAATCCCGTCAAACACGAGACACACCACAATCTTCTGCCAAGCCGGTCCTCCCTTGTTCCAGAATTCTGACTTCTTCAGGTTCACGATGTCTCGGACGTTCTGCATTACACCATGCAGAGTTCGGGCGGTTAGGACTTTGTCCTCGTTATAGTAGGTGATGGCGATGAGCAATTCCGTATGACGATTATACATGGCGGGACGAAGGTTGTAGCCATTGCGCAGGGTGAACTCATCCGGGTCGCAGGTGGCGGCCGTATCTAGACCTTCTCAGTCGACTGCGAGCGATCGCATTTCGGCACAAATACTTACACCGCATATGCGTGAACTCTTCATGAAACGCTTCCTCCGCATCCCGATACTCCGACTGGATCGCGTTCTGGATCGCACTCGGAACCGGGTAGTCGACGCTGAGCACGGAACCCTGGACGAGGTTGATCTTTCTTGTCCCATATCGCCGTAGCGCACTCGATTTCACGCCTTGTCGCCTTTGCCAGGCATCCATCTCGATTCCACTGTAATCCGACATCCGTGCACTGTGTACATCGGCGGCTTCGGACTCCTGGTATGGGGGAGCAAATGCGGTTATCCCGGGATCATGCAATGTGTATCGGCGCAGGGAGTCGGTCGATATGTTGGGATCGTCGTATGATGAGCCATTGGGGCTTGCTAAACTGCGTCGAAGGAGGGTCTGTTGTTGATCATGATCTTCCGCGTCATCGCGACCGTAGGTAGGCTGCTCACAGCAAAGTCAGCTTTTTCGCCGTTCTTGACCAGACTACACTGGTCAAACACTCACGGTGGGAGATGTAGACGGTTGAGAGTAGAAGCTGCTTCGGCTCTGTTGCGGGGAATGCGCCGAATAGGGCGTTGGAGTGCCCATTTTGGCAGTGGACGTTGGAATTTGAGAGGTTGGATGTCCGGATAATCGGTCGGGGAGGATGAATATTTGAAAGACCTGAAGAATTGTACCTGACTAAGAAACCAAGGGTCGCAATTATATGCCGCTCGTGCTTACCACGGATCAGAGACAGATGGTTCTATTGTTAGATGAGACCTCAATTGAGGTCTGACTGGATCGTTTGTCGATAAGAGACACTGCCTTTGTCCAGGCAACATCGCAGACAGATATTTCATTATGATGGGCCGGTTGGCCCGTCCCACCTCTGTCATTGTCCAATCTTGATTGATGACAGTTATTATTAGGATTTGATTAGTGAGAACAGCACCGCCTGCTCGATGATGACAAAATCTGGCATATTTTGATCCTTGGCTCTGGGTCCAGTGGAGCAACACACATCCGGCAACTTCTCACAAGTCCTATTGCCTCCGAGATGAGTTCGCTATTTGTTGATTCAAAGCTTGGGGTTACTTCCACACGCAKGGCCATGCTCCTATGCCTGCCCCTTGACTCGTGAGAACGCTCATTCCTGGATTTCGAAGTCCGAACTGATCTCGAGGCAGCGATCATCCACTAGGCGGGGGAACAATCGTCAGCCAAGAACTGACCAGGAATTTTCTATTGCTTGTCGCAGCCAGTGGCTGACGACACCCGGTGTAAGGCTTGGCCCGTGCCATGTCGTCGCAAACTTCGTAAGGGTCAAGTGTGTTTTGATAGGACGCTTTGCAGCCCACGCCACGGTTGCTGCAGTTCGGAGGTTCTGGACGACGCGTGGTGCTGGAAAGACAATTCGGGACGTTGGCCATGATGATTTGTGGCTTGTTCTCGGCTGTGCTGCGGTCACTCCACTGAGAGTGGGACACTGCGAATACGGATCAGCTAATGAGCAATCTCATCCCGAATCAGGTCACACAATTCATTCAAAAAGATTGAGGCTGAACACAGTCAATGCCCTATGAGATTGAGGACATAGATATTCCGAGGTATCACTCCAGGTGTTGTATCTATAAGGATCACTGATGTTGAGATCGAGGGAAATCTTTTCGGAGAGACCACGAGCAAGCGGGCTAGTGTGTGGTCACGTGCACGCCTCATGGTCGGCAAGCTCGAAGCAGTAATAAGAGATGAAGCAAAGAGTTATTCATCAAGTCAATCTCTCTGAAATTGTAGATAGGTTGCCGTCAAGCCTTGCTGGGATATATTTCTCGTATATAGTCCGTCATGCGGTTGTGTGCTGTATATGACCACGGATAGTGATATATATGTATACTACATTGACGGACGGTATTTCTCAGCCAGAATGCTATCCAATTGTGCCAGACAGCATCAACCTTTAGTAGAAGGAAAAGATTGGTACCAAAGGCAGTGATGGTACTGATGCCATTACAGAGTTCTTTACAAATTTTTAACGACAAACAAGGGTGGACACTAGGTTGAATGAAGGACTAACAATGTAACAGCATCGAATCCATCGAGCTTTGTTTGAATATGCTTGCTGCCTGAAACAGCCCTACACACAACAGGGGAACAATCTGAGCCGCTGTCCTCTAGGAGATAACTTCTAGCGGATAGGTAATAGATTGACACAACATATGCCGTCGAGACAGAGTGTAACCTACTTTATATCGCGCATAGTCAGAAAAGTCCACTCTGTGGGGGCGGGACGAGCAATCTGGTTGGTAGTAAAAGCCTCAAGCATGGACTACTCGATCAATAATCTCGCATCTTCCCACCAGAAAGAAAAACAAGGTTGCAGATAAGGTCACTGTCACAGCTTAACGATTGGTTGGAAATTTCCTTGCACATCACGAAGAGCGATTTAATTGACGTCTCAAGAAGCTC